CACTGCATGTGAGAACAGAGTTCCAGTTATCACGGGATTTTTTGGAAACGTTCCTGGCAGCTTGCTTGACGGAGATATTGGCCGCGGATATACTGATCTTTGCGCTGCCCTGTGCGCTGTGGGACTGAAAGCCGACGAACTGCAGATTTGGAAAGAGGTCGATGGCATCTTCACCGCGGATCCGTCAAAGGTGCCCACGGCTCGACTACTGACATCGATCACGCCCTCGGAGGCCGCTGAATTGACGTTTTACGGCTCCGAGGTCATCCACCACCTTACCATGGACCAAGTCATCCGGGCGAACCCACCTATCCCTATCCGCATTAAGAATGTCAAAAATCCTCGTGGAAACGGCACAGTGGTGATTCCAGATCGGGTCTTGTCCGCGGGACAGCAGCTTCACCGATCACGGCCTTCGGATGCACCTCTGTTCAAGAACCCCAAGCGACCCACGGCTGTTACCATTAAGGACCAGATCAGTGTCATCAACGTCCACTCGAATAAGAGGTCTATTTCACATGGCTTCTTTGCACGAGTTTTCTCCATCCTAGACAAGCAGTCCATCTCTGTTGATCTCATCTCCACGAGTGAGGTACATGTCTCCTTGGCCATTCATGCGGACGGCATTCGATCGGACGCATTTGAGACGGCCACGCGGGACCTGGAAGAGTGTGGAGATGTCAGCGTGCTGACGGGTATGGCCATTCTGAGCTTGGTGGGAGCTGACATGAAGAACATGGTTGGTATCGCTGGGCGCATGTTTTCGACACTCGGAGAGCACAATGTCAATCTGGAAATGATTTCTCAAGGTAAGGCTGCATGAACTTTTCTCTCTCCTTTGTTTGAGATTTTTTGCGATCCGTCAACGACTGACACAATTTCGTCTTCTAGGTGCGAGCGAGATCAACATATCTTGTGTCATTGACGCTTCCGATGCTACGAGAGCTATGAATGTTCTCCACACTCATTTGTTCACATTCCTGGAGTAGAGTAGGGCGAGGTTTGGCGATGATATCCAGCGTGGTGGCACTCATTGTTTTACACAAGCATATTTTCATATATAAGGTTAGGATGGGGCATTGCATAAGTACTGCAGAGTGCGAGATGCATCGCGAAGCGTGGTGTTTACATTATGAGCCTCACCACATTGTTGATTTTCTTGTTGCTATTTTTCTTTGTTTTATTATTGTTCATACTATTAGTAGTAGTGGTTTGTTGCAGAAGGATCGGGGTTGGCCATTTGCTGTTTCATCCAATGCCCGATATTTGTAGTGTATGTATTGTTGCGGAGTTGAAAAATTCATAGATGATAGACGAGTAAGACTTAAGATGTACCGAATCTTCAAGGCACATCAAACTTATGAAGATGATAGTCACTCGATTCTTATAAACCGTTTTGGAACTTGACCCGCGACCCAGGTATAGCTGGGCTGCAGAAGAAAGTACTTCTGGTAGTAAAACATGGGCAAAGATACCTCTCGCGAAAGCTCGGTGAGAAACCGACGCCAACCCCCACCTGCGACACTACTGAAATACGACACACTTATACCTGCTCTCCTGTATCTGCGTCCAAACAGCTTCAACTCTAAACAGCCACTTTCGCAACAAGCATTACGACGGTGATGCGTCGCGCACTGCCCGTTTCCGCATAGAGACCGCCAATGGTGTCTTACATACCGCCTATTTTACGAATAGCGCAGGCCTCATCGCCTGTGCACCATCGCCGCTATGTATAGGTCTGGAGGTGGTGGCCCCCGGGCTCGGGGCAGCATCTTGGGCGCCCTGAAAGCCACCGAGATGCTCGACGTACGAGCGAGGCTTCCAGCAGGTATAGACTGACGTGCAGATTTCTTGTCACTCTCCTGAAGGGTGATTCTATGCATGTTCAATGGCAGCTAACTGTACTGTTTGTGGGTAGAAATCATGGTGACCATCCTCAACTACTTGCCCGTGGCCGATCAGATGCGCTGCGCTCGCGCCTCCCGCCGATTCCAAGAGATGGTGTACGATGATACCCGATGGGTTTCCCGATTAAAGAGTATGGGGTGCTGGGACGAACGAGAGGCGAGGAAGAGATTTGAGGATGCAGTTCGGCGTAGGCGAGAGGCTGCTGCTGCTGCTGCGGCGGCTAGCCAGTCTGCTGATGCTGCCGGCAAAAGGAACACAATCTCGTCAACCACAATGTTCGACGCCACGGTCGAGGAAAAGCGTCGACAGCGAGCTACATCAGAACTACGAGACGGATTCGAGACCATGAGAATAGGAACAAGCGATGCTGCTGCTGAGGATCCTGTGTCGTACCTCGATGTATTCAAGCATGTGAAGAGCGTCAGAGGAGGCGCAAGACAAGAATACGGAAAAGTCTACAAGGCTCTGGCGCCGTTTTACTTTGACCTTGTCACGGCGAAGACGCATACGGATCCAATCGTATTCAAGGCGTTTGTTGATCCTGAACAGCAGGCCCAGATGCTGGCCAACTTGCACCGATTTGCAGCGAGCGACTGGTCTGAGGGATGGGGCCATAGAGATTCAAAGCTGACATCAATGATAAACATCTTCGAGGCCGCCGTCTTGCGCGAGTTTGAACAGGGCTACGAGTTTTGGGATGTCGATGGGAGGATGCATCGATATGCACATGTTCTGCATACCCTCAACGGTGCCAAGACTGGCATTGACCTCTTCGTATCGAAACATCCTCTGTTTAGCGATCGCGAGGTGGTACATAACCCCATGGACTGTTTGAATCAAGCATTCACGGACGATATAGTGCTGGAGCCATCGCGACGCTTTTTTGAGATCTTACTCGCCAAGGTCAATGACCAAGCCAGCGTCCTGGAACGGATATTTCCCGAGCCTGCCATCGTGTTCTGGAGCCTCGCTGAAAAAATAGCAGAAGACATTGTCGCCGAATACACAACTCCCTTATTCGACGAGGCACACGAGCGCAGCATTTCTTCCTACCTTAAGGCCGTTTCTGGCATATTCGAACAGACACTGAGGTTCTTCCAGTCACTGAAACCTCCCAAAGGACCCGAGGAAGATCTGGGAGACCGTGCTAAGCAGTTGACGCTGAAAGTTTTTGAACCTCATCTCGATTTATACTTACAGGAGGAGCTGGACTTTTTCACCAAACAGGCGGAAGTTGAGGTTGTGCAATGGGAGAAGAAGCTTTCTGAGCAAGATTCGTCCTTGGAGTCGTTTTATTATTCCAACATTAATCGCTCGGCGGAGAAGAACGATTTTCTGAGCTCCTTCAAGAAAGTCATCATGATGCCCGTCACTGTTCTCCCGACATTTCCAATAGGCTCTCCATTTGCAACAACGAAACCGACACCTTCTCCCGCAATTACTGCAAATGGTTCTGCAGCATTAACTCCACAGTCGTCCAGACCTCAAACGCCGGGCCTAGGCAATGAACTCCAGGGACGAGGCAGCCCAATGCCCGGCGCCAAAGCTCCAACCGATGAGCTTGCAGCTAAAGCAGCCATCATGGCATCGAAGCTGGAAGGTATCAAATCGCTTTTCAGCATCGAAGTAGCTCTAGATTTGGTACACAAGGCCAAGAGCAGTCTAGGACGTGCTGCAGTGTTGATTCCCCTGGGTGGACAGGCCGGAGGAGAAGCCCGCGAGCAATGTGCTAACATCTTCATTGCACTCGTTCGGATACTTGGGCAGAGGCACGTAAAATTTGGATTCGACATGGCTGTTGACCATCTTTCTCATTACAATCCGAGAGACGTGAGCGACCATGATCAAAAAGGGGTGGCGCCGCTCGTCATGTTTATTGAGCTGGTCAACGTTGGAGACCTCATTTCACAGATGATTGACGTCTTTTACGAGCAACAGCTCGCAACCCCCAAGATTGCGGACAAGAACGACTTCTTGGATCCTGCTGGCTTGGCCAAGAAGAAATTCGAGCAGATGCTAGACGAGAGTGTTGCAGCAGGCCTCAACAAGGGTATTGACGTGCTCATGGACGAGGTAGAATACCTCCAGGGAACGTTGCAACAGCCTACAGACTACAACCCTACTCCCCGCGTGCCAACAGATGATACGAGTAACCGACAATCCAACCGAGCAACTATCGGCTCCATGGCAGAGCTGGACATTGGACCGACAGCCACAGCCCGTCGCATCGTCGATCTTGTTCGATCCCATACTAACATGCTGGTGGGCACAACGGAGAAGTCGATGCTGGACGTTTTCAACGGCGAAGTTGGCCAGCGGCTCTTTACGGCTATATGCAAACACCTCAAGCGACAGCGTATCAGCACGGATGGCGCCATCAAGCTCATTTCCGATATGAATCTCTACTCCGATTATGTGAGATCGCTCCGAAACCAAGAGGTGCTGCCATATTTCACTGCGTTGCGCGAGCTGAGCCAGATCTATCTCATTGACCCGAGCCACGCCAAGGAAATGGCCACGGTCATTGCAGACGGTGACCGGTTTAGCGGCGTGTTTCGCGCGGAAGAGGTGTACGAGTATGCGCAGCGCAGAGCAGATTGGTATCAGGTGAGGAGGAGCGTGGAGAGAGCAATGTATGGAATGGACTGTGTGGTAATGTGAGAAAGAGAAATGATTTGTTCTATTGGATAGAGACATGGGAGTGATGAGCTGATGAATTTATGTGAGACACGAAGGAAAAAAACGTTCAATGGTGAGTGGGATGAAAGAAGGAGGTGGTTTCAAAGTCACAATTGGATAATGATTGCGCTTAGATTGCATAAAAATGGATAGAATATATATATAAATCATGTTACATAGCAGTGTTGGACAATGAGGATGGATGAGTGATGAATTTGGAAATATATATTATATACGTAGGTATTCGTTTGGCCGTAATCTACTGGCCCCAGTATCTATTATGAAGACTAAACTCCGCTTCATATGTGTGGTATATGTGCAAACAACCCAATTTTAAAACGCTTTTCCTTGGTGCAAAAAATAGAAGAGAAATACCAAACTCCCAAATCTCGAAGCAATCAAACCTTCTTGCTTTACCGCTGTCCGAAGTCCAATTTGCGGGCTACTTTGGCACCTCTATCCTCGTCAGCCACCATTCCAGGTCGGCGCTTCAAATCCATCCCCATCTTGTCTTCTCCAGCGCTCTCGTCTTTGCGCGGCAGGTCATCCTTGCGCGTGGGCTTGGGCTCGGAGTGCCACCATCGGTGCTGAAGCATCTCCCGCGCGGTGATGCGCTTCTGCGGGTTGAGGGACAGCGTCTTCATGAGCAGGTCGACGCCGTCGGTGCCGACGATGCCGAAGCGCATCTCGTAATAGTCCCTTCCCCGCGTGGGGTGCTGGCCTGGCACGGTGTACTCTGGGAGTCTGGTGACGCCGGGCCAGTTGTCTTCTGTGGGGGTACCGATGGATTCGCAAATCATCTTGATCTGGTCGAGCTCGTTGTTGCCAGGCATGTAGGGGGCACGCAGGACGAGCTCCGCGAAGACGGTTCCGACGGACCAGACGTCTACTGCGCCGCTGTAGTATCGGGCGCCGAAGAGCAGTTCGGGGGGTCGGTACCAGCGAGTGATGACGTTGGATGTCATGTGGCGATGGGGGTCGGCGAAGCTTCGCGCAAGACCGAAATCAGCAAGCTTGACTTCGCCGTCGGCGGCGATGAGCAAGTTGTTGGGCTTGATATCGCGATGCAGGACAAAGTTCTCGTGGCAGAACCACACGGCGCGGGTGAGCATGCCCATCCAGGCTTTGATGTCGGCGGCACCGTAGCGGACGTTGTCAGTGTCGCGGATGAGCATTTCGAGATCGCCGAGGGGCAGGTACTCGAGCACCAGATTGAGGTTCTGGTCCTTTGAGGAGAAGACGGAGAGGAGCGAGATGATGTTTGGGTGCTGGAGCTCCTGCAGGTGCTTCAGCTCGCGGACCGCGTCGGGGGCCATGCCCTCTGTGTATTCCTTCTGGACCTTGATCTTCTTGATGGCGACGCGGGTTGCCGGGCTGGAGCGGAGATGGCCGAGAAACACGACGGCGTAGGTACCTTCACCGAGCTTCTTGCCTTTAACATATTTGCGCTTTTCCTCTTCGTTCATCTGCTCGGCGAGGTCGAGGGTCGGAGCGAGCGTCTGGCCGGTTGGCGGCGCGGGCGCGAGGGCGGGTTTTGGGGTGCCATTGGATGAAGTTTGGCCTGAGCCGGAAGCGAGGGCCTTGAGAGGTGAGGAGACGGCCCTTAATGTTTGGAAGTTGTCGGCGTTTTGATTCTGGGCGGAGGAAGAGGTGGTTGTGACGACGGGAGAGAGCGCCATGGTTGGCGGGGGATGCTGCTTGGCGAGCGAGCTGAAGGATGTGAGGTTGCGATGATGTTTTGTGATGTCTGGTGAAAGAGGAGGGCGGATGTCGGTCAATTGATGGAGAGGGCAATGGGACAGCGTGTATGAGAGCTGGTGTTGAAGAAGGAATGATGGATGTAGTTGAAGAGACGGGAGCTATCGCTACGATCACCTCTTATCTTATCGGCACTGTAGCCACAGAGTGGGTAGACACCTAGATTCTTTATATGAAATGGGCGCCATTAGAAGTACCTCAACACATACACTTTCATATTGCAATGATTGCCGCTCTACAAAAGCTTTATGTTGAAATATTTGTATCTTCTTTATTTAAAACTACATTATCTGAACATCCGTTATAGAATCCCCAAATGGATATCTTGATTGTTAACATGCCAGTTCTATAGCAGTTCACAGGCGAATCTTGACGATGTTTCGTTCCGTCTACATCATTCTTCTAATCTTCTGTCTTTTTTTATTAAAACTAGTAGTGGGATCGTTTGAGTGACTCTTACTTGAATATATTTTGTGAGTTATTTTGTGGCTTCACTCTGCATCACTATGAGAATGGGCTTCGCAGTATTGAGAGAGCTTACTTCAGCACTGAGCATTAACCGTATTCTTTCTCTCGGCTCAGACTGCGAGGAATTATCCTGTATGAGTATCTTCCTCTATATTTATCGGGTTTCATAAACGGCATTAAATTATATTCCCAGCGAATTTGATTACTGTCTCATCTCCACTATTTTCACTGTCGTTGAACCGCACTTATTGGTAGTATAAGCAACCCCCTCGGTCAGTATCTATAACGGGGAGGCATGTAAATGGCAGATATCAAGCGGGGTACAGTCTCAATGAGACTTTGCGATGAGTAGTCGTTAGTTTAAAAGCTGCTAAGCTATGGTAGTACCATGCTTCCTAATGCTATCGAAAGAAGCCTCTGTTCTTTTACTTCAATATGCCTATAGCAGGCGAGCCGTTAGCTGATGATCCTCATAGCGACCCTACTCGCAAATTGAGATGGAGTTACGCCGACCCTCCTGATATCCCACTTCCCGAGGAAGATCCAGGCCAGCCATTTTGTCCTCGTCATGCTACTACTGTTGCTCAGTTAAAAAGAGCATCTTTTGGTCCTTTTCCAACTAACACGGATTTAACAACTCCCCATCGCGACTGGCATTTCGGCAATCTCGATTACATCCTGTCTCGCAAGAGCTGGTGCCGAGTCTGCGGCCTGATTGCAGAAGTTGTTGAACAAGACCCCTCGAATTCTATGCTGGAGCGCAAGGATACAGAAATAATTGCTTGCTGGATATGGGATGGAGTGCTCAATGATAGCGACGACAAAGTGGCAACTCTTCGGCTGCGGATTGCTCCAGAGGTTATCGGCTGGGAAGACTTGTTTGAACCATTTGACTTGGTTCCTCTGGCCAACCATCTTGATAAAAGCGACAATCTATTTCTAGGACGGAAGATCAGCAGTGGCCACTTCAACTTGGAAGTAATCAAGGCCTGGGTCCAAAGCTGCGAACAATGGCACGGCAGCGAGTGCATCGATACCGCGCCGTGGAAGACGTCTGACTTTGGGGTGCCGTTCATTCGCATGATATCTTTGGACGAATACAGGTTGATTGAAACAGCTTGTCCTCCATCTTATGCAGCATTAAGCTACGTATGGGGGCCCGCTACTGTATTCAAGACGATACGAGACAACATCGAGATGCTGGTGCAGCCAGGGGGACTGCCGGTGCCGTCCTTTCCAAAGTCCATCCGAGATGCCATGGGCCTAGCAAAAGAGCTTGGCTTTCGATACATCTGGGTTGACTCTCTATGTATCGTTCAAGACTCCGTGGAGGATAAAGTGCAGCAGCTTCGCATGATGGACCGCATCTATAGCCGTGCGAGTCTCACCATTGTCGCCGCAGCTGGTTCGCATGCCGACGCAGGAATCCCCGGTTTGCAGCCTGAAAGTCGATCTCGCAAACAGCACACAGCCCAAATCTCGGATGATCTCACACTGGTCGCGCTCCATCCAGATACATATCGTAGCGCGGCGGCAACGACCTGGAACACCAGAGGCTGGACATACCAGGAGCGTCTTCTTTCGAAACGGTGTCTTTTCTCATTCCCCGACGGGTCTGTGAGCTTCCAGTGCTCAATGGCCGTTTGGGGAGAAGACTACTATGCTGAGACACCGCACTTGAAGCGCTGTGCACCGATGATGGACGTCTCATTGAACCGGAGCTGGATGGCTCCTGGGGCTGTCAAAGAGAGGGGCATCCCAACTGTTCATATAGCAAACACCTCATATTTACGCGAGTACTGCCGGCTTGTCGAAGAATATACAGGTCGTGACATGTCATATGCAAGCGATCGGCTTTTGGGGATCAGTGGCGTCCTAGATGTTTTGCAAAGAGAGTTTGGTCTCAGCTTTGTTCATGGCCTGCCAGAGACCATCATATATTTGGCTCTGCTCTGGCAGCCTCGAAATAAGATCAAACGCGTCCCGAAGGATCCTAAAACCTTTCTGCCGCTCTTCCCGAGTTGGTCGTGGACTGGCTGGACTGGACCAGTTGGTTATGAAGATTGGAATGCGTTTAACGATATGCCTGGGATCGAAGACCGCGCGGAGCGTGTCAAGCCTTTTGCAAAACTGGCCTTGATAGGGCCAAAAGAGCTCGAGTATTTCTCTCAAAAAGCAGCAAATAGTTTGTCTCCTGATTGGTTAAAAGTCTCTACGATGGAAGATGGAACTTGCTACATTATGGGCACTGATACCCATCGATACCATCCTGTCCCTTTTGTCTCCTCATTAAACAAGGCAGGAAAATCCAATATGATGCTGCCACCGCTTGGACTCAGTCTGCGTACACGAATTGCACGCTTTCGACTGACCACTCTAATGCTGAGTTCAACCTTCAACCAAGACGACTATCCCATTGAACGGCGTGGCCGCTTCGGGCTTTCTTTGCCGTCACCAAACACAGGTGATCGGCCATGGCTGGGAACCATCCTTTTACCTGTGCAATATCATGCTAAAATGGCACAAGACCACGAGTTCATTATTCTGTCGGAGAGCTATGGCTTCAATCATCAGGAGATGGCACCTGCGGTCGCCAAGAAAATGAATCCTTTCGAAGTATATGATGTGATGATGATAAGGAGAATTCAAGGCGAAGAACTAGCGCATTATCGTCTCCAGCTAACGGCTCAAGTTACCGAAACTCTTTCCTCTCAACCAATGTATGATTCCTTGGATGGAAAGAGTGTAGTTGAAAGAATAGGAGCTGGACGAATGGTGAAAAGTGCATGGGATAGTGACGATAACTGGGAGGATTTCATTATTGTCTAATAGAGAAAGTCTTCCCATAACTCTGTCTTCATGACTATACTGATATTACTACAATAGATTGCTATCTTAATATTTCTTTTCCCATGCTCCCCCGATTTTAATCGACCACACCCTGTGGCAGAATGGAGACATAGTCTATAGCCGCTTGCTCCAAAGCATTCCCACTTCCCTTGATAGTCAACTTGTCTCCCTTCTTGATCTTGACACCCTCAAACGTGATACGAATGGCCGAGTGACAGTCAAGGAATGAGCTGTAGTCATGGCCAAGATATTTCTCCGAGTCGCCTTTCCAAGTTCCGACAGATTTGCCATTAAGCAGCACCTCGTAGTTGGCGATTCCACCCATCACGTCGTAATAATTGATTGCGACATTGTACTTTCCGCTTGGAACGTTCAGTTTTGTAGTGGCTGTGCCAGTTCCGTTCGTCGCAATCGCTTTGTACTTGGATGCGCATTCGGTAGGATCAACATCGACTATCGTGAAGTCTGAGAGGTCCATTGCCTCAGCTTCAATACGGTGGGGGTGGTTCCGAACACGATTGAGCTGATCGGGAATGCTTGAAAGGTTGCGATAGAATTCGCTAATGGCGTCACGCCATACCAGAGAGTGACCAGCTTGATATGTCAGTCTGTACAAGATCTCTTTGTATCTTTCTGCGTCTATTTGGCCCTGAAGCGACTTCCAAGTGGCGGGGAAGGTTTGTGCCGTTGCAGATCCAGAATAATGAGCATCGTAGAAATGCTGAATCACCGTCTTGCCAGAGTGTAGCTTGAAAGTATAAGGCACGTGGTGGAACCATAGCAGCAGATCGTCTGGCGTAGTTTGAGTATACTCAAGCATATGTGCAACTTCTTTGGCGTACTGGCCGGCATTTCCTGTGCCATTCGATACCGTGCGGTCCATGCCAATAGTTTTGCTGTCGGCTCGCGTCCACTGTCCCCAGCCATTGTTGTCCTGAGAGGCCGGATTTGCGCCATAGTGGGTGTATAAGATATCGGTAAGAGTCTGAATACCGAGGTTGCCGCTGTAGTCTTCATACGCCGGCCATGACTTCATGGACATGCTCACAATAGCTGAAACGACATCTCGGTTGAGGCCAAACGTTAGACGAGTCCATTCCTCAACTATATCCTGAGAATCTGCCTGGGGGTTCCAGGCTAACCGACCGAAAGCAAACATGTTGGACATTGCCAGGTGACTACCAATCCACGTATCATTCATGCCGATGTTGATAACTCCAGCATAGCCGCTAAGCTTGTGATTGAATGTCTTGCCTGTGACAATATCGCGAACATAAGACTGCCGGCCATTGGCTCGCATATCGAAGCCCAGGATAGTCTGCCACAAAGGCGGGAGATAGACCAAATGGCACTGCTGGCCAAGATACTCTTGGGTGACTTCAAGCTCTATTGACACGGGCGTCTTGGGTATATTGACAAAGAGAGGAGAAGGGGGCTCTCTGACTTGGAAATCGATGGGGCCGAATTTGATCTGGACCAGAACGTTGCTATCAAACTGTCCATCTAGGTCTTTGAAGAATTCAACTGCGGCGTTGGCTCGATCAGCCTTCCAATCGGTCTCATTTAGCTGGTCATAAACAAAGGCCCGGAACACGACAATGCCGCCATGTGGCTCAATGGCCTTTGCAAAGAGATTGGCACCTTGAGATAGAGTGCGATTATATGTTAACGGCCCGGGTTGGCCCTCTGAGTTGGCCTTGACCAGGTAGCCCGCAAAATCGGGCACAAGTTCATATATCCTGTTGGATTTGTCTGTCCACCATTTGATGACAGTCTCGTCCAGGGGATCAAATGTGTCCAAGTCTCCGAGGACCTGAGGCGAGGCAAAGTTGAGTGAGATTCCAACCTGGACTCCCCACGGCCGGAACAAATCAGCGATTCGCTTGACGCCTTCTAGATTCGTCTCGTTGAGAAGCGTCGCATCGGCATTGACGTTGTTGATGACGATGCCGTTCAGGCCAACAGAAGCCAGCAAACGGCCGTAGAGTGGAACTCGAGAAAGGTCCTTCTTGACATAGCCATTCTCGAAGAAGATGGAAACACCACCGTAGCCTCTTTCGATGCTGCCGTGAGCTGCTGTTGCGGCGTTGAGATTGTCCCACTGGTTGGACCATCGAATTGGTGCACTGGGATTGGAAGCAAAGGCAACTTGGGAAAAGTTGCCCTGCCCAAGCAAAGACAAGTATTGGAAAGCACCGTAAAGTGCGCCCCTCTCATTCTGGCCGATGATTTGTACTGATTCGCCCTTGGTGCTGAGCCAATATCCATCTTCTATTAAATCCAGCTTTGGCGTAAGCTTGCCGCAAGCTGCCTTATAAGAATCGAGAGTAGAAACAACAATGGTTTTTTGGGCAGAGTAGCTCTTTTGGCTTGAGCTGACTCCTAGATTGAGACCTAGAATGCCTTTGATACCCTTTTGTAGCTCTGATGCAGCACTTGATAGAGGCCCATTTTTGGTGGCGTTGAGGGCGACAATGTGGTTCGGGAAAGAATTAAGATGGCCTCTTGTAACAGAGCTTGGAAGAGGAGCATATCGCAACCATGCGTCAATGCCAGTCTCGGCAAAGACAGGCGCAATGGCCGTGAGTAGCAGTAGTAGAAGACTTTGTAATATCATGGCTGTCCCTTTGTGCTCTAGACTGGCCGCATCAGCTACCAGCCACGGCATCGTAGGATTTCAATGGCGTTTGTCATTTTATATGTAGATACACCGCTTCGGCTTCTTCGTGCTGCCGTTGGAGTAATCAATGGTATTCCAGCTGTCAACACACCTATTTCAAGTATAGATCAAGTTTCTCAGTCTTGGCGTTGTCGACCAGGGAAAGGCCTTTTAGCCTAAATGATAGAAAGACAAACCCCAGAAATTGACCTGAAGATCCTGGCTACATGGGAGACTGAGGGGCTGGACGAATGGATCTGCAGGTTCTGTAGCTGTAGCTGCGATGGTACAAATGGATAAACAGGTTGCTTGGCAGTAGATTACACCATATTGTGAGACATTTGGCTCCAATTGCGCGGCTCAGATGGCCCAAAGTCTGAGTTGTTGCAAAGTTAAAGGACGGAAAATTAACAAACGTCGTGATATGCAGTGTCAAATATCGTAGTAATGATAATAATTGATCGTTGTTACATGCTTCCCCATGCTGTTGCTACTCCCCACATTGACGCCATGAAATGGGTGGTATCTGCCGGAGCACCACAGCCGAAACCCCACAAAGAAGCTGCGGAGTGCATGTAGTTGTGAGCTCATAGAGTTACTAAATTCGATCTAGATGAGGGGCACCGGCAAAATATGATCAAATGTATCGCTCAGTACTCGAATTTTGTCGCATATGTATTAGTGGGTCAAGGAAATGGTACCAGTAATTGTTAGCAAAAATTGCTTGAACTGATCACTATACAGGATCTGGGTGACAGAATAGGGATTCTGTCCAATAGGAGGAGTTCTCGGCAAGGATATGCGCATCTTGTATAGCTGCTCTCTACAGCTCCAACATCGTGCAATCGGCTCATTGGTGGGCTATGGCTATATAGCCTGAATGTGCCGGCATGATTAGAACATGGTGAAGGATTTGGCATACAGTACCTATGCACAAGTGAGGCCTGTATCAAGCAATGCGTAGCTGAGCCTTGTTATCCACTGGCAAAAAATCCACGAATGAAGATTCTTGCATTCCGTGATAGTATTAGGCATTTTGAGGTTATTATTGGGCTGACGTCAAGTATATGTACTTTATGTACTTTTCGATTTCATAACAATATGGATCTTGAGTAAGGATAAGTCTTTGAAAAGAGACAGCAAGCTATCACTTGCATGTCTGTCCAAACAATGATCTAAAAGTCCGTTATTGGCGTTCTTCATACGAAGACATCTCACGCTAATTTTAGGTAATCCTCTGATGTAGTCTGAATACGAGAAGAGACCACTTTACTCTTTATTGTATCTTAGAATGAGTCTCAGCTAGGCACGCCGCCGCAAGGGGAAACACAACATATTGGCTCTTATTTAATTAGCTCACATCAGAGACAGCTTCATTCAAACAGATCGTCATCATCTTCATACACAGAAGAATTAGAGTACGTATAGCAGAATTCTCCCTCCGGCGGATACGGGGTTTATGCGCTTCGTATGTAAAGAGAGAACGAGAAGCAGTCCGATTTAAGTAATTAGCAACTATTCTACCTAAGGATGACTTATAAGATGCATTGTTTGCTATCATCCGTCTCCATCTAATCCTAGGCGAGGCACGCCGTAAGTCCGTACGGAACTCCGATCGGATCCGAAAGAAACAAAACGTAAGCCCGAGCAACTATACCGATCTTTTAATGATTGTGTGAGAATGTCCATACTAGCCGTTGCGTTGCGTTGTATTTTGTGGGTGTGATTTACGCATACACGTCAATATCATGGGAGTTGCGGCTGGGGATATAAACAGACCAGTATCCATAATGCTTTGCCAATCAGACTACGCGTATTAATATGCGACTAATACGAGCCGAGCCGAGCCAACACTTTGACCATAAAGATGAAAATCAGTCTTGCATCTGTTCATTAAGATGATGATGGAGACCATGCCATACAGTTGACAGTTGCAATAGCCATCTCAGAATCGTCCCTCATTCAGCCAACAATACGTTGAAAGTGAGTTGTATCATCTACATTCTTATCCCTATGGAGTGAAATAATAAGCAGTAACATGAACATATTGAAATAGAATTCTGCTGTCACCGATTAAGAGGATAGTCGTATACTAAGCACTTGCTGCCGGCGAAACATATTTCTGTTTCATCAATTCTGAGCTCTCACTATAAATTGTCCTCTTGACATAAGACTCGACTTTACAAATCATCTGACACTTTAAATTTGTCTTGCTTCCGCACTGAAAAGAAGAAGAAAGAAGAAAAAAAGAAAAATGATGCCGTCTGCTGCTAGACAATCCTTTACAAAGGTGTCAAAGCTTCCTTCACTTGCAATTATCGATGACTACCTCGGCACCTCCAAGCCTCACTTTGCGCACATTCCGTCTACCAAGCTTCAGATTACTACGTTCAAAGACACCATCAATCCTATCAACGAAGCAGAGACTGCTCGCCTAGTTGATAGACTGAAGCCTTTTGAAGCCATTTCGGCGATGCGCGAACGAACTGCTTTCCCCGGCTCGCTCTTGCGTAGCTTGCCCAACTTGAAGCTCTTGCTGGCCACCGGCACGCAGTTTGAGACGTTTGATCTGGCTGCTGCTCGAGAGCTGGGAATCACCGTCGTTGCTGCCCCCGGCCTTGGTCGAACAGATGGACTCGATGGTACGGCCTCGCAGACCAACATCAAGAAGGGCACTGGGCACCCAACTACGCAGCACACATGGGCTCTCATCATGGCTCTCGCCCGCAATGTTGCCGCCGACGATGCAGCGCTGAAATCTGGCTCTGGATGGCAGAACGGCTTAGCCATGAGTCTGGCGGGGAAAACGCTGGCAGTTGTTGGGCTCGGGCGACTCGGCGCTGCTGTTGCTCGTATCGGCCATCTTGCTTGGGGTATGAATGTCGTGTGCTGGAGCGAGAACCTGACTCAAGAAAAGGCCGATCGCGCTGCGGCCGAAGCTGGCTTGCCCTCTGGAGTATTTCGAGTTGTGAGCAAAGAGGAGCTCTTCCGCAGCGCCGATGTCATCAGCCTGCACTATGTGCTGAGCACTCGCTCGCGACATACTGTTGGCGTCAAAGAGCTGGAACAGATGAAGAGTTCCGCAATCTTGGTCAATACGTCTCGTGGACCACTCATTGACCAGGCAGCTCTGCTCGAAACGTTGGAGCAAGGGGCCATTCGCGGTGCCGCTTTGGACGTATTTGATATTGAGCCGCTGCCCTTGTACAGTCCGTGGAGGAGAGCAAACTATTGGGGCGAAGGAGGACGCTCACGGTTGATTACTACGCCACACATGGGATATGCTGATGAAGGGCTGATGAACGCATGGTATGCTGAGACGGCTGAGAATGTGGATCGCTGGGTAGCGGGCAAGGAAGTATTACACCGCATTGCTTAGCCGGCAGCTGAGTTTGGATAAATTGTGATCAGCTTGGTATAGTGTACTACTGCTAACTCTCCATAGAGCAGGTAGATGCTTGCGGAATTGCAGCTTTCAAATCATTGTAGAGGGCATCTCATGTGTATTTGTGTCCTCCTTGCAGCTATCTTAACCTACTTGTAGTTCTTCCAGCCAGACAGATAGTTCTCTCTTCTTGAAAAATCTCTGTTTACTCATCCTGAAGCAATATCTTGAAGTATCGAAACTTCTGCCAGGCTAGCTATGGAGGAGTCACTACCGATAGCAAGTACGATCAAAGCGTATTGCCCGCCGACGAAGGGACAGTCGACTGAATTGACGAAGCAGAAGCGGCAGAAACAATATTGGTCTTGCCTTGGAACAGGTAAAGGAAGCTTGTGTCGCCATTGGTGAAAGAACCCGAGTTTGACAAAGAGTTTGAGACACAGTTGCGTCCCAAATACTGCGCGCACTGAGACACAGCAGATGATTGTGAACTGAAAAGACGCCCTACAAAGCCTGAAGCAACAACTGTTGGAACGTTGACAATGTAGTTGCCCTCATATAAGCCCATGCCGTTCGAAGTTCCTTCAATTGCATGGCCAGAGTTTGAGGACCAGACGTTGTTTACTGCATGGAAGAGAGTGTTGCCGGATAAAGCAGGAGTGCGTCCAGATGTGTAGTAGACATAGTTTTCTGTTAAAGGCACTTGTTAGCGAGAACTTCTGGTATTTATAATAGAGACGTGTAAACAAACTATAAAACGTGATTTGGTCACCACTTCCAACTAGTTCAAGACCCCAGTACGAGTGACCGTCACAGCTAGCTGAGTAAGACGTCTGGCCACTGATGAAGCTGTTGGAGATGGTGACTGCATTATTGGAGCCAGTACCGAAGCTATAGTGTTGACGACCGAGGTTGGATGTCTGAAAATACGAATCCACCTAGTTAGTTATGCACTATTTTTAGAATGTCTGTCCATACCTTCACATGATCAATCCAGACATTGTTCGTACTGCTGAGACTGATGGCATCGCCGCCCCAGACATACTGCGGGTTCAGGTTGGTGATGGCAATGTTTTGAATAATGATGTTGGAAACGCCAGAAAGGCGTAGGCCCTTGCCATTGAGAGTTGCGCCGTTTACACCGACAAGCGTCTTGTCTGATTGAACATTGATGGCGTTATACGCAGCGCTATCGAGGGTAACGTTATACGTCGATAGCGATCCGCATCCATTCAGCGTGTTCAGCAAGGCCTGTCCACCATTGGAGGGCGTACATGGATATGCGTTACACGCTGGAAGAGTCACTGTGCCCTCAGAACCAGCAAAGTTGAAAGTGCCAGAGATGACGATATTCTGGGGGCTAGTTGAGGTGAGGTAGCTCTTCAGCTGCGCGATCGTGGTTGGATATACTGGGGCGACAGTGCCACCGCCTGTAACTGAGGACGCAAAGCCTACCGGTGTTCCTTTGACGATGGAAGAAATACCAGCTCTCTTGGATTGACCTTCTGCAGGAGCAGCCGCAGCCAACTGTCCTAGGGCGGCTAGAGACGCCGCGATAATGGCTTTGAAGGGGCTCATGTTCAGTGTGGATGAAATAATGAATCAAAAAGCTTGGAGATAGTACTGGCTTGTCAGACAAGACAACTCTTAGTTATTGGAATAATTTACTTATTTATATAGCCCATTATCAACGTCTGACAAGAGGTCTCTATCAGCTAGGTAGGCAATAAAATTTCGCCGCAGTCTGAGTATCTTAAACGCCTGACGGCCTTACATGTCGCCGCTTAGACAGCTCCGAATAGAAGCGGAACATCTCATAGGTGCGCAAAAAGAAGCTTCTGCCTAATTGACACATAAATGTTATCATCGGGACGCTTGATTATGCAAGAGATATTAATACACGGGATAGCCATCGAACAGCCTTGGTTATGAATGAGAATACCATTCTGAGCGTGTGTTAAAGCCTGTTCGAGCTTTTGAGCATTGCGAATTGGAACTGATCTGGAACCGACGGCTATTTCGTGGAAGTTCATATATGCGCAGGATAAATTATACAAGACTGTGTATACAGGTGTGTTTTGAGCCAGAGCAAGTACGCCGCGTGAAGGACCTGAACAAAGTTTATACCGCAAATGGGCGACGAAGGGGAAAGAGTACGAAGAGACATTTATCAATGAATGAACCAATCGACAAGAGACATGGGAACAACTTCAGGATGTAAGAAAGCATTCTGGCATTTGAGTTGGAAGCCAACCGGCTAGGAAGCTTGTGAACAGAGCAGACGTCGGTATAAAGAGCCTCTACAACCCTAACTTGTATACCACGAAGCTTAAAAGGAGATCCATTGCATACTAAGATAAATCACCAACCCAATCGGGTACCAACCCCAGATTATCAGGGAACAATCGCGCGCGCTGATCTAGACCTTGATATATCACAATGTACCACACACAGTTTGATGTAAACGCACCAATCATCGGCTGGACCTGTCAGTTGCAGGAGACGATCTCGCTTATCCTGAAAATAACCAGCGGAGATATTTGATGGCTTATTTCGGAGTAATTGCAATTTCCCCGTGAGAAGGGCAAAGTAAAGGGCCGTTTAAACATCAGAGATCGGAGAAAGACTCAGATATAGGAAGGACATGAAATAGTCGTACGAGCAGCACTTTACAGATCCGGGATAACGCTGCCGCACGAATGGGACTCTCTCTGGATAAATATACTTCTCCAGGAAGCGGCTATAGCATTCTGAAGTGCTCTTAAAGTAGATCTCTGACGGTTAAAGCTGGTTTCATTTCCGCGTATCCCCCACATACCGGCGGCCCCGCATAATAAATCTACGATACAAAATATCTTGATACAAAATATTCTGATTTAATATAATATCTTGTCTAACCAGGCAAGGATGAATGGAACGATCAAATCCTCACAAAGGTAGGGTTGAGATTTTTGTAATTCGGGAGAAATTTCGGAATGCTCTAAGAGAAGAAATAGTTCCGTCAATAAATGTCGGATATAAGGCAGGTAAATTAGTACCCTGCGACTTGTGTGGTAAATTAGTATGTAATCATCGTATGTGTCCATGCTTTTAAGGGGCTGCCTTCGACTTTTGCAAAACTTCGTCCACGATTCCTAGATAATCTTGAGATTTATAAGGGACAAACGTATCACGGACTCCAAGTCTTCCCTTTCGCTTTGCCTTTAATCCCATATCTTTCATCAACAGATCAATAAAATGCTGAATCCCAGTACCGGGCCTGGGTTCCAGAGTCAAATTCTTCCGGAGAGACCACGCATTCACCTTTGCAATCTCATAGTCTATGTCCTCCTTGCTGTTTGAGATGTTTAGATCGACCAGGCTCTCAAGCCAGCAGATTGCCCATAGCGCGGAAACTTCACTGAGGATATGCGTCTGAAAGCTGATTAAGTATCCTAGAAATATGAGAGACCGGTCATTTTGTGCGGCTAAAGATGAAGGCAGCATGTATCGATGTAGGCGGTATGGTGTAAGAGCAGGTGTGCTCCGAAGTCCTGGCGAGTCTTTCAAGATCGGTAGAAGTGATAGCACATCTACATCTGCTTTCGTGTGAAGCTTTTGCCAGTAGTCTTTTGTGATTTGATCTTCTAGCGCGATGGGCTTTGGCAAGCCTAGAGAGAGTCCAAGAGAAGGCTCAAAGAGCATGTCTTCACCTGACCAGCCCGTGCCATACACCAAAGCTTGACAGTTGACAGTTTCGCCATTAGAAAGATGCAGCGTTTGGTCTTGAGCAGAAATGATTCGGGCTCGGTGAACCGTGATAAGACCGTCTGGCTTGCTCAGTTCTGGGAGGAACTTGGGATAGCTGTGGAGAGCAGCGCCTCCCGCAGCCGAAAATAAAGCACTACAACATGTTAGATATTGACACATATACATATCTTTGTGAAGAAAGACTCAATACTCGCCTGTCGTCTTCAGGCAACAACTTTTCTCTATTTTCATCCGTCATGCCGGCGTATAACCCACTTGTCCGCATCTTCTTCGCCGCAAAGGACCAGAACTTATCAATGAACCACGTCCCTAGCCTGTTCTTCCCACTGTAGAAGAATCGCCCAAAGAACGTGTTGACGCTGAAGATGCTGGCAGAAAAGATGTCTTTCCATCGTCCAACAAACTGGCCAACGTGAAATCCCCCCTTCAGCCGAGTATTGAAGAATACGTTGGGGCCGCTGCCTTTGTCACTGATGACCCAGTGGACCTTTTTACCTGCTTCAATGCAAAGATTTAAGGCATCAATGGCTGATTTGCCTCCGCCATATATAGCGACGCTTTCGACGTTTGTGCCAAGGAGAGCGTCATATTGCTGCCCAATGTCTTTGGTGTGCATAACGGGGCCCTTGAACTCAGACGTTATTAAATCCGGACATTTAGGATTTGAATACAGCCCCGTTGCGACAATTAGTTTATCGCATGTCAAAGATTCAGTTAGCTGTTTGCCGTCGTCGCTGGTGGTTTGCGCATCCAAAGTCCATCCTCCCTCTGGTGTCGCCCGGCGAATGTTTGTGACTCGGCAGGAAAGTTTGCATCGCTCGAGGAGCTGGAATTTCCGGGCATACTCGTGCAAGTATTCATGGACTTTAATGCCAGGCAGCTCATCCCAATTTTTGAGCCCGATGACACTGGACATGGGCAGATCACTAAAGTCGAATAGACCGACGGGGCCATCTGCTATGAAGCCCGGATAACATCTTGCCTTGGACCACACGCCGCCTACGGTGGCTTCTGAATCGATGATGGTTAGAGTTATAGTAGGGTTGACCTGTAGATATCTACCCTGTATTAGCTTAAGTTGGTGAGTCCTCATAGGATGCATAAAGCTCTCATACGTTTTCGCGGCAGCCAGGCCAGCCCATCCTAATGCCAGTTAGCGGGGGTTAATGTTTCTTTACTTTATAAGGGTGATAGTATTGACCTGCGCCAATGATAACCACCTTTGTCGGTTGTTTGGCCTCCTGAGCCATCGCTTCACGTACATGTAAGGTTCGCCCCAGATGAGTTAATTGTGCTCATACCACCATAAAGAGATGAATACTGGCGTTGGTTTGCACTGAATGCATTTAAGGTAATGAATCATAGAGAAACTAAAGATATGAGCGCTGAAAGATATGAAATATAGCCTGCCTGCCCCTTGAAATAGGCCGTTGGCCATGCTGTAAGACGCATGTAAGCAATTAGTTAGCTTTAGATTCGCAACATATTTTGCCTCTTATGGTAAGATCGGGGACTCACATCGTGAAATCTAATCGACACAACTCTCTATTTCGTATTGGTAGAGAGTGGGCGTCAAGATATTGGACGTTTTACTCTCAAAAGCAACTGTGTCTAGTGGTTTGCGGCTCATATTTACAAGTGCACGCAAAATGATATCTGGCCGTTCAATGGCTGCCATAAGAGGTGTGTCTATAAAGTTCTTACTTTAATGCCTATGGCGTGTCGGAGAAGCTATCAGCACTAATTTTTTTTTTGAAGAAGATGCACCCAGTCTGCCCTCTCGCCAAGCAGCGTTACGCTTGGAAACCCACAGCCTCCTCTCAACGTAAAGTCAAAGTACGCTTGCATGGTTGCCATCATGACCATTGCAGCCACTCCCACATCACCAGCAGTTGTCGTAGAAAAGTCTGGCAGCATCCAATCTTTGAAGCCGGGATCAACCACATTTGCCTGAATCAAGCCGGCGAAACGCGAAGCCATATCTTGAAAGTCTATAGTTGCGATGCTTTGGGGCCGCACATCAATAACGAGTTTCTTCTTGCTTTCGTGAGAGACAAACAATTCTCTCATCTCTTCAGCATGTCCGTTGACGTAAGAGCTAAACTGAATTATGATTGCGAGCCACATATCATCAGCTCGTAGCACGAGATGAAGATCTTGTTGGAAAGCGCGGATTATTCCGTTGACAACTCCATTTTTATAGGGCACCAAAGCCATTCTCTCTTTATCCATGTCCTCGAAAGATTGAAAGAGTACTTAGCTAGACTCAGGACCAGACTGCCTATTAGCGAGCCTCATATGCGGCGATATAGGTGGAGTCCAGAATTTGGAGACTTCACGAAGCAGCACATGAGCAGAGGATATCGCAGGTCCATCGCTGTTGACGCCAACAATGTCAGGGCACGGTCTGGTCACAATATGTGCCCCTCTGTGGATTTCGGAGTCTTTGGATGTCGACATGATAAAATAGGATGCGAATAGAGTAGGTATGAATGGCTCTAAAGAAGAAGAACCCAGGGGAGCTACTGATATCTTGTAGGCAGTTAGAGGTTAACCGTCGATTCCCAAAGGAAGAAGGATGAAAACTCATCACAGCAGACAAATGAACTTTTTGGGTGCTATTTGTAGATTTCGAGCAGCAGGGAAATTGTGATCAGACGTTACGCTGCCACAGCTTTGTTAAGCACTGATAATGCAGTTTCCACGACACTGTTACACCATAGTGAAGCTCTAGCACTGCATAATTGAATGATTCGGGCGAGATAAGGCTGTTTCCCGTCGCTTTGCCACGGTCAAAGCATCGTCAAATCGGCAGGATGCATGCTCACCATTTGTTTTCCGCTCAACATTTGTTTTCCGCTCAACATTAACCAAATGTATGCACTTGTCACGGCTATTAACGGCGAAAATAACAATTTGAGCACCATGCTTCGTCATAATCTCCTTTGATGCCTGTTTCCGCACTCTTTCGATTCCATCGTGTACCGACACCATCTCGGCAACGAGCATGCTGAGTGAAGCGGTGAGGATATTGACATGAGCTGTCACCGCTCTTGGGGCCTTGTGATGATAGTTTTGAGCTGTTTCGTCGAAGGCTTAGGCACAAGAAGGAACAAGAGGAAACAGGAAGTAACCAAAGAAGAACTTTTATGGAAGAGCGTGCCACAGACGTATATTAGAGACAGCATTGGTGCCACAGCTTAGTCGAGATAGCGTTGAGAAGAGAGACAGATGTGCTGGCTTCTCCTTCACAGCAAAGCTTGTTTGTCTATCGGCAGCTTAAAACACGTATACCGATAAGCGTAAAAATGAGACACTTACTCCTGCGTGTATGCTATCTGGGTGTATTACAGAAAGTCAATCTGCCGGCCATCAGCATATTCAAAGGTGGATTCGTTAAATGTCAATCACCCAACAATTCAGATTGTAAGAAATTGATGAGCGAAATAGGCTCAAGGCGTAGGCGGAGTCGAAGAATAGGCTTGGGTTTTTGTACGCAAAAACGGACAAGTTTTGCCGAGAAGAGGAACAAAAGCGAGAATCTTCTCATGTGTGGCAGACAACTCAACGTCATCGGCCTTGTTTTAATGGTACACGTATGTTCGCTTATACAAGGTATATGAACTCAACTACATGGTAAACAAGCTTACATAGGCTCAGCCAACGTTCTCGGGTTATATCAACGCTGCCGAACTCACCGTTCAGAGCTCACTCGCTCCAGCATCTCAGCTACCCTCCCATGTCCATAGTTTCTCGCCACAGAAGCTGGTGTGTCGCCGTCCTTATCCACAAAGTCGACCTTTGCGCCAGCAGCTATCAGTAGCTTCACAATGGCCCCGTAGCCACTCACAGCTGGCCCATATATCGGCGATCTACCCGCGTCCGACAAGATGTTGACATCAACATCTTTCCTTTGCGTGAGCAGCTCCACAATCGCCGTGTTGCCATACCAAGCAGCAGCCCATAGAGGTGTTACGAGTGTACTGTCGGCATTCTTAACATCGGGATCTACTCCCTCTTTGAGAAGCCTCCTGACAGCTGCCACGTCTCCATCTTTGGCAGCGTTGAAGAATGTCGCAATAGCAGTCCACTCTTTGCGAAGAGGAAGAAACCCATGGCGATTGCATAAGAGGTTGAGGACTTTATGCCGTCCAGATGCAGCGGCCGCAAGACATACCGAGTCCTGTATCAAGGCTGAAACGTCGCTGAGTCGCTTATCAAGAAGTAGATCCATCACTTCTTCGCCGTGGTTCACGTTCGCTGCAGCGGCTATCAATATGTCCTCTGTAATTTCGATCTCATCTCCACGCTCCTCCAAGAGAAGCGCTGTAACTCCTCTGTTATTCTGCACAGCCGCTTTCATCACTTGCTCGGTGATTTTGATATCGCTTCCCCGCTCCTTAAAAAGTAGCTGCATCACCGATCTGCTGCCTCTCCCTCTCCCAACCGCAGCTAAAATCACATCTTCTGTAATCTGGACCATTTCTCCATATGTTTGGAGAAGCAGCAGCATGACCGCTCTACCGCTGCCAGAGTTTCTCGCAGCGGCTTTCACGATACTCTCTGTGATCCGAATCTCGCTCCCAAACTTCTCCAGCAAGAATAATAAAGCCGCTCTGCTGTTTTCAGCGGCCGCCTTTATTATTTTCTCTGTAATCTTGATCTCTCCTCCACGTTTTTGAAACAGAAGAGCCAAAACTGCTCTGCTGTTTTCCCTATTTTCAGCTGCGGCTATAACCACATCCTCTGTGATTTCGATCTCGCTTCCGTACTTGTCCAAAAGCCAAAGCATCATTGCTCTCCCGCAACTGGAATTTTTCGCCATAGCTTTAGTGATGCGCTCTGTGATTTTGGCATTGCTTTTGCGAAGCATAAGCGTCAGTATTGGTGCGGTGTTGTTATCGTTACCAGCAGCAGTTATAACGACATCCTCTGTGATCTCAATCTTGCTTCCATATTTTTCGAAAAGCATCGTCATGACCAAGGTGCAGTTTATTGTGCTTCCCACAACGGCCTTGATCATGTCCTCTGTAATTTTGACGTCGCTGTCACACTTCTCGAGAAGGAGCCCGACTGCCTCTTTGTGATAGCTCCTTGCAGCGGCCTCAATGACTTCTTCTGTAATCTTGATTTGATTTCCATACTTCTCCAAAAGGAATGTCAAGACATCGCTGGAATAGTTTCTGGCAGCCACTTTGACCACATCTTCTGTAATCTGGAACTCACTTCCACGCTTCTCAAGAAGAAGTGCCATGGGCAGGCGACCATGCCGATTCGCCGCCGCAGCCTTTGCTATATTTTCGGTGACCCGCACCTCATCTCCGCGCTCCTTTAAAAGCAGTGAGAGCAATTCTGGGCTGGATTGGTTGCTCGCAGCGGCTTTCATCACTCTCTCTGTTATTTTGACCTCTTTCGGGCGTCGATCGAGAAGATTCCTCATCGTTGCATGCCCAGTGCTGTCATTCTCTGCTACAGCTATCAGGACATCCTCTGTAATCTCGATCTCGTTTCCATGTGTCTCGAGTAGTGAGGCCATCAATCTTGTGCTTCCGTAATAGCTTTTGGCCGCAGCTTTAACCACGTTTTCCGTGAACTTGATTTCATTTCCACGGTACTCGAGAAGCAGCGCGAACGCCTCATCAGCGTCGAAAGACGATGCGGCAGCCACCACAACAGGTTCTGTGAGGTGAATCTTATCTCCATGCTGTTCAAAAAGCCATGTTATGAGCGCTCCGCTACCCGAGTACCCTACCACAGCTTCAAGCACCTCTTCTGGAATGTTATGCTTACTCCCTGATTTCCCAAGAAATAACGTAATTATCGCCCTGCCATTGGAAGGACTGATCGTCGATGCTTTAGCTATGTCTTCTGTGATCTCAATCTTGTTGTCATTGCCCTCGAGAAGAATTTCAGCAAGCGCTTTGCCGTTTTTGTAATTCCTTACCGCGGTTTGAAGGATATCTTCAGTGATAAGGATATCTCCTTTGCGTTCTTCTAGTAAATGAGAAATTATTTCCATGCTCTTTTCCCATTGTTTCGCGGCAGCTTTGACGACATCTTCAGTGATTTCAGCCCTTCCTACTCGCTTAAGAAGTAGTTCCATCACGCCTCGACTGTAATAATCATTACTGGCAGCTGCTTTGAGCACTTCTTCTGTGATTTCAATCTCCTTCTCACGCTGCTCCAGTAACAGAGTCATTGCTTCTTCTCCGTCTGCACAACCAGCCGCAGCTGCAACGACGGCTTCCGTGATCAAAGTATCATCCCACTGCGAACTCTGCACGAATTTGAGGATTTTTGCGCCAAAAATTTTAACCAAGTTGGCCAGCGCTTCATTAGAGATCTTCACGTTCTCGTGTAAGAGGAATTCCATGATGTCATGTCTGCAGGCATGGTTTGTTTGCAGCTTCAATACAAAGTCATCTGTAATCACAAAGTCATCTAGGCTCTTCAACAATAAGCGTATCACTGACGCGCCATACTTGTCATTCGCTGCGGCTGCCCTCATGAGAGACGGTGTGACGATGACGCGCCTGCTGCTTTCCAAAAACGATTGCATCATTTCTTGGTCGCAGTAGCGAGCGATTGCTTGCGCAGCTTCGTTGGTGAATTGAACGTTGCCGCGTCTCACGAGGGCACTCAAAGCATCGGAACCCGCAAGACCGCTACTGGCCGCCAGCTTAACTCTGCTTTGGTCAACAGTGGTGCCTCTAGCACGAAACTCAGACAATTCGGGCAGCCATGGGATGTGAGCTCTTGTCGCAATATCCCATACATTCTCTGCTTTGTCGAGATCCAGTATACCAGCAACCTCCCCCCATGCCTGGAGCGTAGGGGACTTGGGCTCTGTTACCTGGCGGATGATACTGGCGAAGCCGCTGATATCGTCCTCAGCCTGAATATGACGGTGCCAATTGCGCGCAGCATAGCGAAGAAAAGGATACTGTCGGATCCTCTGATCTAGCTCGACACGATCACGACAAGACCCGCTCTTGAATTCTGAAAAACACAGATATACCATGCAGATCCTTCCCAGGTATGCAGAAGGGCGAAGAATGCGGCAGAATTCAGCAGCAGCCAGATGCCCGCTCACAAGGAGAAAGTCCTTCGCGGATTGATGTATCAAATAAACTCTCCCAAGACTAATTTCCAGGATCGCGACACTAGTGACCACGTACTCTGTAAGTCGTATCATATGTTTCTTCGCGGATTCTGCACTGCTAGAATCGTACTGGACGGAGAGGGCTTCTTGCAGCTCGGGCAAAGTCAAAGCTTGTTGGCCGTAAACAACCCAAGCAAGAAGTTTCTGCTGTATTGAATTCTCGCTGCGCATGACCTGTGTCATGATATCTTCGTATAGAGCTGTCAAGTCTGAAGGACTCTGAGTGATGATTTTCTCCATGTCCACTTCCGATAGCGGTGAAGTTACAGCTTTGATCTTCTTCAGGACAATAGATATCCAGATAAAAGTCTGCCCAGCCCGGCTCGTCAGCAGCCTGATCGCATTGCCATGAAGATCGTCACTCAATCCAATTTTCTCAATTTGAGATCGAATAAACGCTTCTAGATCTTGAGGGTTGGCTTTCAGGTGTATGAATGGGTGTTGTTCCAACACACGGCTCAGCTCTACTTTCGGGCGGCTAATCATGAGTGCCTTGATGACAAGGTCGGTTGGTTTGCTAATTGATGATGATTTGACGAGCTTGGAAAAGAAGTCTGGCAGCCTAGGGGTCGGCGAGTCATCTCGACACTCGTCTAGCGCGTCAAAGACGCAGTAGATAGTGCCAAAAATAGATGTACGTAGCAGTTCTTCCAGAACTCGCCACAAAATGTACTCCGGTATAACCTGCGACTCGATGTCAAACTTTTCGGAAATCACCTGAAAAGCAAGTCCGCGGCGATGCAAAATGAGTTGTTTGATGAGCGATCTTAGTGCGGCATCCACGGTTCGGAGATTTTGATCCTGGTCGTAGAAGAAGAAGTAGATGATCGTAGGTTTAGAACCAGAGTCAGAGGTGGCGCGTTCCAAATGATCCAGGAGAAACTTGGCCAAAACAGTTTTCCCTTGGCCTGCTGATCCTCTAATCCACAGAATAGAGGACTCGTTGCTATCTTTCCAAGAAAGAAATTGCTTTTCGCGTAAGAACCAGCGAAGTGTCCCAGGTGCCGGGTCATCAACCTTGCCATGTCTAAACCAGTCATAGGTTGGGGAGTTGAGGGCGTTGATATACTGAGATTCCAAAGCTGATAGCTCTGTGAATAGTTTAGTATATGCGCGCGTTCTCAAGCAGACTCTTGCAGTCAAGGGCGCCTACTTTTTTGGTGACTGATAAACCGCGATTTAACAATCGGGAGTGCTTGATCTGTTAATTGCCTAATCCTTGCTTCTATAATCGCGTAATCTTGGTTGGATGGATTATGGAATTTAACAATATCAGAGTGATCCGCATCTATAGGAAGATGGTCATATGCTTTCTCGTTCTTACTGACATGCGTTGCAGAAGTATGCGGTACCATCATGACCTTTTGCCCAGTCCTCTCCCATGACGCTGTTTTCACGGACCACTATGCAGCGTTAGATGATATTCAAATGAGGAACGATGCAAGACTGGAGTGCTTACCTCAACTGTGGGTGTCATCTGCGTTTCATAAACACATATGATGCGTGAGCTGTCGATTGTGAATCGCTCGTAAAACATGTTCTGTAAGAGACTCAGGAACCGTGACGACTCAGACAGATCTCTCACTAATGCTTCATTGGGCTGCCCTCTGACCATAGCCATAAGACTTGAAGTTTCAAGGCCTCTGTTAGGAACACCAAAGAGCATAAGCGCATAACACGACATGAAAATGGCTTTATCATCGTCACTGCCATCACATGCTTGAACAAGGGCCTGGATATCAAGATTAGCGATTTGAAACCCGTTTTCAGGGTATGTTTATGAAACCAAACATGAAGACTGTGCTTCATAAAACAGCAACTTTCGTCGTACCTGCTTTAAGACGAGGCCTCCAAGACTGTGTCCAATAAATATAAGGGGCCGGTTTTTCTATTCTGTATGAGTTTAAGTAACCCCTAGAACCTTCACGGTTACCAAACTTACAGAATCTCCAGATCTAGACGTTTTGACTGATTCAAGTAGTTTTTTAGATAGCTCAAGAATAGATGCTTCCGACTGACTTCCTGGTAATTTGGTATCGTAGCCGTATATCATGATGCGCGCATTTGGAACTGAGGGCGGAAGAAAATCGCGAAGCCACATATCTGCCCTGCCCCTGGCCTTCCAAGAGCCAAAAGCATGCCCAGACAGCCCGGTCACTGCAATAATACTAGAGAAAGGTCAATTATATCACCACTATGCAGCCGAGGGCGACTCACTCCACTGCTGGGCTTTGAAAGGGAGCGGCCAGAGGTGTGAGCCCAAAGAAATCTTCGTCGACAAGCAATCGGGTGGCTCCCTCGCCAAGTTTGCGCTTCAAAGACACCTCTAGATCGCTGAGCGCTGGGGCTACATGAAATGTAACGGTGGCAACGCAGAAACGCTCTGAAAGGCCAGCGATGGCAGCAGGCGTGAAGGACCATCCCAGTATATTGTTGGAGGTGAAATCTGAGGTAGTTTTGGATAAACTTCTTAAGATACCGCGAAATTGATCTCTGGTCACATCGCGAGGGATGTTGGAGACCCTGATGGTCAGGTATTTCCGTGGACTTTTGCGGGGTATATGCGCTTGTCTATGAAGATTCATATGCGGACGAGGAATAAGCAGCGCCAGTCCAAATGACAGGATTGCTGCAAACATCGCTGTCGCGACGAGAAGAAAGGAGATGGCCATGGTGTTGATGGCATTTTTCTCTGTGGTAGAAGTATTACAAAACGAGGCGACAGGAGTTTAGGTACCCAGAGTTGGATATTGAGTACATGGGGGCAGGAGCGATGAGTGCTAGGTATTCAGCCTTGCGGCTACAGCATAAAGCGCCTCATGCCTGGAGCGAAGGATTCCGCTATGCCCTGTAAGACAGGGTGGGAAATGCGTGATCAGCACACAAATACTAATCTTTTGCGAGGAAATAGGCTACAGCATCACGATTCGATGTATCCACCAAACGTCTATGCTGATACAACATTGTTAAATCTCTTTGTAAGGCCTTTTTTTTTTTTTTTTTTTTGGTCGTGGTAGACTCTTGTTTCTTTTCTCAGTAGCGACTGGAAAATTAAAAGTCGTTCATTCATTGCTTTGACTACTGCAGCCTGTAAGCAACATGAGGGATATGTTCAAAGTTGCCACAGACCTAGGATTATCACGAATGGGTGAATTTGCGGCTTAGTAAAAAGACTGCGAAACTCGTATGCTACCTACCTATATCCTCTTGCTTAACGTTTTCCCACTTTGGCACTCCAAAGAGTTCCAGTCTCTCTACCTTACACCCATTCGCACATTGAAAAGTAATATTCACGATACTTGTTGGATATACTAACTGATATATGATTAAGCTTATCTAAAACATGGCTTCTGAGGATAATAAAGCATACTCTAGCTTAACCTAAAGTCTTGAAACGATCGAATGGGAAGCTTTGAACCAATAAGGCAAAAAAAATAGTCACACAAGGCTACCACATAACGGTCGTGTCACTTCAGGTGCACTTAGGTTGGTTAACCAACATTTAGAACTTGCCGTTTCAACTTTAAACTCGGCCGTCAAGATTAGCCCGTACCCACCACTCAGTCCAGCAACTCTCCACTAAAGAGGCGACAATGTTACGAATAGAGATACCTCGAGACGACAACTACCTATCTCACCTGACTTGGACGGTTGAGGCTCATTACTTCGATTCAACTTGTCGCAACCGCACAAAAAACCAAAGCCACAGCGACACGTAAACACAACGTTCATCCCCCAGTCCCTCCCTGCTTACACAACACGCAAGCAAAAAGTTGTCACCAGTTCCAACCTTTCCAAACTCCCAAGCCAACTCCCAAGCCACCGCCCACCAAGTCATCATGACTAATTAACAAATCGCTTGGCTCGCGCCCGCTCGGGCCTAACATATTCTCCGTGCGGAAGAAACCAATTTAAAATCCATGCGGAAAAGAAGCCCAAATAAAGAAAGAAAAATTCCTCGGGGCGCCGGAGTCCCGGATCGGTAACCCCGCCTGCCAAAAGCCGGCAAGCGCGAAGCCACTTTTTTTCGCAAGCAAGCCTCTGATCACGTCCCCATCTGCCGTCATAGCGCTACGTCATCGATGCCAAGACGTCAAATCGCCCGGCACAAGTGTCGCGTGTGTTAGTGATTGCGTGCCTACTGGAGATTGAGAAGAGAGCAGTAGAACAAAGAAGGGATGATGATTAACGCTGATTTGCATTGCTTGTTGCCCAGGCGAGTTTAACGCAAACGGGGCAGTCCTCGTGGGAATCAAGCAAATAAATGGGTAAAATCGGGCTGTGACGGTCACCATCTTGTGTAATGGACATGGAATAATGCCTGCATGCAACCCTTTTCACTTAGCAAAGCAGAGTGATCCGCTTTCCGCGTAATTCTAGCTGCGTCTCTCTCCGATCTTTCCTTGTCATACTTTTTTTACATCATTGCCCATTATTTCCTTCTCGTCGGTCTTCTTATTTGCTTGCGCATCTCCCGACCTTCTCTTTTTTCTTCTTCCATCTTGTCTTCTCGTCAACTGTTGATAATCTGTGATACCCTTCCCTTCCCTCTACAACTCCTCTTACAACTCTCGAATATCTCAATCTCTACGCTTGATAGATATTCTCCCTCCTCTTCCTCGACATCCATACTGTATTTATAAAAGCCAACTCTCTACTCAGCCTTTCAGCCACTTTCAGCCGCCCACTATCCCACAATGGCTGTGAGAGGCTTCGTCTCATACTGGGTAAGTGATGGATTTACATCTTGATTTCAATACCTCAATAAGCTAGGGTTCCTAATTATATTATAATCATCCAGATACTCCCAGTCATCTCCAGTCTCGTCTGGTGCGGCATGCTGCTGGGCCTCCTCCTCTACTGGGTCGTCGATACGAATAGCGAGCATTACTCTTATATGGATAAGGGTGACAACATTGCGTTCATCAGCGACATTGGCGCGTCCAAGCTCAAGCCTCTCTTCATCGCCGGATCATCCGTCACGACCGCCTTCCTCGATCTGTCTTTTGCCGCCGAGCGTTTGTTGCGTCACAACGGACGACTTGTTCCCAACACGACCGGAAAAGAAAAGGTCTTTTCGATTCTGAGCATCATTTTCGCCATCGTCGGCACGTGTGGATTGATTCTGTTGTCCATTTTCGATACTCACCACCACCACCGAGCTCACGACGTGTTCCTCCTGCTGTTTATTGCTGGATACATCATCTCTGCCATTTTCATCTGCGCCGAGTACTATGTGCTAGGTTTATGTACGGCTCCAAAGAGAAGAAGAACTGCAGTTTTTGATGAATAGTGTTGCTAATATTCTGTTACAGATAACCGCCATCACAAGGTCCTCCGCATCTCATTCTGGGTCAAGATCGCATTCGTCATCGTCGAGTTCGTTTTCGCCGTCGTCTTCGTGGCTACCAACTGGAGCAACAACGAAAACGTCGCCGCCGTCTTCGAATGGATCATTGCCTTCATCTTCACCTTCTACATCCTTTCCTTTGTCATTGACTTGCTGCCCGCCGTGCGCACAAAAGACCACACCATGCGCTTCGTTAAGAATCTCAAGCACGACATGGAATCATCGCACAGCCAAGACGGTAATAGCAGCGTCCAGATGCAGCAGAACGGCCACGAGGAAGGTGTTACCCGATACAACTTCTAATTAATCAGAGAATGAAAAAGAAAACAGACCAATTGTACGAATGTAATAAGGAGAGTCGATGTATTGTTATGAAGAGAAGAGAAAAGGAAACGGCTCAAAGAGGCATTTATAAGGCGTTGGGCGGATTTTGTTATGGATTTTTTAGATCCATTATTTGGGAAATACCATGATAACGAACGGGCCATTGGATGATTTGTTATGCACAAGACTATTGTTCTTTAATAATGAGATAATCTGTATTTTTACTTGATAGATGACAGTACAAGTATGATTCAAGGGTAACCATAAGCCTCCTTACAACGCCTGACACATTATAACTCACTCATGATAGCCCTTTTTTGGGTATACGCAAGGATTATTAGGGGCACTACTCAATTTGAAAAAGAACAATGCAAGGTATAAAGGAAAGACCAGAGTTGCAGTCCAGCAGAAAAAAATTTCATCAACATCATGATCATATAACTGTTCAAACGGAAAAACAAAAACCTCCTTGGTGCGCCATGGTATTAGCTTGCATTTACTTGCAAGAGAATAAGACAAAAACATTCTTTCCCATAATCTGCAATAGACTGAACCGACTCCCCTCCCCACAACCTGCAAGAAAATGTGACGCTAGGCTTCCCCCAAGCCAATTTAATGGTCCATCATTTCTCTGAACCGAGAATCTCGCGCAGGGCTGTTGCTGTGGCGCGGCGCAGGGTCCTTTATGGCTGCTGGCGTCTCAAACCGTTCGATATCATTGCTCCTCCCGCTGCCTTTCCCACTACTGCCCAATCCACTGCGTGCACTGACTGGGCTCACGCCACGAGAATCTCTGCCTGTAGTCTCAGGCGCAGTCTCGTGCACAGTATCATGTACAGTCTCAGGCAGAATCTCAGGTGCGGCCTGCAGAGCAATGTCAGGCGTGGCCTCACGCGCGATCTCAGCAGTGTGATTCACTGGTGTCTCTTCGCCGGTCCTTCCCGCCAGAGTAACATCCCGTATGCTGGAAGAGCGATTCCCCAAGCTGGCCGTACTACCACCAGCCGCAGAGTCTCTGAGCGCAGCGCCGCCAATGAAGCTCTTCTTCTTTTCACTATGCTCGCTCACGGACTTGCCTCGCGAAAAGCGATTCTTGATCCAGCCCTTGACTCGCGCTGTTGGTGAAGTGGGTGTTTCAGAAGATGACTTTCTTTGTGAGATTTCGGCGCTATCAGTAGCAGCGGAAGCAGGAGCAGCAACGGCGATGGTAGCAGTAGGAGCCGGTGGAGGAGCACCTGTAGTAGTGGCAGCAGTAATCTCTTGCGTAGGGGTAATCGTGCGCTCGGGCGTAACAACTTCTCGCCTGCTTTGTGTCTCAGCGTCTTGTTCCTGTTCCTGTACTTCGTTGTCTTCGCGATGGACATCCTGAATCTCATGTAGGCTCTCTTGGACTTCATGGTGGACATCTTGGATACGGCTCTCCGGGTCTTCATGACGGATATTCTGGATCTCATGAGGGCTTTCTTGGGTTTCCGGATGGCTGTCTTGTGTTTGAGGATCGGTAACAATAGTCTGTGGCTTCGGATTCTTCTTGTCCTCTTTGGCTAGCCTCTTCTGTTCGGCTTTGGCCGCCTTCTCTTCGTCTCTCCTCTGCTTTTCTTCAATCTTCTCTTGCTGCCTTCTGGCCTTTTCTTGTTGCTTATCCTCCTCTATTTGGCCACGGTTAGAATAAACTTTTGCTCCGTATGGTAAAAGCAAACTGCGATGAAATCAAATCAAGCTTACCTCTGGCCCTCTTTTGAATTTCCTTTAGTTCGCGCTCGCGATCCTTTTCCCTTTCTGCCTCTGCCTTCTTTGCTTCCTCTTCCAATTTGAGTGACGCTAGCCGTTCCCGTTCTGCCTCGGCCTTTTCATGAATATCATCCAGCACGGGGCGCACTCTCCTGGCGGCAATGGCGTCGATCTCATCAGCATCCATGAACATACCGCCTCCAATGTCCACTCTGCCACCGTCGTCCGTCCGCGTATCATGTCGAAGCTGGGCCGCCTGCTGAGCTCTAATTTGCCAGTCACCTAATATCGTCGGGTTGACCTTTCCAGTCTCAAAATAATGTTGCTCGTCCATCCCTTGCAGGCTGGCTTTGACATTGCGTCGAGCAGCGATCAAGAGAGCTTCTCGGTCCCTTTCTCGCTTCTCTTCATCGACTTGTTCGAGCTGGGAAGTGAATAAAGACATTTGCTGGTGGACCAAGTCCGAACGCGTGCGGTCCTCCATGTCACTGTCACTGGCGGATCGACGTCGAATTCTGTCCATGATGGTAAAACGACGGCGCAGAGGCTTTTCTGAGGTATAGTAGTCGTGATATCGCCGATTCTTTTCATGTTCATCTTGAAGCTTGGCAAGACGTTCTTGCGCCTGCTTATATGCAGCATCCTGTAAGTTGACAAAGCGGTTGGCAGAAGGGCCAGCGTCGCCTTCGGTTCCGTCTTCAGAATCGTCGACTCGGTTCAGCTGCTGCTGCTGATACATTTTCTTGGCCATCTCGACTGCCGATTGGTGGATTCTTTCGTTTGTTGTTTGCTCATCAACCTCGGGCTTCACGGGTGGGTGCGACGTAAACATGTTTCGGGTCATGGTAGTAATTGGGATAGCACCTGTGTCCTCGATTTCTGGCGGCTTATTCATGGCAGCGTGGTGAGCTATAGATGCTCCATTCAGGGCACTCACGGAAGCCCTCTTGGCATCTGCATAATATGGCTCCGGAGGGGTAGAATACGAACGTGCTCTTGAAGCAGGAACTCCGAGTCTGGAGGGCGACATGGCTCCCTTGGCAGCCGCCAGAGGCTCCAGAGGCTTCTCCCTTGGTGAAGGGGGCGGTGAGCTGGCCGCTTTTGCTGATTGGAGTCGATTGGCTTGAAATGCCTGTGTTGCGGCAGAGCTTCCATGAGATGCAGTTAGTGTTGTTGGCTCTGGGGAAGCTGGTCGGTTCGCACTCGTAGTGAAGGCCGACGCCGCAGCTGTGTTGCCCCATGAATCGTGGCTAGACATCTTGACGCTCGAGTGTCTATAGGCAGTGCTGGCAGACCCAACTGCCAGCACCGCAGCTTTGGCTCCAGTTCCGTCCATGACAGGCTCCCAGGCTGGGTGTATCTTGTAGTCTTTGGCGAGAACCGCGGCGGCGGAGGCTGATGACGTTTTATCTGGCTTCCAGGTTTCGATGGGCTTGTGGCTAATCCAGCCAAGAGATGCTGCTGCACTGGCAGCTGCGCCACCCGGGCTCAGACCGGAGGATGGATAACTTGGAAGGCTACGAGGATCGGCGTACTTGAGCCTGCCGCTGGCGGACACTGTGATTGATAGTAAGCAACGAGTATGGGGGACAGACAGATTCAGTAATAAAGGTGTGAATGAGTGTGTGTGAATGCAATATCGAGCTCTAGCCAGGCATAAATAAAACAAAAACCGCTTATCTACGGGACAGTAATAGCCAGCGGCGCAAATACGAGGAGGTGTGACAAAAATAAAATCTTACGGCAGGCGAGGCGAGGCAAGGAATGGAAAGAAAGGAAAAGGCAAGGCAGGCGATGCGGGAGGACGCAAGAGAAGGAAATAGTAACACATTGCAGGCAGAACAGCAATAAAGGAACGGGAATGGTGGCAACGAAAAAGAAGGGAGAAGAGGGCCGATCATGTCTGTTTTCTCTGTTTTTCTTTTTTTCTTCTTTTTTCAAATGTCACTCTTGCTTCTTCAATCACTCATTCAGCATACATACATGAATTATGTCGCGCCGGCGGTTTTGCCACGGATGGGCGCGGCCCTGCCCCAGCTTCCGCAGCTGCGGCTGTCGCTGTCTGCATCATATCGACCCCCGTCTAGGTGTCTAGGTGGGGAGGCTCGAGATCAGATACGAGGAGGAAGACCAGAAGCGGCGGGTAGCGAGTCGCCGCCAGGCCAAAAAAAGGATGCTGCAGCCTTGCTGGTCAAGTGACGCTGCGCTCACGGGCGCGATACGACGTGGTGGCCAAAGACGAGCAGCGCTGGTCAGTGCGAGGAGCTGGACGATCGTCGAGGCTAAACCAGCTACAGCAGCTCTGTGAGCTCGACGCTCATCACCTGTCGTGTTGGTGCAGGCGCAGATGCAGATGCAGATGCGTGGTGTAGTCGGATCAGGAAATCCACAGTCTCCAAAGGGTATCCAAAGGGGACCTGCTCGATGGTCTGTCTGCTTGCTCAATTCGTCGTCTGTCTGCTTGGCGGATTATCGGATTGGCGGATTGGCGGATCGTAGGGTCTGGTCCGCAGTGGCACGCAGGAGGAGCCACAGAACGGCGAGGGCAACAAGACTGTGGAGATGGAGGGCAGGACGAGGCGAAAAATGATGAGTGAATGAATGAGTGAATGAATGAATAATGAGTGCTAGGTACTAGGATGGGCGGAATGGATGGCTTGGGCAGCTTCTTATGTAAATCACCAGATAGATAGATGAAAGCTGGAACGGCGGCAGCATCGGCGGCGCAGGCACTAGATTCGGCAGCAACAGGTGAAGCTCCCCGTCGCCTGGTTATTACTAGCAGGATAGTGAGACTCTAACCCGTCAATGGATCCCTGGCATTGGACACAAGTGTAGACTTTTGGCAGTAGCCTCAATAGCTGGGCCCTTGAAGCTTGACGGGCTGCTTGTCTCGTAACGGCGACACACGCAAAAAGAATGAGAAGAGGCCATCAGAAACGCCTCCCACATGTCACAGCGACAGGCTTGACGTCATGACAGCCCGGCTAGATCTTGGTGCATGACGCTATGCAGCTTCTTTTATTTTTTTCTGGGCCGGCACGTCCGCCTGGCAGCTTCAGGTCGAGACACCAATTCGTCCGGTTAACTGCTAGGCCTAGGTAAGTAATGGTTAGTAAGTGGTGGGTGATGCTCAACTGTAAATTGGGATTGCCCGTCTTGCTGCCACATCCAGCTGCCATTGAGACCAACTTTCACTTTGTACCCCCGGTCGGCAGCAGCAGCTTTGTCGATCAACCCCCCATTGTGGAACGAGCTGGGGCGGGAACGTGCCTTAGCAGGCCGTGACAGACAAGGACTTCCCGTGCTGGATGCTCGAGTCTATTGAGAGTACGTGTAATGGATTGATGATACCTATTGCAGCTCAGGTGTTAGCGGCTATTATATCATGTATTTTGCTGCTCAGGATTAGCCGTACTAAAGAATCAAGTTCTGTCAAGACAAGCAGCCAGCCGTCCCAAGCGCGCGAAACACGACTTCTACATGGTCCCAATCGTGCTACCTAGTTATGCCTAGCTGAGCCTCGTTTTAGGTAGCATCAACGGCCACCGCAGCAGAGCAGCTCCAGAAGCTCCTTGCCAGCCTGCCTCTGCGTGGCATTCTCTGCCTGCCAATTCCTTCTCCTCTCCCGCCGCAATTGAACAACCTTCATGCTCCCATCACCAACTGAGACAGATTGCGCTAATTCCCCATAGCCTCTATTATCAGGAATACCAGTGGGGGGCTGAGCAACAGTGACGTAACCTTGAGATCGCGCCTGACCCCAGCACGAGCAAGCATCACTACTAGTAGCATCGTCCGAATTACAGAGTACAGGGCATTAGATAGACGCGAAGCACAACCGGCGCAGCAGCTTGTTCAGCCTCAGTGCTTCAATCTCCATAGTAAACAGCTAGTACAGATCCCAGATGCGCGCGTTCGCTTTCTCGCTTGCGCCTGATCCTCCCTCATATTTCGCCGGTCCGGGGCTGATAATGCTGTTCCTTTCGAGGCGTTTTTAACCGCATTCCGTGGGCGTCCTGTCATTCTTGGCTTTTGCCCAAGGAGGCTTGCTAGAAGCATGATTATACCAATTATGCTTAGTATAGGAAAGCCTTCATCTCGTATTCATCTCATGCAAAGAAGTTTATTGTTTAGATGGCAATTACCTCTGAGCGCCAACAAGCCAGCCACGGCGAGTAACTTCGGGTACCTACTTATTTTCACCAATCGATATTGTTTGTGGACGGTATTGAACATGGGAACAAAAAAAGGTTTAATCAAGAGAAATGATAATTGGAGCCTTTTACACGCTTCATATCATACAGAGCTGTGTCGACTTATTACACACACGTCTTGCTTGGGCGCAATTGGCCTAGGGTAGGTAGATAATGTGGGAGGAGGAAAAAGTCAAGACCACGAACTGGGAATAACAAACACTTGTACTCGGTATATACTGCAAGAACATGAAGCCTTTTAGCATATTGACAACGTGGTTTCATGGTGTAATGTTCCTTTCTGCTTTTGTTCTATAGCTGCTCGCCCAGCTAAGCTAGTCCACATGCACTCATCTTAGCGTCGCTGACAGAAGAAATTCACAATACTTCCACTACAATATCTTGACTCCCACATAGGATACTTCACGACGGTTGATTCACGAGAGGGTCACTGTCCCATTCAATATGCACTTCATCGAAAAAAATATGGATCAAGAAACTCGGCTGCAGCAAGTACCCAACTTTAGAGATGTTGGCAAAACCGTCAACCAGCATCTAGGAGAGAGGTCAACCAACCCGTAGCATCTCATACACATGCAGGCAATTCGTCAACTAACAATCCAGTAGACGCATTCGCGAGGGCCTCTTTTACCGCTCTGGAAGGCTAGGTACGAGAGATTTCAAAGGCTCCAAATTTCACCCTCAACGAATTAGTATTCACCAGCCACTTACTCGCCCTAAAATCTTGATTATTTTAGACGATGCCACCGCTGCGGACAAGAACCTCATCCGAGATGAGCTTGAGATGAAGACTGTCATTGATTTACGGACAAAGTAAGCTGAACTGTTACGTGACGAAAATAGATTTGCTTCGCACAAGCTCATTTGTGTTGAATAGAACAGAGATACTTAAACAAATCAAAAAGCACCAACTTGAACCCGGCCACTCTTCCGCCTCTTCTTTCCAAATACAAGGTTTATACTATCACGGCATCAAAATCAACGGCAAATCATTCGAGAGACATCTATTAAGCTTGCTATCGTGGTGGGACTTCTTGTGAGTATTTAAGCTTTCATCCTCCCCCACTCTGCTTTTTCTCACGGCCCCAATGCCCGTATTCTCTCGGGCGTCGACTGATGTCAACCTTTTCCACTCTTTATAGCAAAGTCATCTTTTTCTTCGTCCTTGGATACCGTATAGACGCCGTTAGGGTACTTAGCCATCAAGTCATGCTACCCCGTGGGCTTGTCGGCCTTGGCCTTGATACGCTCGATTATTGTGGCTCTGAGATACGAGAAGCCCTCTCGTTCTATACTACTCCTCAGTCGCTTCCCTCTGTCGTGCATTGTACACAGGGGAAAGATCGTACCGGCAAGATGAACCCCTTTGCGCCTTAGCCTCACAGCCGATTTGCTAACGAGAGCATTGTAGGGCTCATATGCGCTTTGGTATTGATGATACTAAACATCCCCAGAGCGGCCATAGAACACGACTACTTTCTCACTGACGCTGCTCTTGTGCCCAGCCGGCCTCAGATGCTTATAGAAATCCATGAGATTGGCTTAACTGATGAGTGGGCGGGTACTGCAAACGATATGATTTCCTCGATTGAATCTCACATCAAAGCCAAATACGGAAGCTTAGACGGCTACCTTGACTCCATTGGGTTTGGCCAAGAGCAGCGAGCTCTGGTCCAAAAGACTCTACTTTACTGAGAGAAAAGAGAGAGTGAAATGCCCATTGCGTCAAGCTCTTGCATCGGTGTGTAGTAGAAGCGAGTGTTTGCGTCAAGTCTAGAGTTCTATTCTTTTCTAAAGCGCCCCTGCAGCCAGCAGCGATACATTTTTATCTTCTCAGCTCTATTAACCAGCAGCCGTCTGTCAACGCCGAGCTTCTCAATCGTAAATCGTGGCACGTCAGCCTCTTCCGAGTTTTCAGTAGCGTCCGGTCCAGACCAGATGCTTGCGAGTTCATCCCTGTCAAAGAAATACACGCGAGTACCGTCTCCACGAATGTAAAAATTTTCTTCCAGGTAGCGTCCTTTTCGGAAGCGTACCTGGGCTAGATCACCTCTTCCATAGTCCCGGAAGCAGACCAGGCCTCCAGGCTTCAGAGCTTTATAAATGTTCCGCACTGCCTGTGCCCATTCGCGGGGAGACAAGGCAGAGAATACGAAAATCATTATGGCCACGTCTACAGTTCCTTCTTCAACGTCAGGCGGGAGGCTCTCTCCAGAAACATCCCAGACGTCGGCTTGGATGTGTTTGGTATCATAAGCGTCGTTATTGCGCATGACTTCTACGGCTTGCTTAGAAAAATCGCAGGCATGGATTTTCAGGTGGGGATTCTTATTGTTGGCCAGCACAGGGAAAGCAGTATTACCCGCTCCCGCACCAACCTCCAAGATGAGTTTCGGGCCAGAGTCCTCTTTGGTTATATCTGCCAATATGGGAAACTCCTGCTGCAGCCACTTGCGGTCTTTGAAGAAATTGGACGTGTTGTTTTTATAGAATTTGTTCCACCACATGGCCGGATTTGAGTTGAACCTGTCTTTATGCATGCGTTAGTGATGCATACAAGGTATAAAGTGTGGAATTGAAGAAGAAGGATAGATGGTATATCAGATGGGAGCGAAAGAATATTGAAGGTAAGGTTTTTCATCAGAGAATTCAGATGAACTATGCATTGGAATGGGTATCATCATAATACCAAGTTGAAGGGCAATGGTAGGGACGAGGTAAAACTTACTCTTGTCAAAATCGGAGACGGGAGACTGACGCTGCTTTTCTAACTGCTCCTCAGTATACACTTTGTACGCATCGTCAGTCTCAACGTGGTCCCATGCATTAAACTCGAAGACATCGTCTCCGGCCTCCAGATAACGGCTGCCGAACTGGAAGGGATCGCTCCGCTTCAAGCTCTTGGCCGGATCATGCGATCGATGGGAAGGTACATCGGTCGGAGCCTCTACAGCCTCAACAGCCTCCGTCGCGGCTTTGAGGGCTGTCATATCCTCCAGCCCCGAGGCAGTAGCAATGGCACTGCCCGCTTCAAGGTCGATCATCGCCGCAGCTGGTCTGACAACGCACAGAAGTCCTTTAAAGGGAGACTTGGGAGTGTCTTTTCGACTGCTAGTGGCGAATGGTCACCTTCCAAAGCGCGGGTTCTAACGATAAAGAAAGAAAGGAAGTTGGCTGGAGAGAATAGAAAAAAAAAGAGAGCAAAAAGAAAGAAAAAAATTATTCTTAAATGGATTGCTGAGACGATTGGACGTGGGGGTGGGGTTTGGATTTATGCGCAATAATTGGCTGGCCTCCGTCGGCATCGGAATTTGTAGCTTTCCGTAGACTATGTCGGCAGGTGGGGAACGTGGCATAGAGCATGCCGTCTATAGCAGCGCGATAGCATCATGGGGAACATCTGTTACCAACTTAACCACAGCTATCGCTCCCAGCTCCCCAGCAACGCAGCAGACCCATTCATAGCCTTTGCCAATAATATAGCGCCCCCAAGGTAGCACGTTACAGGATTGACCAAGAAAAACCATCAAACTACATACATTTCGCATTGCGTTATCGCCTTCAATACCGTCGCCATGCCGCCGCTGCTGCTTCAACCACATGCCAGCCTCTCCCACGCCGAAGCCCTACAAGTCGCTCAACAAGCTCCAGAGTTCTTACGAAAGAATCCAGCATCCTATTCAGCATCGCCACTGCTGTCACTATTCTCCCCACCTGAGAACTCAAAGATATGGACAATATACGAGAATCTTCTGCTGGCCTGTTTGCGCACCGGTGATAATACTACTGCGCACCAATGCCTTGAAAGATTGGTGGTTCGATTCGGAGCGGGCGATGAGCGCATTGCGGCTCTTGAGGGCTTAGTGAAGGAAGCCGAGGCAACAAACAACAACGAGCTCGAGAAGGTGTTGAAAGAGTACGAGGCGATCCTGGCGGAAGACAACACGAACGCAGTGAGCACCCAGCGGATACATACACGCAACGAACCATGATTTACGCTAACATGAACAGCCAATCGCAAAAAGAAGGATTGCACTCTTACGTACGATGGGGAAAAATGCCGAAGCAATTGAAGCTTTAGTACAATTTCTCGACTTCGCATCCACCGACGCCGAGGCTTGGATAGAGCTGTCAGATTTGTATGTGTCCCAAGGGCTTTACGGTCAAGCCATCTATGCCCAAGAAGAGGCACTTATCATTGCGCCTAATGCGTGGAATGTAAGCTGCGTCAACAGAGACAATTATCGACTTGAAGAGCTATATGCTGACAGTTTCTGTTTTGTTATAGCTACATGCTCGTCTTGGCGAGATACATTTCATGGCTGCTGAGTGTGGCAGCGAAGGAAACTCCCAAAGCTATCTTGCCGAGAGCTTAAAACGCTTTTGCAGAAGTGTTGAGCTGTCTGACGACTATTTACGAGGCTACTATGGGCTGAAACGAGTGAGGACGCTTGTGAAATATCTTGAAGTTAAAAAACCAGACCACTTACATCTCATCCTAGGTCACTGATAAGCTCCTAAATGGAGACTCCAAAGCGAAGAAATCATCAGAGTCAAATGAGCTTACTCTACCAGAGACTTCGACAATTGAGAGGCTCAACGAGGCCGCAACGAAGAAACTGGGCGACATTGTGCGAAACTTCGACGCGAAGGCTCCTCAGTGGCAGGGATACGACGCTGGAGAGGTTGCGGCCGCCCGTGCCTATCTTTCAGACACTTCATACAAGGTTGTGCGATGAACTTGCTGAAACTGAGGTTGGGCCAAGATAATGAAGGCTTTCGAGCACGGCGAGTCTTTGTGCCTTGCATCGCTGTTATGCATATAAGCTCCAAAATATTCAGAAACCTGTGTTTATGTTTTGTCATTCATTCTTTGAGAATTCACACACTTGGTCAGCGGAACGACAGTGCATCCGAGGCGAGGCGGGCGGGCGTTCCAATCGCTTCATGGACGCAAGGCATATAAGCAGGGGGGCTGGGAAGAGGATACCCGACACGTGGAGTGGCTGTCGTGGAACCATTGAGAGCTGTTAAAACAATGGGCATAATGAACATAAAGGGCAAGTAGTTTTGTGGCAAAAACAATCAATATGTGAGACCACTTTCTCCTTTAGATGAAGGCAGTGAATCAAAGCCGTCGTCATCGTACGAGTGCCGGGGGTAGCACTGCTTGGTAGTTAAACGCCGATGCCAGGTTTGACAGTAGCACTATTCTTTGCACATTTGAGGGAAGGCAAACCAAATCGAATACCTACCTTCCATACTTGGCATATGTGGTATTCACGCAGTACTGCCGGTCGATTCATCAGCCTGTTTCACAGCGGATGCATACCAAGCATCCCGTGTCGGCCTTCAAGTGGCTCGGGCTCTGCCGCGCTGCTGCCGCCTCATCTGCTTTCGGAGCAAAGAGAGACCTTGGACGGAATCATGCATCGGGTAAACGATGTGTGCTGCAAGCTGCCAGAGTAACGACAGCGCACATGTCAAGGGTACATTTCATGTAGCCTCACCGTTGCAGAAACGGGGGCTGAAACAAAGCTCCTGATATTACTGGCTGCGGATTGGCTGGCAGCGTTCAGGCGGTTGCTTGTACGGATCCCAAGGCACAGACTACATCCAACGTATAAGTCGGAAATCGTCAACGAGGGTTGTGGGCGGATATTCTCTCAAGACTGCCCAAAATGCAGGGGTCGTCAGTTTTCTGGACGCCCTTTTTTTTTTTTTTTTTTGCTTTCTTGTTGTTCCATCCAAAACTGTCCTGATTTTCTAGGCTTCCCTGTGCTGCCTGCTCGGTTCATGCAACTCGTGCAGCGCTGTTCCAAGGCATGAGTCAAAAATGGTTGCTGGTTGGGCGTCAATTGTGGGTTTGCTTTGGGCTCCGCAGCGTGGGAAAAATTAATCCTTGTGACTCCGGATCAACGCCATGGCAAAACCCACAGTTGGCCAGGGTTTTATTTTCGAGGGATCGGTGGAAAGTGGGTGGCGGCAGATGTTGGTGCGTAGTACCCGGAGTTGTAATAGTGTGCAGTGGTGGATACGAGGCTTTCTTTGATATTGATCGATGTGATATCTTTCCAGGTGTTGGCCGTCAAGCATCGAAACTTTATCTAAGCTCGAGTTCCCTATCATGTTATATGATGTGTATATAATCATGCGTTGCTTTAGTACGATAGCCAGAGCCTGTGTCAAAGACCTGCGCTGGCTTCTTCTAGTACATGAATTTAGGCTGTGAAGAAGAAAAGTTCGCTTAAGCGACTGATTGCTGTCACCTCTCAGTTGGACCCGATTCACCACCGCCAGGAACACGTATCATGTTACATTGCTCAAGACTCAGGATATCTGCAGCATCGAGTCTACAGAGCTCCAGTCGGCCGACATAAGCGAGAGAAGCCTGTATGTGCTCGTAATCGATACTGTTCGCCCCAGCGCATCAGGTCGCGCGTCTGTTGGTAACTCGGCTGCGTGTTGCTCATCTCACATATGCGGCACAGCACAGCGCCAATGGGCTTGATGGATTCTGCTTCGAAGCGGTTGACCGCGCCATCGGCTGTCAGCTATCATATGCGACAGCAATTGCAGCTAGAATATGCAGGAGAGCGGAAAGCAGCTGAGATTTGAGCAATCTGCGAGAACAGCGCGCTTCACCTGTCGGTGAGCTCCTTCGACTGAAGAATGCTCCAGCTGCTAATCCATCTGGGAATATTGATGTTGTTCGCTCATCACTTTATTGCCGGCACTTCCCACAGGTGGTCAATAGCTCATAAACGCTGACCAAACTCTCGCCACCTAGGTGCATGTACATGTCATCAACAGCCGGAGGAGCGAGAACCTGGCGTAGCTGGGCAAATCTGCTTGTCCACTCCATACCTGCTCCTTGTGCTCTCGAAGAGAAAAGCAACAAGTCATACGCACACAAATGAGAGCCGGCCAGCTCATAGACGCACCGCAGAAGGGTGACACCACAGCTCACATCTCACCCACCGCAAGCTGAATGGCCAAGAAAGAGGTCTGCACCGCCCTGATTTGGGCATTTGACCCTTGAATCATGACTTGAGGAGAGATAAACAGGGCCTGCACAAGTATTTCATCCGTGGCCGCTGATATGGTCTGGCGATATTGGTACCCAGCTTCGCACAGCCCATGATGCTGGCGTTTATGTATTATCCAGTAGTAATGGTTTCCGGGTTGGGTACAGCATCACTGCTACCTTGCCGACCTGCTACCTTGTAAAACTTTTGCCAGCACAAGCCGCCAAGCCACAGCCCTAGACCACCACTTAAGCCGAGTATTGTGATTCTTTTATTTTCCAAGCTCTTTTCACATTGAACAACCAGTATCGAAAGGTCGCTCACTGCACAGTCCTTACAATGTCCGACTACAGAAACGCTGGATGCAGCTGAGGCCCATATAAACTTTAAGCCCCAAGCCTCGTAGGTCCCCTGTGGCGGTCCATGCCTCAGAAGGCCCTCAGCGATTGGATGCTAGGCCACTGCTAGAGCCCCCGAGCCGTCCCGCTGAGCCCAGTAGACAAAGTTCAATCAATGCTTCTGCGTTGTTCATTGCCTGTGCGAAAAATCTCTCCACCCGGACTAAGATGCGCTGGGCCTCGCCCTTTGGCCTCCTCCCTTCGCAGTTATAACGGGTCCTCGTTTGTTATTCTCCTCCTCGGCGTCTAATACGCCCCTCCTCAACCGATTCCCGCCATTTCCACCCTCAACCCCATGCACCAGCTGCAGGCATCGCCTTCATTGAGTGGGTAGCACAGCCGCTCTGCCTCGTCCTGTTGTCGATACCGGCACCTGCACGCAAGCGCACAGAAACACGCACATCCCACACTCTTCTCCCCTCCCCCCCCTTTTTTTTTTTTTTTTTTTTTTCCCCCCTTCCCTTTTGTTCTTCAATCGTGCAGCTTCTCCAACCAAGATCTCAGTATCCCCTCACCGCCGATCACCCGCAGACCCGTCGAGGCTCGACTCTTGGGCTCTCAGTCGCCAGCCCATTCGCCGCCTTGGCTGCTGCGTCTGACACACCACTCGCACAATTTGTCTACCAGCTTCTGACTTCTTTTCTTGCTCCTCTTATTTTTCTCGAACATTTTTTCCTTCGTCGGACTCATAAGACCCTCGGAACCCCCTCCCGCCACTGAGCGCCTTGTCATCCTGACCTTGCTCTTCCCCCTCCTCTACGCCTTTGAGACAAGAGGGAGCACTAATTTGCTGCGACCCTACCATCTTGTATCGCCCTATTAGTCTCTTTTTATTCAATTTTGCTGTCAACTGGTTGCCCGGCATTTGTACGCGCCATTCGAAGTCTCCCGTCACACTCTCAGCTCATCCCTCGCCAACCAGGACTGCGCCTTTGTCTCCTCCAGCTGAACAGCATTTGCTTGGCCTTTTACGCTTGTCACTGTTTGCCTGTCATTGCGTGACCAGCCCTCGAGCTGCCTGGATTTGGAGCTGTTCGCCACGTTGCAGCTTGCCTTCGGACTTTTCCCACTGCGATTCCGGGTTGTCTGACCGGATTTGCTTGCGCTGGCTGCTCTTTATTTCTGGCCACCGCGCGCCCTAACGCAACCCAACCTCTTCTCCCTTATCATCCCTCCCAAGTTCGTCTTGGGACAAACGCTCGACCGATCGCCCGCCAGTTCTGTGCGGGACGCGGTGAGTAAGAGGCCAATCTTGCCCCAAGTTGCCTGCTATGTCTGCGTCAGTACCGCGTTCAACCTCGCTGCGCTTCGGCCAGAAGCTGCCATCCTCTTTTTGCTGTTATTGACTTGTATTGCTTGGTAGTTATCGACACGTGCAGCCCCATCGGCCACAGAACGGCTACGACAGACGGTATAAGCAGCGCCCAGAGCCAGAGTACTCAAGCGAAGAAGAGTACACGGAAGAGGAAGACTACGACGACGAGGACATTGATCCCTCTGATTCTGCATCTACAACCTACGACAGACCAAGGCTGCACACCCGCCCCTCCGAAACGGCCACCGCACGGCGCCAGCGAGCTCCCGCTAGGCAGGACGCTTCCCACCATCAACAGGTGCAGTCTTACGCACCGGCCGCCGCACCGCCCAGCGTGGATCCCTCTGAGGATTACGGCCGCAATGGCCACTATGGCCACTATGGCCAGCACCAGCAACATGCCGCTGGTCGCAACAGCTACTACGGCCGCGGTCATCCAGCTTATCCCGCTCAGCAGCAAAACCATGTAGTACCTTACATGGGCTACAATGGTGCCAATCAGATGAACCAGATGACTCCATATGGCCAATACGGTGGAAATCCATTCTCACCCAACGGCTCAAGCACTGGGAGCTACTATGGAGGCGAACAGAGACACATGTATGACATGATGCCTTATGGTGCACCTCCTCCGCCGGGCTATAACTACGGGCCGCACGGGGCCCACTACAACGGCATGCCGCCTCACATGCATCCATATCCCCCCCAGGCGCCAGCGCCGCCGCCAACTGAGGCCGCCCCTGCATCCCCGGCTCCGGCTCCGAAAGAGCCTTCACCAGCTCCACCCCCGCCACCCGATCCTGAGAAAGAGCGTCTTCAGAAAGAGCTAGCTGATTTCAAGGCCGCGCAAGAAGAAGAAAAGAAAATTGCGAGACAAAAGGAAATTGAGGATAAGATCCGCAAAGATGCCGAAGAGGCCCTTGCTAAGAAGATGGAGGAGGTGCGGTTACAGGCTGAGGAAGCCAAGAGAGAAATCGAGCGTGCCAGGGCGGAGGCCGAGCGCACCGCTCGTGAGAGACTCGAGGCCGAGAAGAAAGCTGAAGAGGAGAGACGACGAGTAGAGGCCGAAACTAGAGCTCGTTTGGAGGAAACGACGAGGCTCAAGTATGAAGCGGAGATGAAGGCTGCTGAAGAGCGGAGACAGAGAGAACAAGAAGACCGAGCTCGAGCCGAAGAAGCAGCCCGACTTCGTTTCGAGGCCGCTTTGAGGGCGGAGACTGCTGCCAAGGCGGCTGCTGAGAAGAAAGCGGCCGAGGAAGCTGCCCGGATCGAGGAGCAAACGCGCCTTCGCCTCCAAGCAGCCATCAAGGCTGAAAATGAGGCCAAAGCCGCCGCCGCAAAGAAAGCTGCCGAAGAAGCTGCCAGAATTGAGGAGGAGGCTAGACTCCGTGTTGAGGCTGCGCTCAGGGCGGATGCTGAGGCCAAGGCTGCTGCAGCGAAGAGAGAGGCCGAGGAGGCCGAGAGGGTCCGACTTATACATGAAGAGGCCAAGGCCAAGGCCGAAGCTGAGCACCGCGCCCGGATAGAGGCAGAACACGCCGCTGCGCAAAGGGCTGCTGAAGCTGCCGCCATCGCCAAGGCGGAGGCCGAGGAGCTGAAAAAGAGGATCCAGGCAGAGACTAAAGCGGCCATTGACGAAGCCAACAAGAAAGCAGAGGAGGCTGCCAAAAAAGCTGAGCTGGCTCCCATCAAGTTCAAGGATGCGGTTGGCCGAAAGTTTAGCTTTCCCTTTCATCTATGCAACACCTGGCAGGGAATGGAAGAGTTGATCAAGCAGGCGTTCCTACAAGTCGACGTTTTAGGACCGCATGTCCAAGAAGGGCATTACGACCTGATTGGTCCTAACGGCGACATTATCCTCCCGTCTGTTTGGGAAAAGGTCATTGAGCCAGACTGGGCCATCACCATGACCATGTGGCCCCTCGACAAAGCACCGCCTGTCGGCCCCAAACTGCCTCCAGGGATGCCACCATTGTCGCAAAGGCCTGATGGTCACGGTCCTCCCCCGCCGCCGATTGGAATTCCACCACTCGGTCGACCACGGCCTAATATCCCAGGGATGCCAATGCCGCCTCCACCTCCTGGATGGAACGGCGGGATACCTCCGCCTCCGCGGGGACCACCAGGTATATCTCCCAACATTAAGATCGTGAACGCGGCGCCACAACAAAAGAAGAAGAGCAGCTCCAGCAGCAGCAAGCAAAACACTTCCATGCTCAATTTCTTATCTGGAAAGGCCCCTGCCAAGAAGAAGTAAGTGGAAAACAGCGCTCACTGTACACCATGAACCGTGACTAATTTTCGAGATAGGACATCAAGCAAAAAATAATTACATCACTATACGATTATCCACGACTCTTTACGTTCCAAAATTGGATGCTTCGATACGTTTTATGCCATTGATATGAGCGAATTTTTTACCATTTTATTATTTTTTTTGATCTGCTTACCATGTTCTGAGCGAAAGATTCCCCTCCTGTTCTGCCTATCTGCGGTCATCTTGGGCTCAATCTTTCAATGGCATGGGCTTGCACGAGGAGGGAGAAGGCAAGTCAAATCCAGGGTGCGGCGCAGACTTAAACCGTCTCCCATACCTGATGGCTTTGACATTGAAGGCGGGAGATATTTGGCGTACTTGGGCGGGTGAAATTTGGATACCAAGGAGCAATTGGTGTGGGTTAGATAGGGAAGGCTACGTTTTGATGAAGACAAGATCTACTTTGCCTTTTCTTTTTCTCTTTTTCTTTTCTTTTCTTTTTGGCTAGTGCATTTCATTTTTACTCTGTTTTGTTTCAATAGGAAGTTGTCGGGTTTGTTCAAATGGGGACGATTAGCTGTCGTGAGTTGAGGGAGTCTATCTATCCAGTATATAAGCGGTTTACATCTATCCACTTTGCCTTGTATCTTTGCCGATATGCTTTATGTCTTGTGTCGTTCTTCATGAGTCGCCCAGAGAAGAGTCTCAAGCTACTTAGTTTGCTAAAGACGCTGCTGAGCTCCCAACTTGTAGTGAACCCGCTTCTCAAAGGCTTCAATCATGAGGCCCGCGATCTTGTCGGATACCGCAGCGCTGAGCGCGGCATAAAGCGGGTTTACGAATTGGTATTTGATAGTGAGTTTAACCTCAGTTGATGGCGTTGCGGACTGGCGAGCGATTGGCGTCAGGTACCAGATAGTCTCGAGGGTCTTGAAGACGGCGGACGCATCTTGCGCAGGGCCGCCTAAAGCAGAGCCGCCGCTGCGAGCCTCAACGGAGACGCCAGGCACGCAACGCAAGCGGCTAGTAAAGGTCTCGTCAAAGCCGCCCCAGCCGACCTGCAAGTCGGCGAGGGTAGGCCAGCTGCGGCCGGAAGAGTCTGGCGCGGACCATTTTGTGACTTTGGACTGCGAACAGTACGGCACAAATGCCGAGTAGGAGTCGACGTCTGCAATGAGCTCGTAGAGGGGTTCGTGACGGTAGGGGAGAGTGCGAGTGGCGACGAGGCTCTGCTGAGGGCTGTCCGGCAGGGAGATGAAGGCGCGGCGAGAAATGGGAGAGAAAGTTCTCGCTGGGCGTAGTAGTACAGAGGCTGATGATCGAGGTGGGAGCCGTTGAGCTGCGGTTCGGGCGGCCATTGCTGCTGTGATGCGCCGTTTGAGAAATTATAGGAATTAGATAAGAGCCGGCGGGTATTTACAGAACCAATGGCATGGTGTATTGATGAGAATAGAGCTAGCAGAGAGGGGGGGAAAGAGCAAAAGTGAGAGAGGAAGACAAAAGAAAAATAGGATGTGGTTAAGGTTGACTCGGCTTGTCGCATCAAGAATCTAAAAATGGCTTCCATCTCTTCAATCGGCGCAAATCATTGGACAAGACGTCACACGGGCTTTCCACCGGGCCGTCTCGCTACCGAAGTTTCGGCGGTAATTCCGTCATGACTCTCCCGCTGAAAGAGCGACGACGCCAGCTGTATTTTGCTAACGCCATCTACCCATATACGTACCTCTTAGCGGTCGCCTAACCATTTCGCCGTCAGCGTCTAAAGCTCCAGTTTCCAGCTCGCAACTCAACAAGGCCGCGAGAACAGGATGAGCTGGCTGGCTCTGCAGCTGCTACACGCATTCATCGCGACTTGACGTATCTCCCTCCTCCTGCTTCTCGATAATCGCTCCTCGATAGTCGCTTCTCGCAGTCTTCAGCAGCTATTGCTTGCGCAGGCCCCACGTGGGGCAATTCGTCGTCAACATGTAAAACGATACAAAGCTGCCTCTTTGGGCGAAAATACGTTGAGGATCAAGGGCGCTGATGGCTGAGATTCTACAGGTTCGAGAAATCTCTTTACGACCTCATCCGAGGTCTGCGCAACCACAAGGGCAATGAGAAGGAATACATCCAGAAAACCCTCAAGGAGTGCCGCGCGGAGGTTCGCAGCCAGGACATGGGTTAGTCTCTCTATCTCTCACGCGACGACGACTGCAACAATGCTGATGTGTTCATCTTTTCCCTTCGTTCTTAGACCTCAAGGCCACGGCTCTCCTCAAGCTCATATACCTGGAAATGTTTGGCCACGACATGTCATGGGCCTCGTTTCATGTCCTCGAGGTCATGTCCTCGCCCAAGTATCACCAGAAGAGGGTGGGATACCTGGGCGCTGTGCAGAGCTTTCGGCAGGATACTGAAGTTCTCATGCTGGCGACCAATCTTCTGAAAAAGGTGCGCACATGTCTCTTCAGATGGTGTCGTTCTCTCCAGGAGATTGATAATGGCCCAGTGTTGATGGCTGACTGACTCTTCTTTCCGTTCGTTAGGACTTGGCTGCCACCACGCCAACAATCATATCTCTTCCGATTGCAACGCTTCCTCACGTCATTACTCCCTCTCTAGCGCTCTCAACTCTCGCCGACTTACTACCACGCCTGAACCATAGCCATTCCAACATACGCAAGAAGACGCTGGTCACATTATACCGACTCGCTCTTGTATACCCCGAAGCTCTGCGTGCCGCTTGGCCAAAGATCAAAGATCGCTTGATGGACCCCGATGAAGATCCAAGTGTGACGGCTGCTATCGTAAACGTCGTTTGTGAGCTCGGTTGGCGGCGACCTCAGGATTTCCTCCCTCTGGCACCACGGCTTTTCGAGCTGTTGGTGGATGGAGGCAATAACTGGATGGCTATCAAACTCATCAAGCTGGTTTGTGTCTTCGCTATCCTTTGTGTGCTACTTGAGTTTGACTAATTCTGGCACAGTTTGCAACTTTAACACCTCTTGAGCCTCGTCTTGTCCGAAAATTACTACCTCCTCTTACAAACATAATTCGAACTACTCCCGCAATGTCGTTATTATACGAGTGCATAAACGGTATCATCCAAGGAGGCATCTTGGACAACACAGATGATGTCGCGGGAGCAGATGAAATTGCAACATTGTGTGTCAATAAGCTGCGAGGAATGATTATGGTGAATGGCGACGCTAACTGTAAGTCATCATGACCCAACTCTCCGTTTCTCCTATTTGCTTCATTAGTCACAATTATCTTCTACCTCCTAACACAAATATCAAGTAAAATATGTTGCCCTCCTGGCTTTCAACAAGATTGTTCTTACACACCCGCATCTGGTCTCTCAGCAAGAAGATGTCATCTTGGAGTGCATTGATAGTTCAGACATCACGATCCGTGTTCAGGCTCTTAATCTTGTAAAGGGCATGGTTACCAGCGACAACCTGGTCCTTGTTGTGAGCCGCTTGATGAAGCAGCTCAAGTCATCGTCACCATCTAAGAATCGGCGCCTCCCAGGAAGCTCAGACCTCACGCCAGAGACCGAATCAGATGATGAATCACAGACCGCAATCATAACACCAACTGTCCAAGAATCTCAAACTGTCCTTCTTCCTGACGACTACCGGATAGACATCATCGAAAGGATTCTCTTCATGTGCTCCAAAGACAATTATTCGAGCGTATTGGATTTTGATTGGTATATCGACGTCTTAACGCAGCTTGTTCGTATGGCGCCTGTACCTCGAACATTTGACGCGAACACAGGAGCGGCACTGCCGATCCGGCAACAAGTCGACGTTTCTGAAAAGATAGGAGACGCGCTGCGCAATGTTGCCGTCAAAGTAAGAGCAATGAGGGCCACTGCTGTCAGAGCGGCCGATATCATTCTCGATCAGCTGCTTTCTGACAATCCGGCTGGACATCCGCTTACTTCAGGGGCTTTAAAGTCGGCTATATGGATAATCGGTGAGTACTCTGTTCAGCTGGCCATACCAGACGACAGTCTCAACGGACTTCTACAAGCCATTCCGAGAATTGGGAAGCCAGAGATATCAGCGGTTGCCCTCCATGCTACAGCTAAAGTATTCTCATCCATCGCGGGCAGTGAACACGAGCCTTGGACCTCAGAAAGAAAATCAAGGATATCACTTCTCCTGGCCCGCATATTAGACGTATTAGAACCGCTTGCTCTTCATCCAAATTTGGAAGTACAAGAACGAGCGGTCGAATACATAGAACTACTCAAGCTGACCGCAGAAGCTGCTTCAGGGCAGCCCGCATCTACGGATGAAAACGACCAGGAGCCACCTTTACTTCTAACCCAAGCCATTCCGTCTTTGTTTAATGGCTGGGAGCTCAACTCTGTTGCGATTAACGCACAGAAAAACGTGCCCCTTCTCGAGGGCTTAGATCTAGATGAGCCAATACATGGCGACCTAAACCGACTTTTGTTCCAGACTGACATCATTACACTCCAGTCTGATGAGGCTGATGATTTTGAGGTCTACTATCATCAGCGACCACCGCCTTCGAGCATATCATCTTCAGCGCCAGCCATTAGCAGGCTAGCTGATCCAGACGATGATACGGCAAGTTCTTACCAACAACTTAGTGAAGAGAGCTACTTAGACGCCGACATTCTCGCAAAAAGGAAAGCAGATAGGATGGAAAAGAATAAGGACGACCCCTTTTATATCCCAAGCGATAACATCCTCAGGACATCAACGCCCATCCATAACATTCTTCAGAACAACAATGGGCCCGATTTGGATATTGATTCGATCCCTGTCATGCAGCTAGATCTTGACAAAATGGGCGGTAGTTCTCTCGCTGCACCATCTCGACCGCAGCCACGGCCACGGCAGAGAGTACTCGTGGCTGCAGATGAAACAATAGAGGGGGGCGACAGTGGCACAGGGCGACAGAATGACTTGGAAAATGGTTCCAACAATCTCTCCAAGGCAAAAGCCAAGAAATCAAAGCAGCAGTCCCTCTTACAGGTTGATTCCAGCACTATTGGATCCTTCAGCCTAGAAGAAGGCGATGGCTCCAAAGGGTTTGACTATGAGAGGCAGCAGCGGGAAGAGGCAGAGATGCAGCAGGCTGTGAAGGAGGTGGAACGTCTACGGCTGGAAATGCAGCGCGCTAATGAAAGGATCCAGATGGCTCAGGGGGCGGACGTGCAAGGCGTAGTCATAAAGAAGAAGAAGAAGAAGGCTGTGTCGAAGAAGACGGCAGAAGGAGAGGATGGCGAAGTTGCAACGAAGGTCAAACCCAAGAAGAAGAAGAAGGCAGTGGCACAGACGGTAGAAGGTGGTGAGCCTAGTGACACAGCTGCAGATACGCTGGACGGCGCTCCGGTGAAGGTTGCTCCGAAGAAGAAGAAAAGGAAGGCTCCAGTCGTCGTCGAGGCCGAAGCTACAGGCTAAAGATGGGACTATGCATAGCGCTTTTCTATAACAAGTAGTACAGACGTAGGAGACACTGTCTTCTTCTCTTTACGAGGCAAAAGATTTCGTACATATGCAGGCGATTTACATAGAGAAAAAGGAGGGAGCTTTGGCTTTCATTTAACAGAGAAGTTGAAGCACCATATATTATTATCATTCTTGTTTTCCCCCATCTCACTTGATGTCACCGATGAACACATGTGGAAGCAATAAAAGTTGTAAGAAAAATATTTCCAAAAAGAAGGGCAAAAAAAAAAGTAAGAAAGATGAAGAGTAAAAAGAGAACAAATAAAAAAATCAAGATAGTGTAGCACATATATGGCATCTCAAGTCCGTCTCCCATACATATATACCTCCCTTTACTCCGGATCCAGCCAACGCATCTATCTATCTACCTTTCCTGCATACCAAACTTTTTTATTCATTTTTTCCTTCTCTCACGACAAAAAGGAAAAAGAGAGAGCCATGCCCATTGTGTGATTTGGCCCAGGTCAACCCACAAACAATCACAACGCACAAAGCAATTCGTCACTGTGCGTAAAGCCACAGCTGCAAAAGAGAAGGAAACCCAGCGAACACCTGGTCAGAACTGGAGATCACTAATCTTCCATAGGCCTATCCTCTAGAGTCACGCCACGAGAGGAGTCTTGTGCTTGTGATGATGGAGCTATGGGAAGCCTCGGTCCAAATTTGGCTGCGGCACCTCTGCCCAGGCTGTCACGCTTGTCCAAGACTGGTTGTTCGCCATCGATTTCCGACTTGAGAGGGGATCCATTTGTGGCATCAGGAGGGCTGGTGCTGCCATCTGGTCCGGGAACTTCCAAGCTGGAGCGCTTGATGGCGTTCAAGCTTCCCAGACTACTTCGGTGGCGGTCAGAGGCAGTCGTCGGGCTGGTCTGGATGGGAAAGCGAGTCTCAGGGCCTCCGCTGCTTCGCTCTCGTCGATGGCCCCGCGGGCCAGGCGCAGGGCTGGTGGCGCGGCTTCGTGAAGCACTAGCCTTCTCCAGCAGAGCCCTGTTCCGCTCCTCCATCAAGGCTTTCCTGTTGCTTTCATCGGTGCTGATTGCTCGAGGACGGTTTGTCGTGACGGAGATGGTGTGGTTGAGGGTCGACATGCGCTTAAGCTCGGTGAAAATGGCATCTTTGTGGGCAAAGAGGTCGCGGACAAGTCGGCTGGCGTGCTTCTCTTCCATTGTTAGAGAAGTTTCTGTTCGAGGGCGAAGGATGCATGGTGCCAAGTGAGCAGCTAGCGCCGCAACATATTCTTCATCAGCCGAAGTAAGATCGATAAGGCGAGTAAAATGATTCATGCAGGCATCCAGAGTAGCAATGTTGGTCAATCGCAGCTGTGAAAGGGTTTGCTGGAGTACGGCAACACGAGAGGCTTCTGATGAATCGGTAGCCGGGGTGGTGTAAATAGTTCGCACAATTTCGTAGACGTGAGTAGAAACCAGAGAATCTGTGAGAAAGAAAATGAACTGTTAGTATATGGGAGTTGTTAATTAGCAAATAAAGCCAAGCCTGCTTACCAGGAAGCTCGAGCAGATAAAGCTTGAGAAGGCTTGCAACGGTGGGAATGTCAAATTCGTCAAACACCTCTGGGGGAACCGGTTTGCCGTCGTTGATCTTTACGCGCAGTTTGTGAGTCTGGGCAAGAGGCACATCCAACAGCCACACTCCTCGTCTTGCTTCATCGCCTTCCAAGTCAGGATAATGGTTGTCGAGATAGGTCAGAATAGTGGTGATGATAATGGGAACACGTTTCTTATCCGCCCTCGCGCGCGCCTCCAAGTCAACGCCAAAAGTCTGTTCGTCAACCTTGTTGTAGTAATTCTCATAAACGGTGACCTTTGGAATGAAACTACCGGTGCGGTAGTTCTCCAAGAGGTATCGGAGATCGCCCAGGGGCTGCACAGTCTCCTGGAAAAGCATCATCTTGTCGACAGAGGACTGCAAGCTGGGGATCACATTGCCAATGGTCCCAGTAAAGTCGAGGATGACGGTCTTGATAGCCTTCAGCCTATCAAGCTCACAGCGCTCAAGAAACTTGAGGTGCAGGAAGATGAGTTCTTCCAGCTCGCAACGAAGCTCGTCGAGCTTTTTCACGCTAGCCTTGTACTTGTCATCGGCTTCCCTTGCTTCACGCTGCAGCCGCTGGGGAGGAGTTTCGCCAGGACGAGAATTGTTGAGCACATTCCAGTTGGACAAGTATTCGCTCACGGTTCCAACAACAGGCGAGTCGCCAGCATCGGAGCCCGTAGTGGGCATAGAGAAAGTTCGGCCCAGAGGCTGCTTCTTCTCAGGGATACCCGCAAGTTGGAAAGCCTTGGGTCTCCATTGGTAAAACATCTTGGAAGAGTTGGCAAACGTATTTCCAACATTTCCAATCAGGCGCAGCATGCCGTTGGAGATGAGGTCCTGTCCAATTCTCTCGGCATAGCTAACGCTTGTCGTGCCCATGCTTCGCTGGAGGTACTCGACGATATCTGAACCGGCTGAGGTGTTGAGATAGGTACCCAGGATAGGGACCTTTGTTTCTCCCATCTTGATTGTCGATAGCATGTTGGACAGAATTTTCTTCATCTGCTCGGTCTGATAGACGTCGTCACCGATCTCGAAAACCTCTTCATTTTGAGGCTCCTCTTCCTTGTGAGGCTGAACCTTGATCTCGGGGATCGCTGGGTTCGGCTGGGCCTGCTTGGGGCTGGACTCTGGATCCTGGAAGGCAAGCTTATTTTCCTCTTCTAGATCTTCCACCAGTCGGCACTTGTTGAAATAATTCGATCGGAGCTTCTTCACAACCTCGGCCTGTTTGTCGTGCGCCTTGATTCGCAGTTGCAGGACGTCTTGAGAGTCTTGAATACGAGTCTCGTGAGCATCGCACCATCTGGAAAAAGGGTTGACAACTAGATCGCGAATGTTTTGAGCAATTCGAATGTGGCTTTGAGAGGCTTCTTGCATCTCCGTTCGCATCCCATCGTAAGCCTTGACACCGTGAGAATTAGCGAAACCCTAGTCAAGCGAATGCAAATCGCTGCGACGTAACCTAGATTAAAAGACCTACCTTGCGAACTGTAGCGCCATCGTCTCGACCGAAGCCACCAGACAGTTTGTCTGCGGCCGGTGCAATGTCACTCAGGCGCTGTCCATATGCCTCCTCGGCCTCAGCGCGCAGCCGAGCTATGGTGAGCACCTGGCGGTCTTCCACCACACCCTGCTGCAGCTTGCTGAAGAGGACGCCAAGTCCTGGTTGCTGTTAGAAAACGGCGGTCGCATGCAGCTGTGGAGAGCCGAGAAGAGGGGGGAAATACCAGCAGCATAATCATTCGACCAGAAAGAATCGGCGAATCCAGGCATCGTTATCTATTCGTTGTTTAAGCGTCGACTCGTGGTATCATGCGGTAGGTGCGTCGTATCGTCGTGGGGCTGCCGAGGAGGGGGTTTAGCTCTCTTCGCTGGCGAGCAAATACGAAGAGGAAGAAAAACCTTTAAGCAGCTCTTATATCGTAACACTCGGAATTTTCTATACGGTAAGAAAAGAAGAAGTCGTCGCTCGCAAGTAATAGGGGCGTCGAAGAAGGAGGCGCAAGTCTGCCACAAGAATTGAAGCGGTCGCCTGTCAAAGTTGCGAAAGAAAAGAGGCCTGGCGAAAGCAGCAAGAAAAGAAGGATCCAAGCCGGGGGAATAGAACAAAGACGAGGGCTAAGGCTGGAGGAGAGCTTCGCAGAAGGCTCGAAAACAAGGAGAGGAAAGGCGCTGTGCTCCGCAGTGAGCAGACGTTAAATATCGACTGGAGTTGGTTGGAGCAGGTGAGAGGCTCACATGGAAGAGGCCCTCCAGCCAGGGATCGAACTGGGCCTAGGAGAAACCGCCATGGCAGGAGACGTACGGCCTACGGCACTAGCACCACCAGGTACAGCGTCTGGTGCCTCTGCAAGCTGCGGTTAGCGCATACGAGCTGGTGGTGCTGGGGGTGCATGTGGTGCTGGGGAGGGGCTGCCAGGAGAAATGCAGAAATGCGCTGTACATTGCCCGATGTGGCGGGCTGTTAGGCGTTTGGCGGGCCGTTGTCTGGCATCCCCTATTGCTGCAGCGCACAGGGTACGCCTTTATCAGGTACCAGGCCTCTCGTTCTCGAATCGCCGTCTCTCTGGCGGGCCTAGCAGCAACTTTGGCGCTGACTGTGCTGGCGAACCACGGGCATAGACAAAAAACTCCAAAGCAGCGGCGCTTCGCAGACCGTTTTCCTGAGGCCGACCAACCAGCAGCAACTTTATTAATAGCACGCATGTAGTCATGCTATCTGTATGCAGTACTAACAATTCGTTCTCTCTGCTGCACCTCTAGGGAGCAGAGCACTACGGATAGAATAGAACAGAATGCAGTACCTGCTTGGCATGTACCGGCATTGTGCATGATATACCCTGCTGGCGCTCTACAGATGTTGTACGAAGCTCCTGGTTTCATGTGCTTACCTACGCTTTGATGAAGGGACGCATCATCATCTCGGCATCGTTGACGAAGCACGGACCAGACCAGCTGCTGAACATGTCGGATTGCCAGAAATACGAAGATTCCTGTGCCGTAGACCCCGTATATAAAGGATATTCTTTGTCTCGTCACATCAACCGGGATTGCAACAAAGGCAGGCCTCGCTCAGCTTGGGTCTACCTTGCGCACCAAATTTTGGAATGGCTTGTCCATGTGTGGCACTTGTAAAACATGTGCCACTAGTCAGCTTAGAGAGAAAATTAGAAGTTAAAAGTGCCTCGTTTCAGCTGTCAGTCAGCCACAAAGTTGAATTATGTGCTATATTAGGGAGCAGGCGGGTCGGCCACCGTTAATCTAGATATTCAGCACAACCACTTAAACATGCCGCAATGTTAGGATCGGTGAGGAAAGGAAAGAGGTTCCGGCCTGTACCAAATACAAATACTACTACGAGTAGCTGCATAAAGGAGCTTGTCTTGTCTCGGTTCTCCGCCCATATCCTCGTATATAGACTGCGGTGACTGGTAGCGCTTAGTACCTTGCCAAGTTGCTTTTGCAGCTCCATATTAGTGGATGCGCGTACATGCCATCGGGTCTGGTGTCTGTATGCCTTGGCGCTCAGCCTCACGGCGGAGCACGATTGCTTTGTATTCTCCGCAAAGAGGCGTTGAATGCAGCCTTGGTAACCGCTACTTGCTTTAGCGAGCTTGATGCAGCATCGTTTGTCGTACTGGCTACTTTGCCACGTTATGGCGCTGTAGAAGAAAACTGTGCTAACGCAACTGGGCAACTCAGCATCTCAAGCGCTGCGAACCAATTAGATTACAACTGCCTACAAGCAGCATGCCAGGTTCTCGCAACATTATTTAGATCCCAAACAATACCTAGTAGGAATGCTGATGATGAGATACAGACATATATAAACAATATGTCGTTCAATAGACCCCTCAAGCTGAGTGGTAGGGCAATAAGAAAGTATCCATCTGCTACTAATGGGCTATACCCCCGCGTTATCTACAGTGACCCTGGTGCTAGCAAGCCAGCCTCGGCAAGATAGCCGTTCAAAGCGCGCTGTCGCCTCTGTGACTGGAAACCCCGATTCAGCGCTGAACGCAATGGCAGTACAATGAATCTGCCAAGAAATGGAAAATACCATATGTGGATTTTCTTCTCATTACTCCAGTCCTCAGAATTATTATCACGTTGCAAACAGAAAAATACTGATGCGTAATCTGCGCGGTGCAAGTCGACGCGATTCATTATCTGGTCCCCTGCCGTCCACCAGATAGTGTCACCCAGAGGGCCTTTTGTAGCGCCGAATAGGGAAGATGGCGTGCTGGTCAATCGTATAAACTCCGTGATCATGAAACCTCTTGTTCCTTTTTCCTCTTCTCGATAGCTGCCTCACAACGCCGCGATGAATCCAAGAACTGGCAAGTCGTACATGGACCTGCCCATATCGGGCGCGGACACCTATTATGATCGCGTGCATGGAGAGCCACGCAAGCCAAACATCAAGCGGATAGCTGTCGCTGTCTCCCTGGCCCTGGGCACCATCGGCATGCTTTATAAGCCAGCGTTCCAGCACTATCAGCGAATCGCCAACGATTGCTCCAAGACTCTCACGGTCGATAAGAGGGCGCAGAGAGTTCTCACCACAACTCCCCTGATCGGTAAGAAATCGGCTGCGCGCATTAGAAGATACACGCTTGGACTAACGAACGCTGCGCTTTCAACTTAGATGGGCACGTCGATTTCGCCGTCTTCCTCCGCGGTGTTTTTGATAACCACATCGACGGCGATGATTTCGTCGGCCCGTTTGAAAATGGAACGCTCAGTGGTCATCTTGACCTCGCGCGACTAAGAACTGGTCGCTCGGGCGGTGCGTTCTGGAGCGTCTTCGCTCCATGCCCCGAAAATGGAACGGACTTTTCGGATGAAAACTATGCTGCCAGTAAGATCTCATTCACAAGTCGCCTTGTCTTCGCGCAGGTTATTGATAGTTCTTCTTGATGGCAGGTCTTCAGTTCACGTTGCAGGCAATCGATACCATGAAGAGACTCTTCACAGCTTACCCCGAGGACTTTGCGCATGATGTTGACGGTACCGATGCCTTCAAGGCCTTCCGAAGAGGAAAGCTGGTTTCGCCCCTGGGCGTCGAGGGTCTGCACCAGATCGCCAACCAGCCCAGCAACTTGCGCCTCTTTCGCGATCTTGGTGTGAGGTACGCCACGTTGACACACAACTGCCACAACAAATATGCAGATGCCGCTCTGCAGAGCAATCCGTTTAAGAAGGCGACCCCTGTTTGGGGCGGCGTTAGCCCCGACGGACGAAAACTGGTCCACGAGATGAATCGCATTGGCATGATTGTCGATCTTTCTCATGTCAGGTAGGAGTTCACCAGTTCATTTGTTCATATAGATATCTCACCTGCTAACTCTTGATGTCTTTGCTCGTATATAGCGAAGATACAATGATTGATACCCTCGGCGGCAAAGATGGCTGGGAAGGATCCAAAGCACCCGTCATCTTCTCGCACAGCTCGGCCTTTAGCATTTGCCCTCATCCGCGCAACGTCAAAGACCATGTCCTGCAGCTGGTGAAGAAGCGCAATTCTGTGGTGCTGGTCAACATTTACCCTGGATTCATCTCCTGCTTTGACGAAGGCAACGAGAATGGCGTTCCTACTGAAGACACTGAGAACGCTACGCTGGAAAAGGTCGCCGATCACATTACATATATCGGAGATCTTATCGGCTATGATCATGTTGGCATTGGATCCGACTTTGATGGAATTGACAGGGTGCCTGAAGGACTCGAGGACGTTACTAAATATCCCGCTCTGATCGCTGAGCTTTTGCGACGAGGAGTCAGCGAGAAAGACGCCGCAAAGGTTGTCGGTGGTAACGTCATTCGGGTCTGGAAGGAAGTGGACGCAGTATCAGCCCATATGAAAGCCGACGGCGCCCCCATTTTGGAAGATGAGTTCTAGATCTGCAATAGATATAGTAATATGTAGCATCTACTTGTGTTTTTGATTTTTGTTCATGTACCCATAATATACAAAGCCTGACATTATAGGCTACTTCCTTTTTGAACATTTTCCCACTCGTAAAAAAATCGTAAAGTGCAAACCCCTTTGCGGCCTCTGGAACTCCACACACAGCCTCCTTCTTTTATTCTCCAAAACCAATTCAATCAGATATGATCTAAGCCCTTCGATCAACTCTGTTGAGCTTGTTGGCCGTTGCAGTCTGTGTCCTTGTTCGTTGACCACGGGCTGGCAGACCCATGGCGTGCCGTCTACCTCTGTACGATCCGATATCCTTTAACCTTCTAATGTTTTCTTGTACTTGTCTTCTTGCGTCCGTCTCTATTGTCATTTGCGATAACTCGGCTGTGAGCGAAGTCACTGTCCTGGGTGCCAGTGAGCCGACTTTGGCGAGGTTGTGAATCGAGTACTTGGCCATGATGCGAGCAGAGGTAGTCGGTCCAAGGGCATAAAAGGACTCGAGGGCTTTCTGTTTATTTACTTGTTAGAGTCGTACACTACAGAGGGAATCTCGTGAAGAAATCGTTCGGTTCGTGGGGTCTTTGTACCTTGACGAGCTGTCCCTCGTGGAAACTGACTCCCAATAAGAAGACCTAAAGGAAGAAAAGTTAGCTTTGAATGACCTTTCCATGGGGCTGCGATAAGAAAGCCATTTGGTACCATTTTGAATGTCTATGTCAGAACCAAATCAGCGTCGATATAAAAACAACACCGCAATGCGCCGCCCTCTCTATTCTTCCGAGCTAACATCACGAAATCTCTCTATAGCGGCTTGATTGAAAGATTCGCGGCTAGCCGGGTAAATGCTGGCTAAACCCGACGCATGGCTGTATGAGTTCCGTGCCGTATCAGGCAGGCCAAGGGGTCCTGTGGGGCTTGAAGACACAACTGCAGCCACTGATGCTTTTAAGCGGGCGGCGGGGAAGGGCCCGAAACGGACCGAGCTGTAAGGTACAAGTATATGTGTCCATCTCCCAACTCTCTGTCGCCGGATTCATTCCTGCTTCTTCGATATCCACGACTGAATATCATCAATTGAGCAGTCATCATGTTTAGCTTCAGGCGGCTGTTCACCACCGCCATTGTCCTGGTGGTGGGACTGCTGTTCTTTGTCCGCACAGCCGAGGCTGCCAAGGGCCCCAAGATCACCCACAAGGTCTACTTCGACATTGAGCAGGGCGACCAGAAGCTCGGCCGTATCGTCCTGGGCCTCTACGGAAAGACTGTCCCCGAGACCGCTGAGAACTTCCGAGCTCTTGCTACTGGCGAGAAGGGCTTTGGCTATGAGGGCTCCACCTTCCATCGTGTTATCAAGCAATTCATGATCCAGGGTGGTGACTTCACCAAGGGCGATGGCACTGGTGGCAAGTCGAGTAAGTGCTTTTCTGGACGACGTGCTAGTTTTGGATGTCTGGTCAATTAACACTGGCTCTTCTAGTCTACGGCGATAAGTTCAAGGATGAGAACTTCAAGCTGAAGCACACCAAGAAGGGTCTCCTGTCCATGGCCAACGCTGGACCTGACACCAACGGCTCCCAGTTCTTCATCACCACCGTCGTTACTTCGTAAGCCTAATCTTTTCCTCTTACCTCAAGGTCAATGGCGAGACAATGATTAGAAATCTAACACACTATTGAAAATAGATGGCTTGATGGCCGACACGTTGTCTTTGGCGAAGTTCTCGAGGGATACGACGTCGTTGAAAAGATTGAATCGACTGCCACCGCCTCCGACCGTCCCAAGGTGGAAGTCAAGATTGCCAAGAGCGGCGAGCTGGAGGTCCCTCCCGAAGGTATTCATGTCGAGCTCTAATATCTTTACCATATCTTTACATCGTCACTCCAACTCTTCAATCAATCAATCAATCCAATTTCCGTCACGGACGTGCTGATGAGTTTGGTCTTCCATTTCAGAGCTTTACGGTATGGCTGGCTGGGCTTCTGGAGCTTCCGACGATGTTGACGCAGCCGCGATGGGTGTCAAGACATCTGGTGGATTTGGAGTGGGCTATTTCCTGGTCATTGGAGCCGTTGCTGTTGGCGGCGTTGGTCTTGCTCTTCGCCTGAAGAACGCTCGCACCGCTGGCTACACAAAGGCCCGATCTTGATGTAGTAAAATATGAGAACCGTATGAATAAAATGCCAGATTCTAGTTACAAAGACATTTTGAAGTTGCCATCTAGTACAAAATCTGAACAATTCATTCAATAAAACCGTATTGCTGAACAGTTGAAAGCGCTGAGCATAACACACCAAATTACTGTCACGTGGGTCGCGCAACTACTAGTAGTAGTTTGGTAGTTGAGAGGTCCGCTTTAGGGAATATGCGTCGCGGCCGATTTTTTTTTTTAAAAAAATAGCCAGTCGCTCACCCCATATTCAACAAGTACGCTTACAGTTATAACAAAGAGAGAGAGAGAGAGAGAGAGAGAGAGACAGAACGAGGAAACAATAAAGGCAAAGAAAAGAAAAATGAAGGTTCTCAGTCTCAACTTCCTGACCTGCGCCGTGAAGGCCTGCAAGTCATCATCCGACTCGTATCCTTTACACCCTCAGGACGCAGAGCTTGTGCAGGATGAGATCGAGCTCAACCCAGATATGCTTATCAACGTGCTGCCACGCCTGGACTGGACAGCCCTCCGCACGACATCATCAGAGGTAAGTGGACGTTTTTCTTTATGTGAAAAACTCATCCTCACTATGGCTGGCCAGTGGACCGTTTGAGCTGACTTGCATCATTTGCTATTTCCAACAGCTGGGCTTTCCTGCGCTGCCTGAGCAAGCCCCTACACCGGAAGAGCTGCAAGCTGATGAGAAGACGATGCGGGATCTGCACCACTTGTTACTGGAGACTCAGATATCCGAGGGAAAGCTGGTCTGTGCCAACTGCGGGCATCAATATGCTGTGAAGGAAGGCATTGCAAATTTCTTGCTGCCAAGCCACCTGGTGTAAGTATACATGTGTGCAGCTGCAAAACTTTAAAGAGTCGCCTGGGTTGATAATGTGCAATAGTTAAAGTAGTCAAGCATAAGCATGAGAGCATTAAAATTAGAACTCGGGGACTTTCAGAAAATAGGAGTATAGGCGTTTGTTTGGTCATTATATATGGCTGAGGGAGGCTGGGTGGGAAAAAAAAGAGTCATACTTTACACGATGCAATCTACCTATGACACGTTATCTCGGCATAGGATAAAGTACCAAAGCATGTTATTCGATATGATACACATGAAAAGCAATGCATTTCCCACATTCTAAGTTAAAGATAGAAAAAATACTGTTACAGGATCCTTAAAGCACAGACTCGCTACATGATATCTTGCTGGGTGCGCAGTGCATTATCGTTACTAATTCTTCTTCTGTGCGGCAGGGCCCATGTCTTTCTCAAATGCACCATATGAAACTTCAAGGCTGCCAAGGGCTTTGATTCCAACACCGAGGATAGAAAGCAGAACAATGGCGGTGATAAGAGCCATGAAAATACCTATATCTCCGGTTAGTCTCTGTAGGGACGGGTTGATGTAGCTTGTTCCATACCGGGAGTGAAGAACTGGTATTTCTCGAAAAGGGGAAGCTTGTCCCAGTCAGTCTTGTTGTCTCGTTGCTGCACCTGCGCGCTCTGAACGTGTCTCTTCAGGTCCATGCGAACGGGGTCTACGAAATCGGGTTCGTAAGTTGGCTCATGTGGCGTAGAAAAAACGATGATTGTGTAGCTGTTGTCTGCAGTGATCTTTGCAAGGCTTCGTGCCAGAGCGTCATCTACTCGCGCGTTAGCCACAGGAAAGATGTATTATTGGGGTTCAAACACGACATACCGTTATCAGAGAATGATCTAGTTCTGTCCTCTACAGACAAGGCTGCCAGGCGGATATCCTCTACGGGAACCATTTTATCCTTCTTGGCACACGCAAGTTTGATGAATTCTGACAAATTAGCACCTGCCAAATCTCCAACGACCTCAGAGACAATGGCTTTTCCGCTAATTCGGCTGTCTTCGACGGCCTGGCAAAGGTGTGGCATGGCACAGCCATTAGATCGTCGGAGGTCAGCGGCGTTCAGGCCAGGCTGAGAAACAAGGAGATATCGGTCGGTTGGGCATGTCGACAACACATCTTTCGCAAAGCTCAGTACTGAAGAGCTCGATTGGATCTGGTCTGCGCTTGGAGCTTTGGCAAAGCTGGAAACTTGTCAGTGGCTCCGTCTCCCATCCAGAAGAGGTTATCGGTGGCTGCCCTTACGGAGAGGTTGATAAGAAGATCCAAGGCGAAGAGTCGCGAAAGGCGTTTGCTGCGCCAGACAGCGCCAAAAGGCTTGCAATCGTCTGGAAATGCATGGCCGGTCGTGTGTTGTGATGCTGGCCTGCAGACAGTCTGGGTTGCAGATTAAGGGCCGAGACATGGAGCTTCGGGGATGCGACAGCGCGCTACATCATCCTCCGATTACGTATGCAGCTATCGCGTTTATTGCGTAAACCGGCAAGGCTAATGCGAATCCCTCGCAAGTCTCTAAATTAAGAGACAGTTCCACTATTAGGGAATGCGCTAATACTAAGTGGGCAGTACACCCTGCAGCACTCCTTACCGTAGCAGTTAAATATTTTTTCAAACGGACCAGTAAATTTTACAATCGCGAGGGTGCCAAAGCCGCAGCTAGAATTGGCATCACAGGAACAATGTTTGCAAAGCCGAGGCCGAAGAAGAGCCCCCTGCCTCCGCCGAGCAGGAAACGCAAATATGGCGTTGAACAAGTCTCTTTCGACTTCGACGCAAGAAACGAATATCTGACTGGCTTTCACAAGCGGAAACAGCAGCGTATCAAACAAGCACAAGAAGAGGCCGCTAAAAAGGCACGGGAAGAGAGAATAAGAACAAGGAAACAGGTAATTGATACTCTAAAACCCGTTGTTTTGCCTATGATAATTATTTGGTCTAATTGTATGCGCTGCCAATAGCTTCGTGATGAACGCATGAAAGAAGTCGAGGAGCATGTTGAGCACGTCAATAAGCTGCTCCGGGAATCTGGAGCAATTGAGAATGACGCCTCCGAGCAACAATCAGATGAAGACGCCAACGAGGGCGAGTGGGACGGGTTTCCAGATCGACCGGATCTGGACATTGTTGACCACGAAGAAGAATACATAGACGAAGATCGATATACAACAGTCACAGTCGAATCAGTGTCAATATCACGGGATGGCTTGGAAAGACCAGCGAACCCGCAGGAAAAGGCAGAGGAGGAAGACAAAGATGGGGAAGCAAACAAAGCTGACCAGGAAGACAAGTCAGCAAAAAAGGGCCCAGTACGACCGAAGAAGAAGAAGCAAAAGTTCCGCTATGAGTCAAAGATAGAAAGGCAACTAGCAGGGAGGAAGCAAAAGGCAAAGAGGAGTGCAAAAGCCAGTGAGCGCAAATCGAAATGAAGACTTTGAACACACAACATTAGTTGCCAGCTTCAGCAGCGATCTATAGATACCCAAGCCGAAAGAGAGATAGAGAGCGAAGAAAAGAAGAAAGGTTGACGAAACACGTAATTGTTGAGATGCTGCTGCTGCTAAACATGCGCTTCCTTGTGACATTTGAATCTTGTCTATCAACACGCCTCCATCCTACTATGTTCCTTGATGGTTCCTACAAGGGTCCAACCGCACAACTGTGGTGTGGGGCGACAAAAAGGTGTGCTGGCTAAGAAAGTACTGTACAATTAAATGTTTCCGATCTCATTCTGGAGCTCCTCCAGCTCCTTCTGCAGATCCGCGTGTTTCTTTGCCATTTCTTCGTATTTCTGCTCCCACTGATCGCGCTCATTCTCGAGGGCCTGAACCTTGCGTTCGAAATGTCCGGCCTTGACATCAGTTTGTCGAAGTCTGTCATGATACTGTTAGCGACAGGCTCTATACGATAGGAGGCCGTGGTATGGAAAGGTGTCGGAGAGTCGCAGATGACATGGCAGCTAACATACTTCTCGTTGGCCTCGCGGAGAGTCTTGTCGGCCTCCTCAGCCTCGTCTTCTAGCAGCTGAAGTCGTCGCTGCAGTGTCTCCTTCTGGGTTCCAGACTCCTGTCCCTCGTCGGCGATCTTCTTGAAGTCCGTGATGGCGGTCTCCAGCTTCTCGACCTCGGACTGGAGGAGCCCGTTGTTGTGTTGCAGCGAGGTAATCTCTTGCTCCTTTGCCAGGTTCTCCTGCTCAAGAGTCTTGACTCTGGCCTGGAGTTCCTCCACCTTGGCGACAGCTTCGTCAGCCTCCAAGCGGAGCGAGTTCATTTTCTAGCTCATCCTGTTAGCATCTGTCCGGTCGGTGTAGCTCTTTTGCGAGGAGGGTTTATGAAGAGCAAGTTTACCTCCTTGATGCGATCCATTTTGGTGTGTGAAATATGCAGCTAACTTAGGTTGCTTGTTGAACAAAGTTGGAAGAAAGTCTGGAGAGGGCTCGAGGCGTAATATGTAGAATGTCGAATGTCCTGGAAAGGGGGTGGGGTAAAGGAGAGTGTCCTTGATGCCCCTCGATGCCGCCTGTTCGGATGCCTTCTTCAGTGGGCGGCAGTGCCCCGCAGGCTTTTGAGAGACCTGGTACTGCAATAACACCGGCCGCCTTAGCACTGCTGAGCTGCGACCTGGACCGCGAGCTAGGCTGCGCACTGTACCTACCAAGTAGATACCCAGCAACTCGTGGGCAGTGCGCGAACAAAGAACAAAGCACCCCCTACAAATATTGTGCTTTACAAAGCAAATATCACGTCTCTTCTAACCCAGGAGGTGTAAACAAGGAGAGCGGTGACTTTAACCCATGCAAGGCGCCCGACTGGTATCTCTCGTGACACATCTCACCCAGGCAGTACTTGACAGGTCAAATGACAATGCAACTACTACTAGCACAAAGAGTAAGGTAAAGAGTATACCAAAATAGTACTAACATAGTATAGCAGTGTTTCTGGCAAGTTGCATTCACAAGTTAGACACATCCTGGGTAAGCGAAAATAGCATCTGTAAAGTGCAGAAAATGCAAGGTTGCCTCTCCATATACTATGCGAAATTGACCACTTTCTCTATACTAATTTCACCGTTGTCTATACTACTTTTTTTGGAGAACCTTGCAGGCTATCTGCATGGAGCTCTTCTTTTCCTTATCGATTTGCCGACAGACAAATGTGCCTGTTTAAGCTTTATTATGTAATATTCTGTAGATTTGGGCTAGTACTATTTAAGTACTAGATAGTTTGCGCTTTACCTGCCTCAAATCCAAGCACCATCATCAGTTGCCTAGCCAACGGTCCACTGAACAAGCGCAGAGACTATCAATACGCGCCATTCATTCTTGGCCATGATTTCGAACCTGGTCATGCCGCAGCACTACCCAATCATTCTCCTTCTGAAGTTACTCCACAGAATCGTGATTGCTTCCTAGAGATTTGCGACTTTGAAAGAAGAACATACATACCTACCAGGGTCTGCCACATAGTGTCATGCTCTCCACCCGTCGAGAACAAGAGAATCGGGTGCTCAGTCACCAGGGCACCTCCAAGCAGCAGCAGCCCAAGACGCCGGGCATGCGATATCTGCAGCGAGGCAATGAGAACGCACTGACAGGCTTTACAACCAAAAAGACAATCCTGGGAACCACCAAGCTAGGAGAAAATGCAAAATTTATTGGCAAAACACCGCTACTGACCCCCACCGGTGCGTATTTCTAGCCACGCAGGCGATACAGGTATCCAGGGAATCCTAACTCGTCAAACAGGACCTCGGATCCGAGCGCCGTTGGGAAACAAGACAACAAACGCCAAAGCCAGAAACGACGAAGGCCATGGGATCGGCGGTAAGGGCGCCGCAAAAGGTATTGAGAAGTCAGAGACAAAGAAGGCCACAATTCAGAAAAGGAGACAAAAGCAGAGACAAAGACAGGCCGAGCCAGCGCCAAAGCGGTTGCTCTTCCCAGCTAGAGACGGGCACGACCCCTACCAAGACGAACCTGAATACGCTCCTCCCAACCCTCGACCCCTACCCTACCAGTCGGACGTCTTTCCAAGCAACGGCCTTAGTTTGAAGGGGCTAAACAAAGAAAATCTACTCAAGGGTTACTATGAGCATTTCTATAATCCGGTGGACGACGACGGCGTGTCGCGTGCGGATAAGCAGCTGGAGAAGGAGGTGCAAACTGCGCTAGAGAAGGCGATAAAGCGCAACGAAAGCGAGACGGAAGAGTTCACATGGAACAGTGCCGATATACCAGATGAGTCGGAGGTTCGATGGTAGGAGGTAGTAGTACAAGTAGAGGTAGTGGTAGTAGCGTATCCATATACAGAGGTTATACACCAAGCGCAGTGACGAGCTTCACTCAAATGCCCCGCTGAAGTGCGGATTAATATCGCGCCGCAGCCCACCATTCCAAGCGCGGCCGCGACTTGAGCAAACCCACATGCTGACTACAGCGAAAACGAGGATCCTCATTGCATTGTCCCTTTTAAACTCAGAGCGAAAGACGTCCAACCTCACCTCTTCGCCAAAGCACCTCCCGGATTCCAGCTGCCCACCTCTGGGTTCTCGAGCTTATCGGCCATCGCGCTGTGGTCGCGAACGACGGTTGCCTCTTCTGCCGGCTTTTTCCTGCGTTTCCCCTCGCTGCGACGGAGCGCACGCCGCCTACCAAGAAACTCAATTTTGCCGTCTCCAGGTCGCGTGGGCGGCGCTCTAGCGCGTACCACAGAAACCGCCTGCCTTCCAGCTCTGGCAGAAGTTATGCATGGTAAACCCTCCCATTCACAGAGCGAGGTATCATGATTACGCCACGGTGCGTGAGATAGCAGGAGCTCATCGACACGATGACTCGGCCGCCACCAGGCGTGAGCTTCGCGCAGTTCTTCCCCAACGCCCCGAAGTTCAAGACTGAAGTCCAGGGACGTGCCGACCGAGAGCGGTCGAAGCGGGGCGTCCAGGCAGTTGATACAGCGCAAGAATCAGCCGTCGTGACAGATGCCGATACGTATGATCTCGCTCGACCCTGCCAAAACACTTCCTCCTCATCAGATCCTACGCAGCCACATGCAGACGACAACGGATCGTCGCCTGGGGACATGCCTAGTACCGGAGGCTCAGCAAGTTCACATGCTAGCTCATCCTCTTCACTATTCAGCGCTTCCGCGTTGCCAGTTGCGACAGCCACGTCTGCCGGGCCCTCTATGAATGCGACTCCCTTCACTTCCACAGATTCGCCTTCCTCTACCCACGCGCTTGCGAAATCAAACATGTCTACGCCCTCAGTCGTCGAACGGGCCTTGGACCATACCATACCCGCTGGCCAACGCCTGCAGCAAAACGGCACCTATTCAATTGAACGGCCCCCAGCTCGCGATCCTTTGCTTTCTGTCAAGGGCATCAGATGCACCAATGACCCGCTCCTCGATCGACTTCGCAAGAAAATCGTGAATAAGAACGCAAAACCAGTCTACAAGGAGTTTGGCTTGGTATGTATAATAACAGAGTACCTCCACTGCAGAGGGGGGGGGGGGGGGGGGGCGTCATTGTTTTTAAGCGCTGATGGCTAATTGTTGGAATAGGAAGATGACGCCCCCCCTGCGGACCCTCGCCTAACAAAGGCAGGAGATAGGTTAGCATACATCAACACAGACTATTATTTGCCCAAAGCACGCCTACGGCATGCTCCAGAGAACCTCAAGCCGTATCCATATGACCCCAAAACATCCATTGGCCCCGGCCCTCCCACACAAGTCCTTGTTACCCGATACAACCCTTTGGTGTCTTTCAACAAAGTGATTGCCATCTTTGCCGCCTTTGGAGAAATTGCAGAGAGCAGCAACAAAATGCACCCAGATACAGGCAGCTATCTTGGTTTTGCGACCATACGATATCGCGACTCCAAGCGCCCAGACCGTCCACGGGTATCTGCTATTGATGCTGCGCGACGCGCCGTCCGAACTCGAGGAATCAAAGTCGACGCCGATCTTGTCAAGGTTGAATATGACCCCGAAGGCCGGAAGAGTCGGCGCATGCTGGAAGAAGTCTTGAAAAGGGAGAGAGAGAAGCTGGCTAATGAGTCGGCTCGGTCAAAGCCCCCTCCAACTGGGCCCAAATCAGCGACTGCCCCCGGCTTTGTGCGGCCACCTCCGACGGCACCCAAAGGTCCTGCATCCCAGAGGGCCCCTCCTCCAGCACCTGTACCCCAGGCTGCTACCCAGCCAGCTCAAGTATCAGCGCCAGCAGCAGCAGCAGCAGCAGCAGCAGCACAGGCTCGCCCTCAAGGAATCGTCGAATCTCAAATCATCGGCTCCCAGCTAGCCAATGATCCATATATATTTGTAGGGAGTGAAAGCGTGCCTACTTTACCCAGCATAGTACCACATATGAAGAAGCGATTAAAGAATTATGGATTCGAAGACATCCGCCTCGATAAGACAGGGTTCTACATTGTTTTTCGAAATTCATACACTGGGCGTAGCGAAGCAGAACGATGTTTTCGGGCTGTTAATCACACCGAATTCTTCAACTACAACATGGCTATGCAGCTTTGCTTGCCACGGTCAGCATATATTGATTCCGCTCCGAGATCGAGCCCCAGCCCCGAGCGAGCACCGAGAAAAGATCAACGATTGGAGAAGGCCGAGCAGGAAAGGAGGCGCCGAGAAGAAGAGGCGGATCTCGAGGAAGAAAAGAGGCAGAGGGCCAAGAACTTTGACCCTGTACTCGCCGCCATGGAGGTAGTTCGGCGCGAAATGACGGAACATCTCATCAGGCATATTCGCACACAAATCGCAGCTCCTGCGCTGGCCGATTTCCTCGATCCAGCCAAGCACGTTGCCAAGAGACGGAAGCTTAATATCGATCCTGTGGAAGCAGAAGAAGATGCTTTCGATAGCGGCAGTGTCAGTCCTAAATTGGGGACGCCCAACTCTCGAGCAGACCCAATCGAACGTCGAACTGGCCGCTTGGAGCCCAAGGCCCTCCCGAGGATTCGCAAGAGCAAAACAAAAGGCCTTGCACATCGTAGCACCTTTGTCGATCCTTTTGCGCGGAAGCGCGCCTCAGCAGCACGCGCAGCCTTTCGATCATTACATCACCGTCTCAAAAGTCTGGATAGCGATTTTGAATCCGATGATGATACGGATGCAAGGGTACTGGCAGCGCGAGATACAAGTCACTTGGAATCACGCCCACGGAGCCGCATGAGCACCGATGACGAGGCTTCCAAAGATGATTTTGCTTCCTGGGGTCCCGGTGAAGATGACTCCATGACGGAGGCTAGCCTCGCCATCGACAGTGCGCATATAAAGAAGCGAAAACTGGAGGTTTCAATCGAGGCTGCCTTCAAAAGACAGAAAAAGTCCGATGAGGAGTTATTTGGTGTCAAAATTGATCAGATCGATGCGGAATTTAAAGTAGTCGAGGACTCGGACGACACTGGCCTGGAGCTGGAAGCAGCTGGAGAGCGGGAAGATTCAACTGCGCTCATTGAGACGCCATCCGAAAAGCTGTCCAAAACGAAATCAGCCAAATCCAAACGTAAGTCTATGAAACAGCTGCTCCAGGAACGAGAGACAACAAAGAAACAACTGGAAGTGGAATCTCAACTTTCTGATGCGGATGAAGCTGCAGACGAAGCGAAACCCACAGTAGAGGATGTCCCAGAGGCCGATATCGTAACCGAGCAATACGATGAAAAGCTTTTTGCGACAAAGCCAATGACCACGGCGGCAGCACTCCCTGACGGATTCAGACCCGACATTGCATCTTTGACCTCCCTATCCCTGGGCCCCAAAGACGTTCCGGATCTCAGTAAGCTGTTCAAGAGATTCCAGACAGAGGAGATTGGCAATCCAGAGCTGTGGCTGTGGAAACGAAACCGCGTCCGGGAACTCAACACGGCCGATAGCGTTCAGCGTGGCCCAGTGCGCATTGAAGGCTATTACGTGCCGAATGCAAGTGGTTGTGCGCGAACTGAAGGAGCCAATAAAATCCTGAACTCGGAGAAGTCGAAATATCTGCCCCATCACATCAAGGTGCAAAAGGCTAGAGAGGAGCGAGAGGCGAACTCGAAGAAGACGGGAAGAGATGCCACAGCAGCGGCGAATGAAGCTGCCAGACTGGCTGCTGAGAAGCTCATTTCTAAGGGCAATTCCCGGGCCAACCGCGCCACCAATCGACGATATGTGGCAGATCTTAATGACCAGAAGAAGACTCTCGGGCAGGACTCGGACGTGTTCAAATTCAACCAGCTTAAGAAGCGGAAGAAGCCTGTCAAGTTTGCCCGCTCTGCCATTCATAACTGGGGCCTATACGCCATGGAGAACATCAATAAAGACGACATGATTATCGAGTATGTTGGTGAGGAAGTTCGACAGCAGATTGCGGAGATTCGGGAGAACCGCTACCTCAAGAGCGGCATTGGCAGTAGCTATCTCTTCCGAATTGATGACAACACGGTTATTGATGCTACGAAAAAGGGAGGCATTGCACGGTTCATCAACCATAGCTGCATGCCAAACTGTACTGCCAAGATTATCAAAGTCGAAGGCAGCAAGCGAATTGTCATCTATGCTCTTCGCGATATTGCTATGAGTAAGCGTGATATCTCTCTTTTTTTTTTTTTTCGTGGTCTGTCTTTAGCCAAGCTAACCATCTATTTTAGACGAGGAATTAACCTACGACTACAAATTCGAGCGAGAAATCGGCAGTCTGGATCGTATTCCCTGTCTATGTGGCACCGCAGCGTGCAAAGGGTTCCTCAACTGATGCCTGCCTTGCCTTCAAGGTACTATTATCTGGTCGATCCTAATACTACTAGGACGACTATCAATATGATGTCGGTTTTGATCATAAAGTCGGCTAAAGATGGACAATGCAATAAAGTCAAGCAATTGGCTCAAAGCTTAATACGTTATTTGATTACTTTTTCCTCTTTCAATCAATGTTTTCTCTATCTTTTTTTTGGTGCTGTCTGCCATCGCACTTCAACTTTGCGATGGCACATTGCGGGATTGGTAAACGGACGAGAGTATTTTCATCTTATTTTATTTCATGTCACTCGGAAGAGAAAAGCAACAAAGGTGCCTTAGGATTAACGGCTGAATGCGACACTGAGGGATACAACACAACACATGAAAAAAAGGAACGTGAACTTTTTGCGTGCGGATTGATTCATTGGGGATAGTGATTTTTCTCTGGCAGTCGAGGAGTTATTATGACTTCGGAAGGGCTTAAATTCAGGTAAGGGGCCGTGAGTGATACGGAGGCTTCCTTATATCCGATGTTCGCCTCCAGCACTTCTTCGTTTAGTTGGTGATAAAAGAATAGGCCAGAGGGTGTTGTACATTTAGCATTGGGAGTTTCTCAAGGGATGGGAAGGCCAAAAAAAAAAAGGGAAAGTCTGAAGAGAGAGAAAAAAATGTTTTTTGATAACACGAAGGGAAAGCAAGTGATGCCTGCAAGATGGAATAAAGGGGATGATGCTAGTTATACTATTCATCTTTGCGATCTTGGGCAAAGTGTTAGGCTTTGCCTAACATGATTGAAACCGTCCCAATTGAGGCGGAACAGTGTAAAACATCAGCAAAATCTTATTAGGCGCAGAATGTCGCTACTATTCTTTATTATGTGTATCCCAATCCCAATTAATAATGTCAAAGGAGTAAACTCTGTATGGCTCGTACTTTAATAGCCATTGAGCTGCTGTGGGCTGATGCTGGTTATGCATACCAAAAACATCCCTTACATTGTCTTCCAATTAATTCAAATGAACATGATGAGGACCGTTGTCAGAAAGAGCACGAGGTCCCAGCATCCAATCTTGCATGGCGAGCCACTCGCTCCAGTTCGCCTCGGCCGCCTGTATCTCTTCTTCCGTAACGCCTTGGAGGGAGCGGAGGAAGGGCACCGTCTGACCATTCTCCAGGTCGTAGCTTGCCTTGACTCTCAGCCAAGTCTCGCTCTTGGCCGCGAATAGGTAGTTTCTTCGCTCGTTCTGGTGTATAGAGCCGATGCCGGCATCCCAGGAATCGCCGAAGAAGCCGTGCAGGATGGCGGCGGTGTCGAATCCGGTGGCGACTAGACGGCGAACGTAGGGCACCAGAGAAATGTTTGTGTTAGGGGGAGAAAGATCGAGCGCAGATGTAGCGGAACCAAAAGATGATGCGGAGGAGGTTGGGCTTTTTTGGAATGGTAATCGGATGTTGACGATTGCGGCAACAGCTTGGACTTCGCTTGAATGTTGACCACGCTGGACGAAAAAGGAGACACAGGCCTGATATGCGGGATACCAGTCGAAAAGGTCAAACTGCGCTTCTTGGAAGGGCTGGATAAAAGATGTGAGCTTTCTTGCTTCATCTTGAAAGTAAGGTATCTATATCCAAGCTAAATAGAAATAGGGTACAAGTAAACTTACATGATGAAACGACATGGTGGCCAGCAAACGCTATGGCCGTTCGTAGCTGGCGTAATCTCTACTTATTGGCACCAGAAGTTAGCCGGTTTTGATCCATCTAGTTTTCAGGGGCGAATGCCAACACAGGACACCCAAATCCAGATCCACACGAGATGGCTGCATAGTCTCCATAGATTGCCGAAGAGGTCGCCCCAGAATCTCATGATGGCCCTATGCACGGGATCCAAACTTACACGCTTTCCCGCTTGCAGTTCCGCTGTAGCGAAGCCGAATGTGGACAGAGGGGGGTAAGTTAGATTTAAAAGGAAGTATTGCTTGTTTGACTTGTGTCTTTGGCTCGCTCTCTGCTTTGTTTCTTTTCTGATCTTGGCGGTGAGAAAATGAAGAAGGTATGTGAGCACAAAGAAGTCCTCAATATATATATATGGTGATACCAATATACAGAGGCATTGATCGGCGAGGAAGAGAGGGGGAGCTAGGGAATATAAAGTTGGTAGCACGCATCATGTGAGTGATGCCAACACATGTGATGGCTAAGGTCTTCTCTGTATCACGGCAATGTTTAAAAAGATGTGGAGCTAGACAACGATGTTCCCAGAGGCAGGGTGGATGTGGATCGCGAGTGAGAGAGAGACCATGAGAACCAGCGGGAGAGCTCCAAAGCTACAGCGTGAACGGGTTGTGAAGTGGAGTGCCGTCATCCATTCAGAAGGTAGATTCAAGAAGATTCAGAAGCAGGGTCGAGCCAAGCACAGCCGGTGTAACCGCCAGGCAGGCCAGGCCCACGACGAGGTCTCAGAGCTTCGATATAATACACTACTATCAATCGGATAGCGGATACTGGTCCCCATTCGACAGCACAGGCAGAAAGCCCAGCCTCCGGTGCGTAATGGCCGGGCGAATGTTTCACTTCCTTCACCAGAGACGTATGATAAGAAACCAGCATGGGAGAGGAGGTCGGGTGCTGGGCTCGCGGCGCTCGCGGCTGGCCAAGATAAATCTAAGACATTTCGATGGTGAACTGATGTAGCAAAGTCCACGATCAGATCAGTTGGTGTCATCAGATGTTGGTGGCTTGATCGGCTTTATTGAAGCCCGCAGCAGCACCCCCGGTCGACGGAGAACGAGATGAGCAGGGACAGACCGGGGGGCCTGAGCCATCCGAGCTGAAAGCACCCCCACAAGGTCGACGGAATGGGTGAGCCGTGGCGGCGAGGCGACGAGTGACACCAGCCGTTTGCCGGCTTTAGCAGATTGCCGGCCATTGTCCTTTGAACTATTCCATCCCTGCAGGTAGGATTCAGCTACTAAGTCAGTTAGTACGACCCGGCACCTACATGGAGGGGGCCGCTAGGTACTGCAACTTGCATGAGATTCCCGAGCTGTTTTGCCAGTCGGGAGCTTGGATGACGAGTCGGCTGCTGCTTGCTTATATAAAAGGCAGGGGTATGTGTGTGTTTGTGGGATGTCACAGTTACTCGTACTTGTACTACAGGCGGACTGCTCGCCTCCAATAAGACTGATCAGTAATGACTTGTACGACGTATGTGTGGAGAGTAACACGAACGAGATGAATACTTACCGATGACTTCTTAGCACAAGCGGTAGCATGATGTTTGCTGTTCGTGTTCCCGCACTCCGTATGTAGTGGGGCCCATCATCTGTTGGACAAAGGAATAGAGTACGTTGAGGAAAATCGGCCAAAGGGGGCCAGTCAAGGTATCCAGACTTTTTTCAATTGCAAGTTATCTATCTTGGTGATCGCTGTGTACCTTATGATGACGGTGTTTCTTGCTGAGTCTCAAACCATGCTTGAAGCTTCTTAAGAGCTCGCCCACGGTGCGATATGTTGTTCTTCTCAGCAGATTCCATCTCGGCGTAGCTGAGCAGTAAGCGTTAGGCCATTATCACCAGTCAAAAGCAGTGGCTGAGCGACTTACGTCTTCCCTTCAAATTCAAAGACCGGGTCCCATCCTGACAGAGGCGCTATTAGTATGCATGTCATGCTTAAGAGAACATGCTTGACTGGATCGATGTCTTACCAAAATTGGAAGGGCCTCGCGCAGGTACAATCCGACCCTAGGAGGAGGCATATGTAAGAACAGTATCTTTTAGTCAGGTGTTCGATCCAATTTACCGGTGTACGTCCTTGGAAGATGATGGGATCGCGCCCAGGCCCAGGGGAGTACGCAAACGTACACACTGCCTCGGCGGATTTATCCTTGTAGGCTATCAAAAGATTGTTCAAGCCTTCGTGTCCAAGGCTATCGAGGAACCATTTGCTATAGCGCAGAGCATATGTGAGTTTCCAAGTCCACTTAGACCTCCCTCGATGTGTCGGATAGCTTAGCTTACATGTAAGGCCCAGGCAGTCCCTTCAAGGCGTTGAAACAAAGCGCTGTGTCCTCTACAAGCACGGGACCGTTGACCTCAATGAAGTTTGCCATGTTAGCCTTTGCTTTGCTTTGCTTCTCTTTTCTTGCACGGGAAATTTAGAGAGAGATGGCCATACTAGATCTGCAGCGCGGCGGCATTTGGAGTTGGCAACCTCTTCGATGGTTCCCTGGATTTCTTCAAGGTCCAGCGACTGGCTTCGGATCTCGATGCTCGGCTCCAAGATGGCCTTGACTTCTCTGAGCTTGTTGGCATTGCCGGTGATGAAGTGAATGAGGGGAGCCATTTTGCGATTGAATGATATGATATGCTGCAGGGGAATGAATGATTTGGCAGCGATTTGGTGAGTGTCTCAGTTCAACTGTTTGGAGCTTGATTCTTTTTTGCGGGCCACCTGAGCGGTGGTGGTATCTTAGTAGCAGATGGCTACTAACCCAGATAATGTGCCGCGCCAGAGATGGAGTGGTAAAACAGGAGCTTGAAAGACACAAAACACACAATACGCTGCTTTCACCCTGTCAATAGGATTTATTTACATGAAAGCGTTCATCACATTGATTCTACATAGTTGTAAATCCCGTCCAGTACCATATTTCTCAACTTGATAAACCCATGCCTGCAGGATGCGCTGAACATGCCCACGCTAATACGTTTTACAGGCGCACGGCAGGGTTCTGGGCTGCGAAGCCCCATGGACGCCTGTAAGTTTGGAGCTCCACAAGTACCAGTACCTAGCAGCGCCTCGCATTCAGGTACACGACGCACGTCACGCGAGCCGTGCTTGCGGTACCAGGCACCATTCCGGTGTCTGCGGCCGGACCCTGGCTGAGACAAACATGAAATCAGCTTTCAAAGAGCAGTTCCCTCTTGCTGCGCCATTCTGACGGGCGGAGGACGCCTGAGGCCTTCTTTCTTTCTCTCTTTTTGTGGTTATTGTTCTCCCTATTCGCGACTTCTAGTTGATTCTACGCTGGTCGTCGGGCGGTGTATCTATCTGATGCTTGAGACGATGTCACTGTCATGACGCTGCAGCCTCTTCACGACAACCCGGACCTCGTTGTCGATAAAGCCATGGCAATTGTCGAACGACATGAGATTTCGAGAGCATCGAATGATGCACCCGAGTCTGGAGTCAGCAGCTCCATTGAACGCCAGAGAACGGGCTCGACATCGCGATCTGGACGGCTATTTCCAGCATCATTGATTCCTGGGCAAGCCAAGCGTGGCGTCTTCCGGCCAGCATTGAAACGGCTTCTTCCAGGACATGCATTGCGCACCAAGAAGGCGTCCGCTGTTCGAGGCAAAACTGAACGGCCACCGGGTTCTTCAGACTCATCAAATGGCCACCAAGGGACACCGAAATCGTCGAGACTTGGGGTTGGTCTATATGTTATCATGCTCATTTCAGAACATGGCTAATAAGGAGATATGAGCTAGACACTGCAGCTTGGGAAATATGCTCACGAAGACGAGATGCCGGTATGGCTAATTAAACTGCTTGAAAAGAAAGGAGCCGTCCGAGCAAGTGGTAAGACCCTTTTTAGCAGCTTCTTTACACGCCAAGATTGCTAACGATGTGCTGCAGGCGTGATACCAGCTCTAAAACACTTGCTAGAGTTGAGCGCACCCACTGAATATGCCTATCTATGCCATCCAGATGCCTTGCATGTAGCAAAGGTCAGAAGGGAAGGTAATTGAAGATCATCCGTGTATAACAGACTATACAGAGAGGAAAGAAGAGTGCAGATGCTTATCAATCAATTCCCTATCTAGGTGGTTTTTGCGGCTATCGCAACATACAAGTTCTTGCTGCGCACATCATCGGAACCCAGACTGAAGGGTGGAAGCAGTTCGGGGATGATATCCCAAGCATCTTTGAAATACAAAACCTAATTGAGACAGCTTGGGATCGCGGCTATAACGTCAGAGGACGCATTGAGACAGGAGGGATCAAGGGGACGCGCAAATACATCGGGACACCTGAGGTATAGACCCTCTCGACGGTTGCCCTGTATGGTCTACTCATACTCATACTTTATCCTAGGCTCAAGCTCTATTTTCCAGCATGGGATTCCCGTAAGTTTGTTCAAGTATACTACTGAGATGTTCATCAGCCTAACCATGAAGTAGGTGTTCCGTGCAAGCCTTCAGAACCTCCAATGAGCAAAGCGCCAATGCTGCAGGCCGCCTATTGCAAGCAATTGAGGATTATTTTCAGCAAGGTGCGGCAGACTGCCTAACCCACAAGGTCCGATCTACCCAACTCCCACCTATATATCTACAGCGACCCAGTAAGAAGCCCACCACAACAAGTTCACTTTTGCTCATTTGACTAATGGGTCGACCGCAAGGCCACTCTGTTACAATTGTTGGGATGGAGAAGCTGAAGGACGGACATGTCCAACTCTTGGTATTCGACCCTGAATTCCAGAGTTCCGAGGCTGTCACGAGTCTTGCAACCAAAGCTACTCGCCGTAGGCAGGCGAAGATTAACAGGCTTTTGGAGCCATATCGCCGCAGCGACACTCACCTAGAGCGTTTCAAGGAGTTTGAGGTACTATAGTAAGAAAAAGTCTCGCCTTTGAAACAAAAGATGAAATAATAAGCTAACTGGCTAGTTTAACAAAAAAGGAAGCATAATAGACTTAAATTGTAGACATTTAATGAATGCGAACAAAGGGCGAATTGTAGAGCTATTACATTTAAAAAACAAACTATAATATTCATTAATTGCATACTTATTACATAATTCTAAAAATGCGCATCATCCATCGAACTATCTCTTTCAGACTGCTTCGTACAAATCCTAAACGTCTTCATCTTTTACGCAGAAATATAGTGCCTTGGCTTATGTACTTTCTGTCCTCACTTTGAGCTTTCTAATATATACTGCCTCTTGATTTAGACACCGGCAAATAGCCGAGCCCCGGGACATGCAAGATGGCTGCGCCTGCTCTAGACGACTCACTGAAGAATCTAATGAATACTTACAATGAACTCAATTCTCACAGTGTGGAGGAGCTGTTTTCCGAGCCAAGTCCTTTGGAGTTCATGCGCTACGTGGCTCGCAACACGCCTTTTGTGATCCGAGGAGGAGCCTCTCACTGGAAAGCGACTCAGAAATGGAACTCGACCTATCTAAAATCAGCTCTCGACGGCCAATCTGTCAACGTCGCTGTCACTCCTTTCGGGTAAGAATGAAGCTCTTGATTTCCTTCAAAAAATGAGAAGCAGGAACAAAAGCCCGAAGATGAATGTATAAGTAACTAACTTCTCATCATAGCAATGCCGATGCTCCAACATTTTCCCCCGAACACGAGGCAACCGTAATTGCAAAGCCTCATGAAGAAGTTCAGCGTTTCAGCGACTTCTTTACTTATGTCACTCAGCAAGAGACGGACCCGGGGCTCCTAAGCGACTCTGAAGTGAGATACGCCCAAACTCGTGAGTTGCAGATGGTCCCTTACCTAGCATGCTATTGCTACCTCTTCACCTGAAATTTTAGCTGACAGAATTTGTGATGAGAAAATGATAACCTCCGAGACGAATATTTAGCTCTATATTCCGATGCCCAAAAGGATATTCCCTTTGCGCGCATAGCTCTTGAAAAAGAACCAGACGCCATCAATTTATGGATTGGAAACTCGAGGTCTACTACGGCTTTGCACAAGGACAACTTTGAAAACATTTTTGTGCAGATCGTGGGCAGGAAACACTTTGTCTTGCTGCCCCCGCTATTTCATGTTTGCGTTAATGAGAGGCCTGTTCTCCCGGCAACGTATGTCCGACAAGGCGATGGCTTCACTCTTCGTCTCGATCCTGATTCTCTGCCCGTGCCGTTGGCGACTTGGGACCCGGACAATGCTGAGAGGAATTCTACGCATGTGTCTGCTTTGGCGAAGCCCCTTCGTGTGACGCTAAACCCTGGAGATATGTTGTATCTTCCAGCTATGTGGTGAGTAAACCGGTTATGACTCAATAGCAAATCTTTTTCCTCAACACAAACCCATATAATAGATCTTGCGTATGATATATATAACGATTGTTCTTTTCTTGCTAATCATACTTCAAGGTATCATAAAGTCAAGCAGTCGTGCATCAGCGGTGGTGAAGGTTTTGTTTTAGCCATTAACTATTGGTAAGTCTCAAAGACATATATATATACATGTGTTTGCGAGTTATACACATTGCGCTCTAACTCTCTAACTTCTATATTAGGTATGATATGGAATTTAGCGGCCCCTTGTATCCAATGACATCCTTCCTTCGGGAACTCGGAACTCTCAAGCAGTCTATGTCTCGAACAGATGAATCAACGCTTTGAGTCTGGAGTTTCTCCCGCGGAGCCGAGTTAGTATTTACGGTCAAACGCGGCCTCTTTTACTTCTTCCTCTTTGCGATTCTCTTTTGCGCTCTCAGCTCCTTCTTCATTCTAGCATCAACAATCCTGTATCGTCCTTTTACACCCTTGGGTCTGCCCTGGATACCCCTGTTCAATCCCTTGGCAACAACAAGCTTGGCAGGCTGTCGAGGCTTTTGTTTTCCAGCTTTGCTGATGAGTTTCGAGATGCTCTCCGCCTTCTCCTTCTCGGTCATGCCTTCATCAGCCGCAAGCATGTCTGACTTCTTCTTCAGCTTCTCGAATCTTTGGGCTGTCTTGAACTTCTTTCGAGCCTTTGCTTCTCGCACTTTCTTGATTGGTCGGGCGTTGAAGGCTCTCAGCTTCTCCTTGATCGCCATCGCGGCGGCCTTTGTAATTGGCTTTTGAGGCTTGTCATGTTTGCCTTCATCATCATTGAACCACTCCGGCAGGCCATCTCGATCTCGGAAGGCACGCTTGTTGAACCCATCGTCGATAGCATCATGAGTTGTCTTTTGTCCCGTAGCAAGCTGATGCGCAAGTGTCATTGCTTCAGCTGTGATAATATCGATGTCTAGCCAAGTTAGCTACATTTGCTTCATTGCTGCGGTGTCATTGTTAGCGATAGGATAGAGGTGTTAAAACTTACCAAGTCTTCCGTCCGATCGTCGTTTATCTGCTTCTTCCCAGTCATCGTTCTCCGCTCTCACGACTTCGAATCCGTTGTCATTCATTGACTCGTCGTCGTCACTCGCGAAACCGTTTAGAGTTACAGACTGCGTTGCTTTCTCTGTGGGCAGAGTCTGCTGATGTGCCTTCGTACCAGAGGTTTGAACTGTCGCATCATTTTCCCCCAGCAGTGACCCTTCAGTTATCTCCTTGAAGATATCTTGGTTGAAGAAAGCAGCCGCCCTTTTTGATAGTCCATCCTGTGTTTCTTCTGCGCTACCATCCAAGTCCGTCAAGAGTCCGGTCGCAGGCCCAGATTCGTCGTCGTCATCAGATGAATCATCCTCCTCTTCAAGTTCGCTTTCACTCTCCGCCTTCTCATCCGCTGAAAGGCCTTCCCACTCATCATCACCATGTTCTTTTCTCACCTTTTTCGCGCGATACTTGGTGTCCGTCTCTAGTTTCCGCTCTCTGTATTGTTCATACATAGCATCAAGATCTTTCTCCAAATCATCTTCCTCGCTGTCGCTTTCAACTGGATCTGCGGTAGCTGCCAGCGCCTCTTCTGGATTGGAATCTTTCGAGTTTGACACCACGGCCATTTTACCCCGAGTGAATCGGCTCATACCGTTTGTCTTGTCCATACGCTTCAAGGAGAACATGGCTCCTTCTCCTTGCGGCCCTGATTCTTCCATTCCAATATCCATAGGCGCCATCATGTTTAACTGCATCCTGATGATTTCTCGGCGCTTTTTCTCGTTCTCTTTGCGCTTCTCTCGCTTCTTCTTGGAATTCTCCGAGTCTTTCATAGCTTGTAATTCTTCCTGTATTCGCAGCTCTTCATCCATTGATTCCACTCCAGCCACCTCCTCGGCGACTTCAGGGGCTGTTGACTTTTTTGTTGAGAGGCCGAAGATCTCTCGAACTCTTAATCTCCATTTCAGAAGCAATTTGAATTCTTTTCGCCCAAGGACCTTCAGATCGTCACAGCACTGCCGGATCTCTGGGGTTGTTTCAGGAAGTTTATCCAAAGCAGCCAGCGCAATATCGCCATTGGGCGCTTGAGTAAAGGAGAGTTTATTGGAGGAACCAAGAATTGCGATTGGATCGTTCGTCTGAATGAAGGTGCTTGCAGATACTTCCTTAAATTGTGTCCAATCGCCTTCCTCATAACCGTCACGCTTTCGCTTCTTCACCTCTGGGTTATAGACCTTGGCCTCGTTGTTCGGAGCTGCGCCGGATAGCTCTGCAAAAACGGATCGTGGATCCAAGAACCGAGGGTCCATGTGCTTTGGCGCTTTGTATCCGCGGCAGACGACGAAAATTTCGGCCGAGACGTTTCGAGACGACGGGGGCTTAGTGGCTTCGACCTTTGTGAACAGTTGGTTCAGAACCCATAGCAATGGGTTATAATCTTTCGATCTGAAAACCTTGGTCACAAACGTGCCTCCCTCCACTAGAAACTCGGTTGCCAGCTTCATGGACTGCAGCGCAAGTTCTGCTTGGTTGAAAGAGTCTTGCGCCCAAGCGGTACCGACATTCGGGGCACCATCGTGTAGAACTGTGTCCGCTTTCCATGTCTTGAGGTGTTGTCGGATAGTAGCACGACACTTTTCTGTAGTAATATCGCTCTGGAACGTAATGACTCTGGGAATAGGCTTGATGGGCGCCAAATCGACACCAACAATCAAACTATTAACAGGCATAACCTCTGCGGCAACTTGACACCATGACTAAAGTATCATTAGTATGACCTTAACGAAAAGAAATCAAAAGAAAAGAGAAAATATCAAATCAAATCAAATATGGTGAAAGAAGAAGCAACTTACTCCAGGCGCGGCGCAAAGATCCAGCAGGACTTTGCTCTTCTCCAAGAAGCCATACTTTTTGTTCAATTGAATCAACTTGAATGCAGCACGGGCACGGTAACCTTTTTCTTTTGCAAGCTTGTACCACTTGTCAAGACGGCCTTTGCCGTGCTTTTTTTGGATCGCCATGATGCTGAGGAAACGCCAAACCACACAGATGAATCCCAGGCGTTCTGCCAGACTCTCGAGCAATCCAGAAATTTCGTTGGAAAGTTGCGTGATAAGGCCATCACGTGGCGATAAGAGGTGGGCTGGTTTCAACGCCCAGCGCTTTAGGTACCTACCATATATTGGGATCAATGCAGCGCCGCCATGCCCTCTATCACTGTTTCAACATCACTGTAACTTCTCGACTCTCTTCCAGGCGTGGTGCGAGGCCACATGGTCGTCAATAGAACAATTGCCCAGACTGGAAGAGCCCGACCACGATGAGCGGCCGGTTCCTCGCAGCTAGTCTGCGGCCTGTGGCGGCACGAAATACCTCCACCGCAGCCGTCCGCCACTTACACCGATTTCCAACTGGAGGGCTGCTCCGAGCAGATGCCTCGATTCGAGAAGCTAGAAAGCGCATGTGGTTTGGAGGCAACTCTATCCACAACCTGGTCATTGCTCGGAATGCGTCTTTTGTTCGACTTTTGCCCAAATTGGTGTTCAAGTTTGCCAGAGTGCCTGCCTTATTTGGTGGCTTGGCCATTGGCGGCTTTGCTTGGGTTCAGTATCAGGCCACACGTATGTGACTCTCATCTCCAATCATCCGTTGCGAGCGATGTTAACTGACTGCTTGCAGAGGCTGGCAACTATGCCATCTCACTCTTCAGCACAACTTTTGACACAGTGAGCGGTACGGCATCCAGCCTATACGGATCTGCCAAAGATGTCGCGGATCAAACACGCCAAGGCTGGGAAAGCACGAAAGAACGACTAGAGGCCCCCGATTGGTTAAAGAACATGCTGGGAAAAAATGAGGAAACTGGCTCTGGCGGATCAGGAGGACCCAATGGCGACCCTAAACACAGTAAAGTCGGCGCTGCTGCTGCCGTGGGTGCTTCGGCTGCCGCTGTTGGTTACGAGAAAACTGAAGACGAAGATTCACGAGATCCACTACAAGCCTCCAAAGATGATCAGATGATGGTATTAACGAAGAAGATGATTGAGATTCGGAGCATCCTGCAAAAGGTCGGCCAGTCCAGCTCTCTCACTCTGCCATCCATCGTCGTCATTGGTTCGCAATCGTCTGGAAAGAGCTCAGTGTTGGAAGCCATCGTGGGCCACGAATTTCTACCAAAGGGAAGCAATATGGTTACCCGCAGACCGATTGAATTGACCCTGGTCAATACACCTGAGTCGGTTGAGGAGTACGGAGAGTTTCCAGATCTTGGTTTACGCAAAATCTCCGACTTTTCTTCGATTCAGCGAACTTTAACAGAGCTAAATTTGGCTGTTTCGGACGCAGAGTGTGTCTCGGACGATCCCATTCACTTGACGATATATTCGCGCAACGTTCCTGATCTTTCTCTCATCGATCTCCCGGGCTACATCCAGGTTGTGGGACAAAACCAACCCCTGCAACTGAAGCAGAAGATATCTGAATTATGTGACAAATATATCCAGCCGCCAAACGTGATTCTTGCCATATCTGCTGCGGATGTCGATTTAGCAAACTCGGCAGCCCTTAGAGCTTCGCGGAGAGTCGATCCCCGAGGCGAACGAACTATTGGAGTCATTACCAAGATGGATTTGGTAGATCCTTCCCGCGGTGCTAATATTCTTAACGATACACAATATCCTCTACGGCTGGGTTACGTCGGAGTTGTGACAAAGGCACCGCTCTCACAAGGCTTGTTCAAGATGGGTTCCTCAGATCTACTTGCAGCGATCTCAAAAAATGAAAATTCCTTTTTTTCATCGCATCCTCTTGAATTTGGACCAGACGCAGGCGTCAATGTGGGCACATTGAATCTTCGAAAGACATTAATGCGTGTTCTGGAACAGACCATGTCATCTAGCTTGCAGAGCACAAGCGACGCCATTAGACAGGAATTGGAAGAAGCAACCTACGAGTTCAAAGTTCAGTACAACGATCGCCCTCTCTCTGCGGAATCTTATCTTGCCGAAAGCCTCGATGCTTTCAAGCATTCATTCAAGCAGTTTACCGAAGAATTTGGGCGCCCAGAAATGCATGAGATTTTAAAGAGTGCTCTAGATCAGAAAGTGCTAGACCTGCTAGCCGCGCGTTACTGGAACAAACCAGTGACAGATTTGGCGCAGGCGAAGTTGGACCTCGACAATCTCGCTGACCTCCCCAAGTCCGATCCCGATTCTCTATACTGGCGTCGTCAGCTAGACGCTTCAACTTCAGCTCTTACGAAGCTAGGAGTCGGGCGCTTGGCAACCACGGTCATCGCAGCATCTCTCCAAGCGCATGTTGATAAATTGCTGGCAAACTCGAGTTTTGTGAGCCATCCTTTCGCCAAGAAAGCCATCACTGATGCCGCATCAACTATTCTCAATGAAAGATTCTACAGCACCAGTGATCAGGTTGAGAACTGCATCAAACCCTTCAAGTTCGACATTGAGGTTGATGAAAGAGAGTGGAATCAAGGCCGCGAGCACGTTGGCACTGTTCTCAAGAAGGAGCTGCAAGATTGCGAGGCTGCTCTGGCCAGCTTGGAGCCGGCTGTCGGGGGCCGCAGGAAGCTAAAGGAAGTAATGGCCTTTGTGGACAAGGCACGAAAGGGCGACATCGTTGTTGAGGGCGATGGGCGAAGCGGCGCGGGCGGATTTAGCGCTGCCCTCCTTAGTAAAGGTCAGTCTCAAAGCCACTCATATGCATAGATTGTTCATGATACTGACATAGAGTATAGGGAGAGAAGCTATCTTTCTTCGAGACAGGGCCGATCTTATCAAGATGCGAATGCTGGCCATCAAATCGAAGCAGTGCAACAATCCTAAAAACAAATATTATTGCCCGGAAATCTTTTTAGACTCCGCAGCCACTAAGCTAGCTTCCACAGCTGTTCTCTTCCTCAACGTAGAATTACTATCAGAGTTTTACTACAACTTCCCACGAGAGCTAGATCTTCGCCTCGGCCGCCATCTATCCGCAGAGGAGGTTGAGAAGTTTGCCAAGGAGGATCCTAAGATCCGTCGACACCTTGATGTCATCCGGAGGAAAGAACTATTGGAATTAGTACTCGAGAAAATGGATAGTCTCCGGCAATTGGAAGGAAGAGACAGAGAACATGGAACAAACTCAAGAAGAGGAGGAGCTAACAAAGACCGTGGACGATGGGGGCTCTTCTAAGCCAGTCATCACAAAACCCAGATGGCAGGCATTCTGCACATGTTAGCTATTGTATACCATGTTCGGTTATATGAGGTTGAATGTGTGGTGATGATAGTTCTCCACTAAGTTATGTTTGCTCTTCATTTGTAAACCCCCTTGATTTATGTTCTCGTGTATAAAGCGCTATGACCATCCCCTATGAAGACATGAATGATAAGTACGCAACGAGAAAAGGAAAAGAAGAGAGAGGGAAAAGGAAGGAGGTTTAGGATCAGATCTGAATTACACTCTATTGATTGATCAATTATATGTATATCTCTATACATGTGTGTCAACCTAACTCAACTAGTTCATGTGCAGAGTACAACTATATTCACCATGCAATAATCATTCAAATCGTAGCATCAACAGTCGTTTCTAGAGTCACTTCCCACCTCACATTGCCTCCGTTGCCATAACCTTCCCCTAACCTGTTCTGTATCAAAGTTGATATCCGATTGCGCAGCTTTCCCAGTGCCAGTTCATCAAAGCCATTCGTAATGATGATTTTCAAATTGGCCATACACAGGCCATAGTGAACCTGCCAGAATTGGGCACCGTCTATGCGAGCAATGCCTGATTCGGATTCAATCTCACGGAGAACGGCTGAGACGCCAACATCGCCTCTGTTACCGCCATAGGACATGAGGAGCATTAGTCCCTGGGCAACAGCGACGCGCATTCCCAGACTGAACATGGCAAGGGAGATGACGGCGCAAATTAGCCGATCGAGCCAGTCGTACAAGGAAATAGATAGCAGGGGCAAGAGAGCAATAAGGGCGGAGAAGAAGAGGGTAAAAAAGTGAAAAGGGTTGGAGAGTATGCTGGGCAGGGTCGCCAGATAGGAAACTCTCATGACCTTGGCAATCCGAGCATGGTTTTTCAACCCATAAGCGGAAACAAGTGTACTCGCAATTGCAGCAGCTGACACAAGATCAAGAGAGTTGGAGGAGACATGGTCGTGAGCATGTTCATGTTCGTGGTGAGCCTCGTGGTCCCCAACCGACTCGAGTATGTGTTTAAGATTGTGTGAGAGCAGGTCGAACCCTCCAAATAGTAGGAAAATAGACATGGCGAAGCCCGCAAGAATCTCAGCCCGTTCAAGTCCAAAGGGGTGTCTAATGCTGCTACGACGCCACACTTCGAAATTGCCTAGCACGTCGACCACCACACAGACGGCAGCGCTGCCCGCGTCGAAGAAGACAAGATGAGACAAGGCCATGGCAGCAAGAGAGCCTCCCGACCTGTAGAATATGAACATGGCAATGGCGACATGGCACAGGCCCCAGTAGAGGCGCATGCGCTGGTCTCGTTGTAAGCTCTTCCAGGCTTCTTTGAGGGTAGGCGTGGGGAGCGATGCTGGGAGGACAGGAGGCGGTCTTGGAGGCGGCTCTTGGAAGATTTGATGCTGGGCCGACACGCTGCTATGCTTATACCGGTGCCCACGACGCTGGCCGACGTTCTGTCGTTGGAGCTGTTAGTTTGAGGGAACAGGCGTGCATCGTAATGTATTGCGTAGGTATTTGTGACGAACCGATTTGACAGGAGTTGTCGATATCACCTGCGTCTGGAAATTGAAGGGATTAGGAGCAGCCGCTACTTGGCCACCGCCCTGCGGAGAGTCTGCCTCCGATGCCATTGCTGCGTGGATGCGTGGACGCAGAAAATGAGATCGCTGTCGTTTTGTCGAGAATGGCTGAGGTAGCCGCTCGATCTGCCCCTCGGCCTGGGCGGTGTCGGCGTCGCCAAACAACGAGCGTCGGCGTATCGGTATTGAGAGAAGTTTCTAGCTAGATGAAACGAATCTGGCCAGTGCTTGGATTTCCCTCGGCTTGCGGTCTAGTTACTTTGCCATTGCTGTGGCTCTCGCAGATCGCAGTCGCATGCCCGCCGACTGTGGTTGGGTGAAGCCGTTGTGGTTAAGAAAGCAGTGCTAGGCCTACGGAGCGTCGCTGCGGCGAGGAAAATACAGGGGTACCCTGCAGCACAGAGTGCATTCTCCGCACTTTTACTTTTGCATCTACGCATGCTGTAGGCTTACTGTCCAGGCTCAAGGGAGCAGTGAAAATGGTCGAAAGATGAGCTATTGCACATTTTCTATGTGCTCAATTGTCGAGTGTGATATGCCTTGTATATTCTGTGCCATCATTGCCTGTCCCTTTAACGGTGTGTGCCACTGTGAGGCGGTAAACCGCCGTCGGTTTGGTAACGTGAGCCGTTTACTTCCTCGTACCACATGCTTACAGTATGGTGGCATTTCTGCAGAGCTGAAACCTCACCGCGGCAATACTAAAGTAGGTACGGCCAAATCGCGTTAGGATCGAGGCCCAGATCTCCGATCATGTCTATATACTGGGGCCACCTGACAGCTGCCGCGCCAATCGATCGTTCGGTCTCTTGAGCTACGGAGGCTTCTCGCACCTCATCGCGCAACCAGCAGTCAATTGATGCCGAGATCCAGATGATCTGGTACTTGCTCTATCCGCTGCGAGGGTGAGGACACGCTCGATTCCATTCCCTCGCTACTCTTGCTCTAGATAGCGCCATCCAACTCCAACCCCATCCAATCCCATCCCAAGCTGAGTGTTGACCATGGGTATCTGCACCATAGAACAACAGAGGCTCCGGTCCTCGCACCGTCTCACCCATTCCGACGGGCTGTTGCTCGCTACGGCCGAAATGCGTCTCGCAATGCCATCCGGACGCTGCTGGCCTCGGCCGGCGTTGCTTCCCTGCTGATCTATCCGGTGCCGTTCCTGTACACCACCGACTTCATCATCGCGGCGTCAAACCTCCCTCACCATGTATGGACCGCCGCCCAGCCTCTCCGCTACGACGCCGCCATCACGCCCGACATCACCATGCGCTCCATCTGGATCCATTCGAGCTACATGCAGGCACTGAGCCCAGACGTCCTCCTGTCAGCTCTCGAGCTACAGGACGAGCTTCTAGGCACGACGCAAGACTTTAGCCCTGGCAGATATTCTGGCTTGCCTCCTCCCGATGACCCCAATGCTCTCTTATCGCCAGCCCAGCGCGATTCTCTCCACGTCGTCAATGGCCTGACCGACCAATCGTGGGCATTTCAGTCGCCCCTGCTGTACTGGAACTGCTCCCGCGAACGCATCCTGGCCGATGATGATATTCTAGCAACCGTCAACGACAGAAAGAACCAGTCCACCCCGGCAAACATCACCTTAAGGCATTCCATTGTTTTTAGTGGCAAGCGATTTGAAGATCGCCGTTTGCTAGCCGCCGATGCCCTCGTCATCACGCTCCTATACCGAAGTGCGTCGCCCGTTGGTCGCCAGTGGGAGAAGATTGCGCCATCTCTGCCCTCCAAGGTAGGGGACAAATGGGACATTTATCCTGCAAATGGCCAGGTCTCAGGCAGCCAGCTCTATGAGTTCAAATTCAGGCCGATCACTGCGCAAGATTCCATCATTTTTGCCGTGGCCTATGCGGTCGCCCTCCTGTACTTCCTCATAAATCTAACCAAGCTTCGCGCAATCAAATCCAAGATTGGCCTCATAGTCACCGTCATTGCCCAGATCTTCCTTTCGATCGTGTCTAGCCTCACTGTCTGCGCTTTTCTGAACCTCGACCTTTCTCGTATTCCGCGAGCCGCATATCCTTTGATAGTACTGATCATGAGCCTAGAGCATATCCTTCGACTGATGAATGCTTTGATTCGTACCCCTTCGGAAGATAGTACAAGCAACAGGATAGGGTATGCTTTTGGCGAGATTGCGCCTGCTGCCTTGGCAACTGCTATCCAAAACTGCGCGATTTTAGTGGCCTTATCACGCGTTGTCTCACCAGGCGTCTCCGAATTCTGCATCTTTGCGGCTGTTGCAATTGTACTGGATACTTTCTATCTATCCACCTTCTTCCTTTCCGTTCTCAGTGTTGACGTGCGTCGAATGGAGCTTGGGGATGCTCTCGCAAAAGAGTCCATGCGCCGTAATCGCAATTCGAACCAGAACCGCAATTCCTCCTGGGTGAAGCGCATACTGGAAGGGAAAATTGCATTATCAACGCGAGTTGCTGGAACAGTTGTCGTCCTGGGCTTCGTTTTTGTCGCTCAATCTCACTTTTTTGGCGATGGACATATTTCGCGGCGGCTATCCCAGCTATACGGCGGCAAAAGCCTGGAGCCCAGCATCTCATCTCCTTCAAAGACGTCTCTTCTCAAGGAAATCCATCAAGCAAGGAGTCCTACGTCTTGGCTACTGCTGCAAGACCACGATGCAGCTCATGAGATCATTCGCATCATAAATCCTTCAGCCTATAGCTACATAGCCAGAGTCTATGAGCCTCTGGTCTTTGTAAAAAAGGGGTCCAATCGAGTGCCTCGGATGAAAGAGTCCATTCTGTCGCCGGCAGTACTCGACTTTATCAATCATCAGCTCACTGCGCTCGTTTTCATAGACCTTCTGGTAGTCTTTCTGCTTCGCCGACTTACAGCCTATCTCTTACCAGACGATAAAGCGAAGCGAGAAGGACTCAGCGATCCTACTGAGGAGCCAAGCCTAGAGGTTGCAACACTCTCTGGAGGGCATGGCCTTGATATAGCCATGCTCGCATATTCCTCTGGAGGATACGCTGTGTCTGTTGGCTTAGACCGTAAAATTTGTCTATGGGATCTCAACAATGAGAATCGATGCTACACAATCTCTGACCCGGAAAGAGATGTCGGTATTAGATTTCCCGTGCTTGCGATTGCCATTGACGAAGACTCGGACTGGCTAGCAATTCTATCGTCGGATGCTGTCACCTTTTGGAACATTGCAACCAACGTGTGGGGCCCTATCGTGGCTATAGAAACCTTCAACCAGAAGCCAACAGCTTTCTTTTTAGAGCCGAGTCCATCATCAGATATCCCAAGGCCGGTTATAGTATGGAAGAATGGAGCCGTTGTAGATCTTGAGCCGACGTCAGGAGAAAGCAGCGAATTCATGCTTTGCTCCGGGCTAACTTGTGCCCGTCAACTGCTAAGTATAGGTGAGTCGATAGTCCATTCATCCGTATCAAAGCGTAGGCTTAAAGTCAGAGCTAACCAACGGGAATTCACCCCTGTCCTCTAGCTGGGGAGCACCAAACACCGAGTGTTTTCCTTATAGCAACGTCTCGAAATGGGGATATATATATTGTAGAAAGGATTGGGTTGTCGTGGTGCAAGCCAAAAATTTTCACGGGAAAGCTTACGGGTGATGAAATACACCAAGTCGTGCCTCTTTCGCCCCTCCCTTACTTTCTTGCATCGTCAAAGTCGGATGTTCATCTCATAAACTTAAATGATGGGTCTATTGCTTGGAGCTTCTCTACAGAGAACTTGCGGCCGCGTTCGCTCGACTGTGCCTTTTCCTGTCATCGGGCATCGAACGCCATATCAGTAGGGCTCAAATCTTTCACACTCAGCTACCAGGCGCTGGACTCTGGTGACGGCATCCTGCACGCTTTTATACCTCATGAGGACGATGACGCCATCTTTCTGCAGAACTATGGTGATGATCGAGCTATTAGCGGATGGTGTGGGTGGCCTGAGGCAGTACAAACAAAGAAACGCATAGACAATCCTGGCGTTTGGAGAGTTCTGCATGATGGCAGTGCCATTGGGCTCCGTCGTCGGCCCCGGACCGAGCCGAGAAATCGACAGCATCAAGCAATTTCAAGTGTGCGGAACCGCTTACCGAGCGCGAAGAGTCAGGAAGTCGGGGCTTTCAACTGCTGGGAGCTATGGAGAGCGGCGTCTGGTGACCGGCAAGATATAGATGAGGTCACGCCTCTCTTCCCCATTGACGAAGACCCAGGGCAAATGATTGTCTGCGACCCGGGGCCTGGTGTCAAGTTTGGGGAATCATCTGTCGCTTTTGCATTTGGAAATGTGATAAAGCTGGCACAATTGAGCGGGCATAAGACCTCGGGAATCAACGAGGTTAGCCATGAATCGTTAATGAATATGCCTACGAGACGCCGGAAGGGAGGGACGGTGGCCAGGGCAACAGGGACCTGAAAGCCGTAGCAGTTTAACCAAGTTATATACATGCACATGTATAAATGAGCAAAGCTCACTCAGCTTCCACCATTATTTATTGATGTTGATAAGCTATATGAGGACGCTGCAATGGAGCCGGCCTTGAGAGATTAAATCATAGCATCACAGTTTGTTGGACACAAATGGTTTCCTTTATAAACCTGAAAAATGCATTAGGCGTATTATAATCAGCTGCGTTAGCTGGAGAAATCGCAATTCAAGAGAAGGAGAAAAACACATAAATATCAACTAAATACAGGGGTATGTATATATACCAAGATTAGCTATCAATATGCTGCTTGCTTTGTCGATTAGCGGCTATGCTCTCTGCACGCTGAAGGGGGAGTACACTGGAAGAAAATAGAATACACATGAGAAGTCGTTTCGTAAATGAGCTCTGCCAACCTGCTCAAGATACCATAATGGCAAAGGCCTGTCGTGCTCAACAAGTGGTTTGGATTTCAAGCCCGCTCGCTCTCATCACCACACTTCTTACAGACTATATTGGATTTTCCATGCCGATGGGAGGAGTAGCCTCAGCAGAATGGACAGAGGGTGGCGCCTGGGCTTTGCTGTGAAGCGTGTTGCTGGATCCGAGGCCACGCTTCATCATCTTGCCCAGTACGGTGACCAATTCACAGGCATCCCGAAACATGTCGTCATCCATGCCTTCAGTAGCTTCATATACCTCATTGATTGTGTTTCTCGCCAGACTGCGGCTGCCATTGGCGTCATGGACACATTCATAGAGAAACGCGGCGTATTCTGTCTTGACAGATAAGCGCAGCGAGTGAGAGCCCCAGAGAAGTCTATCGGCCAATTGAGCAGCTTCTTCGAAATACTGGTGCGCGGTGGGCAGGTAGTCCTTGGCAGGCAGCAGGAAAGAGAGTGAGAGGGCCGAGACGGGAGCTTCAAATCCAGGAGGAGGGCCAACAGGACCCCCCTCTAGAGTATGCCGCATTGTTTGTTGATAGTCGTCTGCGCTAATGATGTCTTTCTCACGGTCGGCGGATACGGCATCGGGATCCCAGCCGGGCATGTTGGATACGCGAGGCTGGTTTCGAAACAGGACAAAGATGTGATGGAAGCTGGCGCGTAGCTTATAGGCCAAAACTTTCAATTCAACGCAATTGCTGACGAAAGGAATGACATATTCTTGCAGCATTTTGAGGCCTTCGCGCGCTAGCCAAAGGATGCGCATGATGTTTTCATGGAGTGTGGCATCTGGCTTGCGCTGCTTCTTCACTTCGACGAGCTTTTCAGAAAGCCTGAGCGAGAGGCCCAGGATCTTGAAGAGTGTTGATGAGAGTATGGTGTTGTCATTTTCGACTGCCCTGGCTAATCGCCCCAAATACTTTTGATCTACCTCCGATGATGCCATGGGAGTCTAGGATGGTTTGCCTGTTCAGTGTGCGAAAATGTCGATTGTGCGAAAATGTCGGTTATTCGGGTATCGTTTAGTGACTTTGATGAGGCGGCGCAAGAGCAGCAAAGGTAGCTACAGCGTCTCTTTCATGTGATGGTATAATGAAAGAGTACAGAACAATGAATTAGAGAATAAGAATGCGACGGCAGTGCCCCAGCTAGCCAATGCGTCGTGTCTGAGAACAGAAGGAGATGAGATCAGTTCTATCAGCAGTCGACAAAAAGTCAATCTTTGCAGAGCGTCAGAGAATATAATCCAAAATTATGTGTGCAGATAGAGATGCCTGAAGGCCAACGGTTTATCAGTAAAGATTCCGCATTGAACGTATTACATGTATAGGGGCAGAATATGCGCGAGAGAAGAGGAGGGGAGATGAAGGGAGGACAAAAGATGCCAGGCCGCCAGACACTATTCAGTGAAGCGGTTTGTACGTGGCGGCAGTCGTATTTCAGGCTTTCGAGTCGCAATATGAGAAGAAATCAATTAAGCAATCAATCCAAGCTGCTGGACTGGGCAACTCCAACTTGAGGGTTGTTGCGGCTGTTCGTTTTGCAGTAGCCTCGACTTGGTAGCATCAAAGTAGAAGACATGGTCCGCTAGTAAAAGGTCCATCGCTCCGCACGACTTACTGTTTTGTCATATGAGAATCTGCAGAGACGAGGATGACAAGATAAGTCAGGAGGCGAGACTGCCATTGATTCGATCAGTCCACTTAAGAAGAGCCCAGTGCCTCACGCTTTATTCGCATCTGATCTTCACTTCCAGCCTTCAACAAGGCGCAAGCTTCTTTCGCCTGTGCCTCAAAGCCTTGCCTCTCGCGCAATCGGAGTCAATGTGTGCCATAGTGCTTGTGTCTTGTGTGCTGTGAGACAAAGGAAGAGGGCGCTATAGAAGGCGTCGCGCAACCTACCGAGGGCTGGAGCACAAAAGCTCTTGATGCCGGCCGCAATTGGCGTCGATTTGAAGTTGATGGAGGTCTGGCGATTGTAGCCTTGGCTCAGTGAGGCTATTCAAAAGGGCAACGTCGGCCTTGTTGGTGGTTGGTGATGATGATGACGATGGCTGGTGGTGATGGTGAAGGCAGTGATGACGATGATGATGATCGCGGCAAGCAGGTTGCGCTCGCGTACATCTGCTATGGACGCTCTTAATTAACAGCTGAGAGTGTTGACGCGCTTGGCAGGGATTAAGGATGCAGGGGACCGAGTTTGGACCGGGGCCCCTTGCTGCGGTGAGCCGCCTAGTACGATTAAGGTAGCATCGTGGGGTTGTGTGTAAGTCGACGTTGTTGGTGATGGCTGTGATCAATTCTGTCAGTAACAGAATATATACAAAGGACCACTTTCACACCGAGTTTTCGTTACATCATGGGTTTACGGGAAACAGCAAAGTCTACCTAAAGCTGTATAACAAGAATTATTTAAAAAGCAGTCTAATAGGCAAATATCCAATACCTGGACACACCTTTTTAGGCGGTGGCGGATGATAATCACTAATCAAGGCAAGAGAGACTTTTTTTGGAAATGATAAGGAAAAACATTTATATTCAGAAGGTCGTCTAATCCATTGCACTGCTACCCGGTGGAGAAGCATGCATGATGACCCCAAATATCCCTATGGCTGTCCTCCTCATAATCCTGAGTACCAGCTCAACAGTGTCTCATCCAGTCATGCCATCATAACTCCCCAGAGACGATTGGAGCAGAAAAAGCCAGATACCGCAATTTGCTGGATAAAGGGCCTGAAAATCTTATATAACTGTTGCAAAAATTCAAGTGATGGAGAAAATTCGAGTTGAGAGTTTGCCATGAGGTGCCGCGGGGAAACTACTCAAGGAACTTGCAGGGGCGAGTGTGAGTTGTCTGTTGGGCGCCGCCTGTGTCTTTTTTTTTTTTTTTTCAATTTGTTGTTTTGTTTTGTTTACATGACGGTGCAGCCCATGAAGCCGACGTAATGGGTCTTGACGCTGCCCTGCTGAGGCTTGGGCTTAGCCTGGACGGTGCAGCCGGAGGTGGTGGTGGGCAAGAGACCAGGGCCAGACATTTTGTTGTTTAGAGTGTGGTAAAGCGTAAAAGCTTTGTGAAGAGGTTGAGATGGTATATTTGAGGGTTTGGAAGTGTGAAGATGCTGTGGTTGATGAGATGGTCTTCTTGCAGCGCATCAGCGACCTTTTTATCCTCGCCTGGCCGGCATAGACACACCTCGAGAATGAAACCTTCTTTCCAGATCATCACCAAGCATAAGCATTGTTCTTTAGTATTGTTATACGGAAGCGTCAGCCATGTAGCCACTTTGCTGCACGTCGAGCGCAACTGGTAATTAGCACTGGCCAATTCGCCCCAGAGCCTGTAGAGTTTTTATTATCGCATTGTTGCATTGGGTATATACTTATATGCCACGGTACTATATATTATGTTTGCGGTGAAAAAATACGCTGTGCCATTGTTTGCTACCGTTTGTCTTTCCTAGAATGTCAAGGCGCCTTGGTATTATCTTTGGATTCATATTGTCCTCGGCTCCGCTTCAGCTTCAAGCCAATGCGCTAGCTCCAACTCCAAACCAACAAGACTCTCTTTCTGACTTTCTTCTATGTATATATGCACAAAACCAAGCCATTAGCAGTAAACAAGTCATACAAACCAATTACTGTATATGTAAGTATGTACATACTGTATGTTTCTCACTACATGCCTACTAGTTAATATGTATGCATGTACATACATAGCATGCGTACAAGTACTGTAGCAAATAGTTGTATTATTAACCATTAGATTTTAATTTACACAGCATTTTGCATGGGGGCCCCAACAAAGGTGATACTCGTTTTGAGTTGGTTCTCTTCATAGCGAGCAGGTCTCCGCGATTTTGCTATCTGTAATGACCCATCTATTTTACATTTCAGTTCGTGCCGCTAACAGCCAACCTATCACCACTGTCAGTATAACTTTCGACATCTTAGTTCTCTTTGTATTGCTTACTTCATCAAGTGGTCCATAAATGTCTGCAGAGACACATCATCGGTGAAGATGGTTTGGGCAGAAGTTGCCCCCACACCACCGTATGCTCCTGTCGTATGAGTTGTTGACGGATTGAGTTTGGACAGCAGGAATCTCGCCTGAGAACCACCTGCATCGCAAATAATGAATCTGGGGAGTGGGAACCGGTCCGTGATAAGATCCTATACAGCACCATTAGTTACTTCTGAACCGAGTCTTTTTCTTCTATTTCTTCTCTCCTTCTCCCTCACACTTACCCTAGCGTCTTCTTTTGGCTGTTCTAATAGAGCGGCAAAATTTTCATAGCCTTCCTGATCCTGGTAGCCAGCCTTTCTCCACTCGGCAATAGTTTCGCCGTGGAAAATGAGAATGTGGAAGAAGGTATCCAGTAGAAGGATATGTGTTGGCTGAATGGACGCAGAGTCAAGCAGTACAGGCTGACCACCGTCCTGATCAAAGGTGTATGAGTCTAGAGTTGGTTGGATCATGACGAGGGAATTGCTGACGTCTTCGTGGTTCAACACGTGCCGATAAAATGCAGTTTCATCAGGCGAGTTGTTGAAGACTTGCAAGAACTGGCTCCTGCGTAGATGGAACATGAATTGAGGATATAGGGTGAAGTTCTTCTCCAAGCGGAACGAAGTCGGGTCATCCTTTCGATAGTCTGCAAATCTTGAGCAAAGCCGGATTAACATCCTATCCACCCAGCGCAGTACATCCGGCCCATCATCAACCTCAGCCTTGAACACAGCTATCCGTGACATCAGCACAGCTGCTGCTTCTTGGTCAAAGGACTGCGCAATGGCTGGATCTCCAGCAGGGCCACTCAGGTTCCGAGCAATAGTCGTAACACGAAGGTGGAATTGGCCCGAGGAGTGTTGGTAATATGTTAGAAATTGCATCATTCCCTTTTGGGGTGCTTGCTGGTGAGTTGTCGGCCCTTGGTTTGCAACTTCGAAATAGATACCATAGCTGGAATTGGGATCGATGCCACACATCTTCCATGAGCAGGTGTTACCCATACCACACTCCGTCTCGCCAACAGACACAGATTTTTTATTGAGGGACACTGCGTGACCAATCAGTCCGGTAACCTTGAGCTCCTTGGTTGTCAGGACTTCAAGGACCGCGTTGAAGCCCATCAGGAGGTTTTCGTCGCCATCTTTCTCGAAAATTCGCACAAATGACTGTTTAAACATTGAAGATGTGAAACTGTCAGTGAGAATCATATGGCCGCCCGTTGAGTTACAGAGCCCCTTCATTTCAAGCAGGCCAACTTGGTCAAGACAGCCTGCAAATATATCTATGATGTGGCCATTGTGAGCAGTACGCTTGGCCAAGTTATCGTAAAACTATCACTGATGTTAGTACGCATCCCGCTATGATTCTCATTTGCTCAGCCTTACCTTGAGTGCCTTCTTGTAGTACTTGGCGTTATCGCGGTCGATATCGTGATGAGAACGAATCGGCTCCCTTAGTTCTGGACCAACAACCATACCAGGCCCTTCGGTTGCGGGTCCGCCAGCGAACAGCATTATACGGCCACCAGAGTTCTGAAACGTTGACTCCATTAGGCCAATGGCAACGCTCAAAGCAACACCAGTACAGCGCAGACTTCTCCGGTCGCTGGCGGTGGGCCAGGGGTCTTTTTGTAGACTCTCTAGAACTTTGGTAAGTTGGAATTCAGCCTGCTGGACAGGGAGCAAGAATCTTGACGTGGATGCAACGTTCATCTGGCGGCCAGCCTGTGGTGGCACTCCAGGTCTTGGGCCATGCGATGTCAGGCCGAGCATCTCCTGAACAGTCTTGGCAGAGTAGTCTTTACTTCCACGGAAGACATAGGACTTGGCGCAGCCCTCATAGCCAATCTCGTGGACTTGAGCCTAGATACGGTGAATAATCATCCGCATATCAGAGTAGAGATGAACACACCATTGTACCATATGTAATAAGCCCAACCAGTGCATTTTCTGGAAGCAGGCTGAGGCTCATTACCAGAGACTCTTTCAGGGCAACCAGACTATCTTCCTCCTGGCATAAATCAACAACATATAGGAACAGAGGCGGGGCAGGCGCAGGCCTTGATAGCCTGTATTCGATTGTGGTGTTCGCAGGGTGCAATTCTGGTGGGATCGCATTTGCGGTGATATCTTTGTAATGCGGCGGAAGCTGGTTTCTTGACAAGCAGAATGGGCAGATCCATACACGAGCACGAACATCCACTTGACTAACATAATGGTTAGTTACGGAGCATGCGCAGGAAAACGAAAAGAGCTGATCGGCCACGGAAAGTTTACCAGAATGGGTTGAGGACTGAGCGACACGGCTGCTTGCATGTGACGGGCTCGAACTGCAACAGAGGCGTATCTGGCTTCTCTTTCAACGGAGTAAATAAGGCGCCTATCGGTACAACCAGCCTTGAAGCTTCCTGTTGATCGATCAGCTTGTGGAAGGGTTGTCCGTGGCAAGTGAATTACCATTCGGGAGCTTGGAAACACATTCCAGCTGAGGCGAACGCCATCACGATCTTCCACTTCGCTCCATTGTTCTTTGACAGCTTCGTAGTCCATTGGTAGTCGAGCTGAGTCGTTGGACGCTCAGCCGATTCTGTTGATAGAGATGGTTGTTGTTGAGGCAATTCGCAGTGGCGTTCCCACGAGGGTGAAGTTCTCAGGCGGTAGAAATTCGAATGACCTTTTCAAATTGGCAACCGTCGCTCGAAATGTGAACACGTTTACGCGCGCAGAGCATATCCAGCAGAAGGACAGCTAGCAGTCTGAGCTGGCGGGACAGCGTGGAGTAGCTTGTCGCACTCGAATAGCCCCACCAGCACATGCAAAGTGTTCAACATGGTAGCTACCTACTAATAGTTTATAAATACAGTTTATCCATTTATCCTCACTCTATTATATCTTATTTCTTTTTAAAATAATATTTAATTTTAATTTTTCAAAATTATCTTGATATTGTTTTTACTTTTATCTTATTTTGTGTTTATTCATTTCTCCTTTTACTATATATAGTGCTCAATATATTAATTACACTGTATTAAATCTCTGCCATTCATTATATTAAGTCTGTTAATCTTCTTTTAAGTTAATGTTCTGCCTAATCTAATATATTTATACTTTACAGCTATGTAACCATTTCGTACTAGTATAACTTATAATCGCAAACGGGTGTACCAACCAATCTTGCTAATCAGCTTCCCAAATGCGACCTGTTCTATACCAAGGTCATCACTTCTCTCTATATGAACCGCTTTTCTAAATCCTGTCGTGACATACAATAATCCTTGCCAACACACCTGCCACCGTCGATTTTCTAGGCTCAACCCTTTGCGCTATACTAAGAACATTCCATTACATTCTTCTGACCCTTGAACCTATGGCGACGTCCACGGGAGCTGCATCGTACACTAACACTAAATCCCCCACTATTCGGCGCATACGTTAGTCTATTCCTCCCAATATCTGGTTGCACGCGGTGAAGACAGCGCAAGTTGGCCACTGGAATCCCTCTTCATTTGTAGAAGCATTAACTCAACCCTCTTCCAGTCCGCGAGGCTGCAGAGCTCTCAAGTACACCGTCTCCTGATTACACCGCGGAGCCATTAGAGTCGGACCTCTTTGAATGGCATTTTACTCTTCGAGGGCCCCCGAACTCCGCATATAGCCAAGGTGTCTACCATGGTCGAATAATTCTACCTCCCGCATACCCTCTTCGACCTCCGAGCTTTCGATTCTCTACCCCAAATGGCCGATTCGAGGCCAACCGTGAAATCTGCCTCAGCATAAGTGGCCATCACGAAGAAACATGGCAGCCGGCTTGGGGTATTCGGACCGCTCTTGTCGCGTATGAAATCTGCGCTCCACCAAATGCTTGTCTCTACTTTGCGTAACTGACTGACATGAGATATTGACATAGGCTCCGCAGCTTCATGGAGACAGATGTGCAAGGCCAGCTAGGTGGCATGGAGACTACCGAGGCGGTTCGCCGCCGGCTGGCCCAAGAATCAGTTTCTTTCAAGTGCGCCGTATGTGCCAAGTCCAATGCGGATATCATCGCTGAATGCGAAGATCGGTGTAAAGAAACGACGTCTTTGTGTCATGAGATATCAGTTCCTGCCGAATTAAATATGGGCTGGAGAGATGAGCTTGAGGCAGCTAAGAATGACCAATCATCATCAACCCACCCATCAGAAAGCTCTTCTGAGGTTGCTCAGGGTGGTGAGCTGCCTATAACTGAGCCATCCGAAGCTGAGCTGGCAGAAGGGTTTGTTCAGACAACACCAAACGTCACCGACGGCTTCTCAACGCATCCACCAGCTCCGATCCTGGGTATCAGAAATCGGCAACCCCCCTCCACCGCTAGACCCACGGGAACAGGGGCAGAAGCAGTGCCTCTATGGATAGATAGGATGATTGTAGCTTTAGTCATCTTGCTGGTTGCCATTGTTTTAAAGGTCTTACTCGGTGTATAACCAAACTTTCGCTCGGGCTGGGGCGTTCATTCTTCTCTTCAGCTAATCGTACATATGATCGGTCAGTAATAATTGGCATGGAAATCTGTGATGCGGCAGACACATGAAGTATGACCTCTACGTCACTTTATAGCACTGGTGGCATCAATATCAATAGCTTTATTCAACACCGATTGTCTTCAAAGTTGAGAATTAGCCTATAAGAAATGGTATTAACGCTCCGCAAAGAAAGGGCACAGGATTCAGTCCGGCACAGCGTGAAAGCGTATGCTCCCTAGACGCTTCTTTTTCTGCTGGGGGCCCTACTCTCGATACCGATCATACTGCCATGGTACAGCTAGCCACCACCACTCGCCTACAGTTACAGAGGATCCATCCATAACCTCCTCCAAAACATTGGTTTTTATGCCCCATTCTATGATGAGCCGTGCTTCAAACTCATCTAGGATGGGACTCAGAGAGTTGCATACATCCTTAGCCGCCATGGGGCCTTTCGTAGCATAAGTAAAACTAAAAGCTCCAAGGATATCACACCACCGCCTGATATCGTACTTCCCGAAAAAATCAACCCACTGCGGAATTTCCCCTTCTGTCGTCGTGCTAGGCAAATCCTCCCGCGCCACGGCTTGTAGCACAGCGATGTCTTCGTTGTACTGGTACAAGTTGGTGGGCTTTGCGCGGAGTCGAAAATGATAGTAGGACTTCGGATACTTTCGGCTTTCATAGTTACCTGGCTCAAATCCAAAAGGGATGTTTGGTATATCTAGAGGTACAAGTTTGATTTTTCCCGCCGCGTTCAAATTCGTCAGTGCCATCATGGAACCATCGTTAAGGGTGTACGGTATCTCAAAAATTCCTCCTGTGCGGAATATGCCATCCATTTGCGCTTTGAAGGCAGCTGCATCTTGGTATTTTGAGCGCTGTGCCACTCTACTGAGCGTTGACAAATACCATTCACTTAATCTGTAAGGTCGCCCTCCAAGTGGTGTCTTTTTGCTCCTGCATATAACCCTTTGGATCGTGAGTTGAACAATAGCTTCTTTGAGAAGCAGCGAGCTTCGTTCTGCGCCGTCTCCAGATAACGTGAGAAATTTATCTTTAATTTTTCGCACAGAGTATTTCGCCTCGCTAGTGCAGCAAAGTGATTTAATCCAAGATCTGGCAATGTCCAGTTTCTGAACATTGCTACCATCATTGCCTTGATCGAAGATGCCATCGACACGAAGTGCGCCAGGCTCTGATGTAACTGCCTCGAACCGCGAAAAGATCGAAGATTGAGCGTGGAAAAATCTCTCGCCCCAATCCTCCTCAGCTGATGTAGTGGTTATCAGCGAGAACCGATTAGATAGAAGTTCTCTTGTGTGAGGGATATGATAGTTCTTCTGGCGAGATATTCTTGTTGCCCACTTAATAATTGTCCGCCAGTCGTAATGAATTGGGTCTTCAAAGTCAATCATAGGGAGCTCCTGGCTTTCAAAGCCTTCGATCAATCGTTCCTGGACATCTCGCGTAAGTTTCTTAATGTGCGGTCTCTGCTCTTTGCATGCCGTTGCCCAGAATTTACGCAAGCTGGCAAGCCGGGTATTTGGGAAGATATGGAGCAAAATACCCCAGTCAATTGCTTTGTCTGCGCCTCCTAATAAGACACGGACGACAATAAAAGCAGTCAAGAGGTCTTCTTGGTTGGTCAGCGGGCTATCCGCCGCCCCTATTCCTCTCAGCTCATCGGATGCGTACGTTTCTCTTTGAAATATTGAAGTGAGCGGGCGAGTTATCAAAGACACTCGCTTAATCTTCGACTGATTTGCATCAGTAGCGTCTAAGAGATGCTTTGGATGATTTAGATCAACTGCATCTAGATCTAAATCAGAGTCGCTGTCATCGCTTGAGGACAGCGATCTTAAGCCGTACAGAGATTTGCCAATTGACTGAGGGGTTAATTGCTCATAAGATTGCCATCTTAAACTCATTGGCGGTATTCCATGTTCAAGTCCGGCTGAAAGATTGATGAAGATGTTATGCGGGCCGGCAGCCAGCGGCAAAGAATTTACGAACTGTTCTGTTTGACCCAGTTCTACACTAAGACAGTCCAGTAAACTGGTCATCAACTCAGCATGGGCAGTTCCAGTATCGTATTGTCTTCCAGTATCATTTCCGAAAATTCGTTTCTCAAGACTTTGGGCCCAATCAGCCCATTGAAACCACTCCATATCAGGCATCCATCCAAATACCGTGAAGTTTGAGTTGATAGCCTTTTCTTCAAAGAACTGCAGGTCACGATATGGCCAAGTTCCATCTTTTCCCGTGATACACTGCACTCTTTCAGCAATAATGGACTTCGCTGCTGAAGCGGGCTGTTGTTGAGTAGCTTCCATATCAATAATTGGGAAAGGTTGTGTTATCCTTTGTGGCACTCCGTAATCGTTCACACACCAATCATCTTCCAAAAATCGATTTGGAGCTAGAAATTGAACTTTGGCTCCGTAGTTTGAACGAGTGGTGTCCAATGTCGGGATATCAGTTCTGTTGGATAACAGGTTGTTTGACGCCCATCTTATTCTATATTTCTCGTTTGCCGGCGTTGGTGTAGACGTAAATACATGGCTTTTTATAATGGTTTGTACAGCTTTTCTTCGCTTACTTGGACTATTCGTGTCGCTCATAATCCCATGGCGCTTTTTAGCTGAGGCCTGAGCCGCATAAACCGGAGCATCCAGCTGCGCAACTTCGCCGGCAAGCACACGGCGTCCTCGGCGATTCTCCTTCTTCTCTCCTGGTCCAGTATCGCTACTTAGTGGTTGGAATTGCGCAGGTACGAAAGGTTGTGGATGTCGCAATTTAATACTCTCGACAACAGCCAATGTCTCAGGGGAGAATGCATCAAGATGCGGTAGTGTCAAGATTTGGCATTTGGAGAACAGACCGCTTTGGTCTTGGAATCCATGCCAATGCTCCAAAACTGCTTTATTTTTGAGCATACGGCTCAGGGCCCACTGATAATCTTTTGTCTTCGGTATCGACTTCTCAGGGTATCTGGTATTCCAAACGGTAGCGAGAGCGCGCCACAGAGAGTGTCCTCCAGGGAGGACACCTTCCCGCTCGATGAGCATCTCTATCAGTAGAGTAGAGATATGATCAGTTATCTCATTTCTAGAAACCTTCCTTTTAGGAGCACCCCTCTCCAGGTTGGCAGGTGCAGGTTCGCGAATTGTCGTGGTTGTTGCCAACCCTACCTCTGTCTTCTCTGTAGGATGAAGTAGGTCAGCAGCCTTATAAAACGCCTTGGAATGTTCGCCAGAGTTATGTTGAAGATCTGATCCGCTGACAGATGGCACAAAACCGGCATACAGGCCTAGTTGGGGTGGGTTGGACCATGTGAGGACGGTAGATAGATTTTCTAGCTGATTGGCATCATATTTGCGATTTTTCAGTTCAAGTATTTGATTTGATTGTCTAATATCAACTCGCATGAGAGTAGTCTGCTCCTGGGGAAGGGAGGATATATTCAACATCTTTCTATGCTGCGAGCTAGGTTGATCACTAGACGGTCGATTCATTGTGTAAATCTCGCTGATATGGCTCAGGGCAGTGGCTGATACCACACCTCGTGAATATCTACTCTCCTCATCATTTGTTCTTTTTGGTGAAGTGTTAGAGTGTGAGACCCTGGCGGCGTGGTGTTCATGTTCTTCTTTTCCTCTTCTCGCTCTCTCGTCGTCGGTCGCCTTGGTTGATTCATTATACCGTGAACCGCGCGTTGATCGAGCGGACACTTTACTAACTCTCTCAGAAGATTCGGCTGTTTTAGCGGACCGAAGGGTAGACTTCATCTCCCGGTGAAACCCATCAAGTTTGGAGGGGGAATAAGATGGATTACAAGAGGTCTGGGACCGCTCAAGATGATATTTAAGGCCAATGTCATTTTTCCAGGTTTTGCCACACTTATCGCACTTCCAACCTTTAGTTATGGCTGTGTCATTGTTGAAAGACTCAACTTCTAAGTTAGCAGGGCGACCAGAGCCTCGGCCACGTCCTCGGCCTCGGCCCCGTCCCCGTCCCCGTCCCCGAGACTGAGAGGATCCTTTAGGTACAGTCGAATCAGAATGCTGTGATGTAGATATATCCTGTGCCGTTGTGTCTAAGTCGCCATCCATTGAGTGGCATTCCCCTACTTCTGTTGATGGTAGTTTTGAGTCTTGGAGGGAGATTTTTTTAGTAGGGGCATCCCGTATAGAAGATAGAATCGCTACCCCCTTCAGCGTCTCTTGTGGTAATTTCAACTTGATTATCATTGACTCTCTTGTACAGAGTTGACTGTCTTCTTTTGGAGGACCAAGGACCTCGTTGCTAACACTAGGCGTCTGGCGGATATTGTTACGATCAGTATCCGTATTGGCCGGATGTTCTGATCTCATCTTTCGAGGCCTGCCTCTCTGTCTCCTTTGAGATAAGTTGGATTGCGTTAAGATGGCCAGCTTTGAACTTCCGATGGGGTATGCTGCCTGGGGGAAACCATACGATACGGGAATGCGGGTTTGCCTAGTCCGTCGCTCCTGTTCCTGCTCTTGCTCCTGCTCCTGCTCAACACTATTGACCGATATAGCGTCGGGTAGAGCCGGTAGGGTAGTTGACATGGAGTACCTATATGATGCGACTTTTCCAGCTCGGGAGTGCTCACTCTTTACTTGTAGATGCTGTAGCTGAACAGGTTGGATGTTTGGCGTGGAAATGCATGTGGTCAAAGAAGACAAGAAACGTGTAAAGGATGCACCTAGGGTTAGCCCGTATATATCCGGGTTCGTCAATCCGGCCTCTCCGCATGCCATTATGCTTTTCGCAATGATAAGTGCGAGCGGTTGATCCGCCGACCATGGTGGAGCGACACCTAGGCATTCCGAGGAGGCGAGCTGGCTGAGAAGTGAACCGGCGCCATCTTGGCCATCTTGGTTGTATATTTCAGTTGTCTTAGGGAGCTTACCAGCTCGCTTCCCAGTTGCCAA